GTAATATTAACTATAATGATTGATGTTTCGTAAAAACAACAGGTTTTCTTTACACTTTTACAAAATACAATACTTGAATGTCTTTTGATGAGCTTTTTGAGCAATATTTTTTAATAATAATTGACTTTTTTGATAGTTTATTCCTAGAGAAACAAGTTGGAGACATATTCTGAAAAAGACATTGAATAACTGAACAAATTTGGAAAATGAGTGTCTCTAATTTACAAAAGACTGATCTGTTTTAACACCACATAAATAAAATCTAAATTAGTTTCTCTCAAAAATTAAAAAAATTCACGCCATTATATGGATTATTGCACAATTTTATTACTAAAATTTCTAAATCGAAAAAGCTTTGGTCCAAAATTCAAATTTACTACTATTATTTCCATAACTTTGTGCCTTGACAAGCACAAAACAAGTAAAAATTAATCCTTCAAACTATCAAAACTAAACAAGCATGATCCTAAAACAACCTTTTTGAGCAAAATGTATTGATTTGTATTAGTTTAATTATTATCATCCACGAGTAAAAAATTAATTTAATGAAATCTAAAAAAAAACTGTTATTAACTCCATCACTACACAGGCTCCTAACCCTTCCAGCTCAGCTATTTAAGACATTTAAAATTAAATTATTACTATTACCATTGAGTATAAACCTAACCCTAGAGTCTCCACTCAATGGGGCATAGCATTACCCGTGCAGCGCCAGGCTGAGCAGCGTCAGCGGCCCGAACTACGCGACCTTCGGTAATGCAGTACATCAAGTTGCTAGTGCGCTCTACCGGTAACCATGCAAGACGCAACAATGACGCAGCTCATCCCGCTGCTGCGTGCTCGCTGTCGGCTTTGCTAATAATTCAAGCGTGCTCCTTGCGAAACCAACATGGTTTAAAAAATTACTTCTATATATGATGGCATTGAGTATAAACCTAACATGATGGTAAACATTTTATTCTGAACTACTCGTATAGAGTAATTTATTTTATAATGCGTAAGATTTTTACACTTTACATGAATGTACCTATGTTGTAAGATTGGCCATTACTTATTTACGCCTCTGAGAAAGTCTGTAAGCATGCTATTGCTGTAAAATTCCATAATAAACCTTTTTGAAAGTACATGAACATTTTTGAACATTTTGAACATTTCCCTTTGAGTTAGCGAATCAAACCAATTAAAATATAATATATAGTTAATATTTCTATTTGATTGATATATGTTATGAAATTATTTATTTCCGCCATGTTTCAAAGTTCAAATAAAGCTTTCACACTTTTCATGTGTCATTTCAAATTCGAATATCTGTATTCTGCTTAGAAACAAATTCAGATAGTTACAATATCCTAACTTTACTCTTTTACCCTTTTACTATAATCGACGACAATGTATTAATTTACTGAAAATATTTATTGTAAATGTCATGTAAAATAGAATCAACAAACGTAGGCATAATAAAAAATACCCCTCAATAATAACTAACCAACAGTGTATTTAATCCATGTCGTAAATTTGCCTTTATACTGTTCATACACATGTATGTATTTTTAAACTACTAATTTAAAATGTGTATGGACCAATGACATTTTTCCAACATGTACTTTTTGTTACCGTGCTACTTTTTGAAACACACTTAATACTTAAACTACACTTTCTCCAAACGTCACAGGTCGCAGGCAGTGTGGCACTACTTGACAACTTAACACACCCTCTTGGATGGTTTTTGTGTCATAAAATGGTTTTTCTGCCTATGGGTGCGCCTTTTATAACCCTAAGCCCTCCCTCCGAACTAGGAACTAGTCAACTAGTCAGTATTTTGAGAAGTGGCATTGAGAACAGTCATTGTCTTTAATCAGTGTATACGTTAACTGTGATATAGGTGAACGTTATTATTTATTTATTAGCTCTTTAAGTTAGTTCCCGTTATTAGTGACTTCCTGAGTAGTACTATTTGTTATCGAAAATGAAATTTTTATAACGGTCTGTAAGATTTTCTACAATGACGTCGCAAAAAAACAGGGTGATAAGTGTTTTTTTTCTAGATGCAATGCTACTAAAAGAGACAACCCAGACCGAGTATTTTTTAAGTTTCCAGTAGGAAATCCGGAAGTGTGCAGTCAATGGATTTTAAACTGCGGAAATGAGAGTTTGTCTGAGTTACCGGAATCTCTGTTAAGACGCCGAACAGTGTGCGATCGTCACTTCGAACGTTCGTGTTTCACTAGTGACATGAGAACACGCCTGGAAAAAGAATGCAGCCGAGAGCTTACAACAGGTGCCCAGCTCAGTGACGAAAATGAGCTGCTGATTCTTCACAGGAGTTATTCCACAAAAGATGGAACGAGCCATCTGACTGCTCCATCCAATGAAATGGCATCCGTAACAGACGTCATGCTTTTTTCTTTTAAAGAAAACTCTCAAAAAATGAAGCATATAGTTGGGGTCAAGTCATCCTTGATGTCTTCAATCAAAAAGGACATTATGAAGAAACATAGAGAATGGCTAAAACTAGAGTCTACTTGCAGGGAGCATCGCGACTTCGTAGTCAACTTCCTTGTGCGTTTGAAAATTATAAAAACTGTGCTGTGGACGTCCCGTAGCTTAAGAATGGCCCGCTACGGAAAATCTACTACAAAATCAGTACCACATCAACGTAAACTAAAAAATTTGCAACACTTGTAAACTTTGTTCAAGAGCTTCTTGTCATACACGCATATCTCAAAACTACTTAACTATAGATCAATGAATGAAGGCCAATAACTATTTTGTATTATTTATTACTTGAGTATCTTTTGCACATTGGTGCATCTTGTAAACTAGTTTTAATTCACGACATTCGTTTATTTAATCATTCAGCTGGTTTCATTATTTTTTAAATATCGCGATTATTCTATGGTGTAAATTATATAGTATTTTTCCCATGACATATGTTTAGTAAGCTGTTTCGTTTTCCTTATTTAGTTTACTGTATACCTTGTAAACTCTAGCATTTTAACATTACATACGTTTCGTAAGCAGGTTCGTTGCGTTTTAATATCGTGGTTATTGTGTAGTGTAATTTGTTTTATTAAGTTCATGAAAAACGTTTAGTGAGTCTTTTCGTGTATTATTTAATATCGTGATTATCCTATGGTGTAAATTTTAGTATTTTGTGCATAACTTGTGCTTAGTTAGCTGTTTGTATTTTTTTTTGTTTTTTTTTTTTTTGTTACTGTTTCCCTAGTAAACTGTAAGTTGTTGTATATATATATACACGTTTCGTTATTAGCCTTTTTTTTAGATTCGGTATCACGGTTGATCTATTGTGTAAATTGTAGTATTTTTTACAAGATATACGTTTAGTTAGCAAATTCGTTGTTTTGCTATATTTTTTCGTTTACTGTATGACTTGTAAATTCTTTGTAGAATCATTGTAGTTTTTGGTCCATGACGTACGTTTAGTAAGCGGATTTGTTTCTTTTTTGGTATTTCGTTTACTGTATAAGTTACCTTGTAAACTGTATTTTTTGTACAATACGTATTTCTTTGGTTACCCGTTGTTCTTTAAATACGTATTCAGATTATTCAGGAGTGTATTTTTTTTCAATGGCATACGTAGACTTACCGGTTTGATTTATATTGTCTTTTTTTACATTACTATTTCCATATGATTAGTCAGCTGTTCGTTTTTGTGCATTACCATTTCCATATGTTTAGTCTGCTGTTCCGTTGTTTTTTTAAAGCGATTATTCTAGGCCTACTAGTAGGGTGTAAACTATAGTATTTTGTTCATGTAATACTTAGAGTTAGATATTTGATTTTTTCATTGCTTTTTGCTAGGTTAAAAACGTCGTATTTGTTTGATGAATTTGTTTGTTTAGCCGTATTTTCCTTCTTCCTTGTTTTATAACGCATTTTAATACCAAATTATTAATAGTAAGTAATTATTTGATGTAATAGGAAAATTGTTTTTACAAGATTTGTTCGTATTTTTCTTTTCGTCATTATTCTATTATGCCTTTAAAGTATTTATAGTAAAATTCTTATAGCAATATGTATTTTTCAATTCATAACTTTGTATTGAGCCTCGATTTTGTTTGATTTATAATGTATTTATTTGTTGGTATACTTGATTAGCAAGTTTATTATATCAAGCCAATTTTACAAAGATTTTTAAAGATAAGGCTCTGTAAATACCTTTGTAGTTGTACACTCGTACTGTCAACCAGTTCATATGAAGTAATGGTATAAAGATTTTTAAAAATTAAAGTGTCTGTCGATACCCTTGTACTTGTACTCTTGTAGTTACAACCAGTTTATATGAAGTTAATGGTATAAAGATAAAAAAAATAAACTGCCTGTACATACTCTTTTACTTGTACTCTTGTAGGCCTAGTGTAAAGCCGAATCATAACTATGCATATTTTTGAAACGTTCTTCTCTCGTAGAATAAAGTGAAAGTAGTGCGTGTTATGTCACCGAGGAAGAATAGCCTACAGTGGTTTGGGAATCAGGGGTGTACGACTTAACCAATGGTACCAGACAAATAATAAGGCGTAAAAATAAACACTGAAATAATGTTATAGCACTTACCATATTAAAATTCTGGTAAATATTTTCAGTTAAAACTTAAAATAATAAAGAAATTTAGGATTTATGTTATAGAATTTTGTTAAATAAGCAGTGCATATGCATTATCGTACGTGTTCTTAGTTTTAAGTTTATTATATTATGTAGAGAATATGTAAACCCACAACAGAAATAAAACAAACTTAGTTGTAATATCAATATAATAAACTATCGGTTAAACGATAAAAATGGTTTGCTGTAAAGTTAATCAGAATTGTACGTAAAAAGAAAGGCAAAATTTTTTTACAAACCTTTGTAATTTGATGTGAGTTTAAAATCATGATAGACCTTCAAGTAAGTAAATCATATACAGAAAAAATAAATAAAATTGGAATTCCTGTATAGCCTACAATTAATTGTAGCATTACAATATTGACAAATAACTTTTTAATTGCGTAATGTATGGATAAAATTATGTTATATGTGTTAGAGGCAGTTGTTGCCGTTCGTGTTCATTGCATTCGCTTTGTAGAGACAGCTCGACCGGTGAGGGAGAAGCCGGTTGCTGTGGGAAGTGACGATGAGTAGGGGGGGGAGACTGACGCGCGAGCGCGGTGCAGGCTACCTTAACGCAGCGTGTCTCAACGCAGACTGAGCTCAGCGGCGTACTGCATTACCATTGACTACCACGACCCAAGCGTCAGCGGCCCGAACTACGTCGTCAAAAGCGGTACCGACTAACAGTATAGCGGTGGGCTCTCTAGGTTAGGTTTATACTCAATGCTATTACTAACATTAAGCGTATTCAATGTTAATCTTCTTAAGTTTAGCTTTACCTCGCCATTTATCAAACAGTAACATTAGACTTCAGATCGTGCTTGATTCTTTTTGTACTTTAAATGTTGCAATGTTAGACAAAAATGGAATACGCAGTCATATCTTTAAGTCTGGCTCGATCAAAAACAAAACGCCTGAGGCAAAGAAACAGGTTGATTGGTAATTAACATATGCTACCTATACTGAAAACCACAATGCATGGTCTCAAACATGATAATTATTAATTACTGCAATCGTTCATGTCTAACAATCATTTTATCCTCTGAATAAACATAGAATGTGAACAAAGCAAACTGTAAGAAAATTACTTATCAAATAATTCCTGTCACACTCCTGTAGGAACAAAAGACAAGTAAAGTTTTCTTTTTATTCCTGGAAAAGTTTTTAAGGATGCATACTTATCTATTATGGCTAGATAAACGATAACATTTATCAAGAGGGTTCACACACTAACAGAGAAAGTAGATTATAAGACATCTTTAACATTTACATTGCCCATTTGTTTTACTTCATTCCTTCAATCAACTAATTAACGTCTCATAATATTAGAATGGAAGAGAGCTCAGAAACCTTTGCTATTTCAGTAACTACAATCTTACATTGACATAATCTAAAATGGAAAATAAAGAATGCTGAAAAAGTTGTGGTATCCCACAATTTTATTCTTAGTTTAGCATGAATTTTCATTTCCTTTAGATAAATGCCTGTTGAAAAATACAATAAACCTACAGCGATCTCCGAGAACTCCCAAGAAACACCTTGGAAACCACAGAATGTTGGTTTCACACTGTAACTAAAAAGTTTGCTATTTTAAGGATATTAAAATATTTTTCCTTCTTAACATTGGAAGTTTTTTGCATTGGAATCTGTTGAGATTTTTAAAATTTGCCAAGGTGAAAACAAATTTTCTGACGTGTTCCTGTTCACTACCACAAATATTTTTTTTTATTACTAATAAAACTTGATTTAAGATAGTTTATCTTTTTCGACCAGAAGATGGTGGAAAAACCAGATATAAATAGGCATAGTTTAAAAAAAAACTTGTAGGCTAATCAATTGTCGCTGAAAGAAATAATTTATAATTACTTGATCCAGCAACTTAAATTATATCAAATCAAAGATCTTTATTACTGGGCAGATACTTTCTTTGTCAGTGTGTTATCACAAACACAATGAAGTCAGATTTGGTAAAATTTGGGTTGAAGTGAAATTTATAACCTAAGTTGGTGAATCCGTCTACATTATCATATAATACCTTTAGTAGTTTTAGCCTCTTGTGTAGGCCTATTTACACTAAAACTTCAAAATACTTTCCCTGACAACAAAACAACGGTCAAACTAATATGAAAATGTTGTTTCATTTCAGGGTGTCCTCAAGCAATTGTTGATTCCAGCCATAACCTTTGTGTGTCATTGTAAGTTGTTCTACAACAAACTAGCCTATATTAAATTTCCTTTTATAAACAAAAAATTAATGGAAGAAAAACAATTACAAATATTGTGTTAAGATATAATGCCAAAAAAAATGGATTTAGGAAAATACATAATTTTACAATTTTGCAGCTGTCATTTTTGGCACTCCTCAAAATACAACCCACCACTTTAGGTATAATTTTTTTGTTCAAAAATAATAATTAATACATTGCCAAATGTACAATATCAAATCAATACATTTATGCATTGCACAGATGCAATACAAAAATGTGACATTGAACAAAGATAAAAAATCAAAGTACTGTATTTCTTGTACATCTATAAATTTAATAAGCTACATGCAAACTTTTTTCCTAATGATGATTTTTCAAAGATTTACCCCTGCATAAACTTGTCTAGGTGTTGATTGAATCACATTTAAGTGATTAAATTCCAACAAATGCAGCTGACGCCAGGGTGTCCAGCCAACCAAAAGAATCAAAAGTTGTGATTACATTTTGATGACTGGGTAACAGTGACTTGTACATCCAGATTGCATGGGACCGGGAAATTTTGGCTTTCTAATAATGGCCAATAAAATCTGCCACAAATTGCACACAGAGTTGTGTCATGTAAATCGTGGTCACCAAAGATAACAAAGATATTTCTGAGATCGCGTATGCAAACAAAATTTCTTGTGAAAGTGTTTAAAAATGTTGACAGCGTCATGGATGCTTCCCCACTGCCGCCTTTGCTTGGCCCGTTGGTGCCCTCTTCTTGGCAGCGGAACATGCAGCTGCATGTGAGCCCTGAGAGGAAGACTTTTAAACTAGCTAGTTTATTGATTACCTAAAAAGGGATTGTAATATTACTTTTTTTGTTTCAATGAGTAAATTTGATTACATTGATTAAGACCTGATGAGAATATAGTGTCATTGAAAGTTGCTGTGCATGGCAATATGGCATGGTACTGAGAACTCAAATAATCATGAAATCAATCCAAAAAGTTGATCCACATAATTGTGCAAAGATGGAACTCAAAACGCTATTTCACCATAGAGGTAACTTAAAAACGTAATCACTTGATGGAAATGGAAAAAATAATTAATCTGAACTTCCTTTGATCGGTAAAGGCTTTTCAGAAATCTATTGACAATCACATAGTTTGATGGCAAGCGTTCACGGTGACCGAGTTGAACACAAGATTTGCAAATAGTATTTGGAATACATTGTCAAAATGATAAAGAACCTATAGAGTCTACATAGAACCTAATAACAATATCAGCACCTAAACAACAGGTGTTAAAATTCCCAAATTCTTTACAAGCTTTGACAAAAAGAAACAATTACGTAATAATAAGGTAAAATAATAAGGTGCAATTATAAGTTTTTCATTGCATATTGACTTTCCTGACACTATATTCAGGTTGTAATTTTTCAAAATGACACACTAAGGGAAAGGCTATTAAGTTACGACGCCCTGATGATCTGAAAATAGGTTAGTTTATCTCAACATCGCTACTCATGTCGGTGTCCTCGTCTGATGAGTCCTGGGAGGGGGAGAGAGGATCGGACAGAGATGTCTGTTGAGACCTGTCCGCGCCAACATCAGAGCCACTCGGCCCTGCGCCGTCCATGTCATAATCCCACCGCCCAGACGCCAACTCTGCAACAACACTAAAGGTTACAACTGTGACATGTATGTTGTGAGTTAAGCGGGGCTTGATTTTTGCACGGGCGAAGAAAATTATCTTGCTGTGGCGTAGAGGGTTGGTTGGTTACAAAAAGACCTGTACCATTTTAATTTTTATTTTTAAAGTGTTATAGTGTAAAACTAAGGATCCTAACCACCTCACCAAATATCAAATCAAATCAAATATTTTATAAGCTATCACATTCAAGAATTAATGCAGATTACAGCGGTATAAAATTTTATTACAAAATGTCACTATGTTACTTACTAGAGAAGTGTCGATTCTCGATACCACTAATACCTTGGAACACTAGGACCTTGGTATCAATATCAAGAATCGATTGGCAAAAGTCAATGTCGATATTGATACCCGACACCTTACCACCAATATATCTCAACCTTTCACATAGTTTGATGCCTTTTTCATGCTGGCAGAAAGCTGAATGAGTGTAGCAAGGGCGTTAGGCAGAGTTGTTGATTGTGTTTTGAACAATTTTGAAAAACTTCCATCATGGACTCACAGTGATACATGAGACGAATAAATCTCTACCGATCATTACAAGCTAGAAATGCTCAAGGTGACATCATACAGTCCAGTCTACAAATGGATTGCAATGCCTAAATTGGTTGGCTGTTGGTTCAAAGTGTTTAGGGATGAGGGTGCACCAGTATACCACCTTCAGTTCAGTAGTAATCTCAGCAGAGGCCACATTAATGTATGAATCATTAAAACACCTTTGTTGACATAACATCTGTATAGTCTTTAAGGGGTCAGCAGATTAAAAGAACTGACTCAGTAAATAAAATTGTAATTTTTATGATGTATCCATAGCGAAAATTGAACCACCCAACTATCTAAACTGGGCACAACTGAGCCAAAGGTAAAAAGGTTAAAGTGAAAAATGCCTAAAAATATACTACAATCCAAATCAAAACAACTAAACGATGCTGCTAATAATGTTGAAGTTATCAGAGAGCTGCTGTTGCAAGGACAAGCATATATTTAATCGGATGTTTACTTCCATCATCCGATGATGGTTCCCAATTTTTAAAGCTACATTTGTGAAGAATTAATTTTACTATTTAAACGTTGACCAGTGCAAAGAGCGGACAAAACAGCTAGTATTATAATTTCAACTAATACAGTACCTAAAAGTGATTTTGTAAGGTAAGAATACACAGCATTTTTAGGAATTATCTGTGAAATTAGTTTGTGTAGTACTGCTAGGCTTATGTTTACAGGGGTGCCTAGGAGCCCGTTAATCTTAAATCCGACCCTGAGCAGAAGTGGCATGTGTAGTAATCGAGACAAAGCTAACTACTTAAGTTATTGAGACTTTAATTTGGGAAAATATAAACCAACCTAGAAAGCTGTGGGAAGTCTTCCCAAAAGCCCATGTGCTTCAGCATTACGGCTTGAATAAAGCTACAATTGGTCAATTTTTGGCACACTAGTTTTTGAGAGTATTTAAATTTTGGTCTCCTGTATCCACGTTTAGTAACTATCTGAAAAATGTATAATTTACACGACTGTCTAATGTAAAACTATTTCCTCAATCCTCGCTGATAAATAATTGACAATACTCACGTGTGACATATCTTTCCAATGACTTAGGGACCAGGGATTTGGCTTTTTCCAAGTCTTCTTCTGTACACTGGCCTTTGTCCAAACCTAAAAACATACAAACATGTTAGGGACGAAACTATAAATAAAATTGAAATTGAAAATCAAACCCTTACAAAAATGCAAAACGACAACAAGGTAATGTTACAAATTTTGAAACCTCAGGAACTTACCTAACAAAAGGCCCATCTTCTTCAAAACTTCAAAATCATCATTGATTTCAAATTTATCGTTGAACTTAAACAGGTACTCCGTCCTGAAAAATAAAGCAAGTTAGAGTGGCAAGTCTTGATGTAATATTGGATTTATGTTGCTAATATGAAAATATACATATGCCTATTTTAATTCAAACAAAAACATTTGACTCTGAAATAAGAAAGATTACATCATATTTTTTAATACTACCCTATTAATTTTAATAGATTTAAATATAAAACAATATGAGAAGTAGGGGTCTGCGGTACAGAAAATTTAAGGTCGATACGGTTCGGTACGGTACAATATATTGTACCTCGGTTCTCGGTACAAAATCGGTACGGTACACGGCTACCTGTATTTTTGCGGTTTTCTTCTCAGAACTGTATTCAAACCATTATTATTTAACTTTAATACATTGACATTGCTATGAAAATGGATAGTATCCTACATTCATTGTTTTCTAACAATAATTACTGTACCACACATTATTAAAACAAAACATTTTACTACTACGAGGATTGTGTCAAGAAAAATCACAGTTAAGATAAAGACTTTACCTATTTTACTCTGAGATACTTTGAGTAGGCATGATAAAGTGGTTTAAAAATAGGATAAGAGTTTTTATGATTAAACATGTTTGAAACATTTATTGGCAAGATAATTTCACAAAACTGGTAAATTATTTCCAACAAACACAATGTATAGTTGTTTTTTAAATTTTTAAAAAACATATAAAAGCATTCAGTACGAAGACAATGTAGTTTTGCCAGCTGTTCACAGCAAACGAAAATCATCAAGCATCTTTTTTTATCAGCTCCAAAACTAGTTATAAGATGGATACTACTTTTGCAAAGTTTTTTTCTGAAACTAAAATTTGGATTATCACAGAGTAAGATTATTGTCTTTTCATTTACAAAGTTAACATCCACAATATCAATCATATCAATCATTAGTTTACCTCAGGCTCAATCCAATTTTCTTAGTATATTTTAAAGCTTGTACCATATTTTGATATATATAAAAAATTATTAAAAAAAATTAAAATTATGTACTGGCTAATAGCATAGACAAAAAGAAATAAATATAGACTGTCAGCTGTGCTGCGGTTAGCGTATATTCCGGCGCCGACCGCTAGGGGTAATGTGTAGTTACGGCGCACACCGCTGCATCATCAAGCGCTAGCGACCGTTTCCATAACAACTTGGTAGTTTGGAGTAGTGTTGCCAACTTTGGAGGGATTCCCCGGAATTGGAGTTTACTAACTTTTTTAATATTAATCGATAAAATAATTTAAATGCCATATTTTATTGTATTTTTTAAAACGTATTTGTTATACTTTTGTAGTTTCATTACAATGATTCAAAGTTTGTCTTTATTAATCAATAATTTTAGGAAGTGGGTTATTGGAAGGTTTTGTTTTATATTTGCAAGGTCAAAATCTAATTAACCAGGGTGTCTAGTATGCGGGGAAGACGGGAAAGTCAGGTATTAGTATTGCATTTCAAAATGGTCTTGAACAGTTGGGATTAGTCTTTATTCTGATATCAAAGTCGGGAAATTTCATGATTTTATCTCGATCGCACTAGACAACGATCACGTTTCCATGACGGCACAAAACGATGATGATGTCTACACGACCGCGGGAGATGTCCTTAAGCCGCGACCGTGCTAGACGTCGTTTTCGTGACCGCGGGAAAAATGATCACGTCTTTTCTGCGATCGCGCAAGACGATAATGTCTACACGGCCGCTGAAGATGTTCACAATTTCGCCGCAATCGTGGACGGCGATGACGTTTCGTGACCACGGCATTCAATGATGATGTTTACACAGCCGCGGAAGATGTTCATGATTTTTACGCGATTGCAGAAGACGACACTAGCGATATAGTAATCATTTCGTTTGCAAGAGTGGTAGTGCTGGTAACAGCTGGCGAGTAGTCGTGGTCGACACCGAATCGAATACCGATAACCGACATCGAACGGCGATAACGCTCTAGCGGCAGATCGCAAAACCTTTCTTTGACAGTCTATATTTACTCTATTGTCTATGCTAATAGTCAGCCGGGGTCGCCGGGAATCCCGATTTCGGGTTTAAACAAACGCGGTGGCCGTCGAGGCTGCTCGATCGCTTTTGCTGGTAGACTCCCGACGAAGACGGACGTGCGACAAATGCAGCCCTCATTTGGAGGTAATACTTAGCATTAGTTATTTGTTTTAAACACTTTAAACAACTTCTCTACATTCTTGACAAAATCTTAAAGCTGATTTATTCTTTATTGTTGAATTAATTTATAAAAAAAAAGTATACAAAATGGGTATTTCATTTCTAGGGTTCACGTTCTGGGCAAGTTTTCCCCTCTCCATAACAGATTTCTTTTGTCGTGATTCTTTTGTGCTCTATTAGGTTTAAGTGTTTTATTCAATAGTTTGTGTTAAAAATAAAGCAGTCTTAATAATGTGTATTAATAATTTTCCTGAACTAATCACAGTAGTTACAAAATTAAATAATGTATGTAATGATTTAAAATGAAAGGTAAATGTAAAATTTGGTACATACATATTATGCGCCACTCTGCTACTACTGTGATAAAGTTCTTTGGAAACATTGTTTTGTTTTACGTGAAATAAAAATGGCTAGTATTAAAGTTGATCTCTTAACAAAAGAAGAATTACTGTACGAATTAAAAGTAAGAAATATTGTTTGTGAAGGAAGTACAACGGTAAACACTTTACGAAAGAAACTCAGGCAATGTATTAGGGAAAATATTCCCGCTTTAGCTGAATATCTAGTGGGAAAAATTAGTGTTAATTCAGAACTAGAAATATTAGAGTTAAAAATAGGACAGTGTCAAGAATCTGTAGCTGATCTGACTGAAACAAGCAGGCCAATCGATGTATGTAGAAATGAAAATAAAATAGAACATTCTCGCAATAGGTTAAATATAATTCTTAAATTTAAATTAGATGAATCTCAGAGAAATACGTGTAAAGAACTAATGGATAAGATTAGGGCTATGTCAGAATCCTTAAGCAAATTAAATATTGATGTTAGTGTAAAAGAAAATGCTGTTCGTAGGATTAGTGAATCTAATATAGAGGAAGAAGAATTGCTGGATGATGTATTTACGAGAGATGAGTCACGTGTGGCTGTTAGCATAAGCGAGAATTTGAATTCTGTAGATGTACCACCAAGTAACTTAAACTCTGTAAATGTACCTCCAAGTAACTTAAATATTCCACCTACTGATACTAAGGTTTTCCGCAAATTACCAAATCCACTGGAAGCATATTTTAAGGATTTCAAATCAACTGATGGCTTACACTGTGGTGATTTCATTGAATTTCTAAAACTAATGTATAAAATAAAAGAGGAAACAGAAATGTCTGATCGGGCAATAGTTGAGATGTTTGTGTACAGAACGTCAGGAGCATTACATAACAAGTTAATTGAAAATAGGAACAAAGCTATCGCTGATTTACATTCAGAATTAATGAGATGTTTTATGCCATTAAGTTTAAGGGATAGCTTGATTAGAAAGTTTGTAAATCGTCCTCAATTTGATGATGAGGCTCTGCCAAACTATGTAAATAGTGTTAAGATTCATGCAAAGATTTTTCAATGTAATTACAGTGAAAGGGAAATTGTTGAGTTCATAAAAATGGGAATAAATAAAAGAGATAGGGCCAATTTGGTTTTCAGCAGTAACCCACGCACATTTAAGGATTTAGACGAGCTGTGTATTATGTCTCAGAATGTAAACTACAATAATTTTGTTAGAGATGATAAGAAAAAAGAGGTAAATCGCAAGGGCTTCCAGGTAAATAATGTTAGTAAAGTTATAACGTGTTACAATTGTAATCGACCAGGATATATAGCTAGGAATTGTTATAGGAAAACAAAAAACGAATAAAGTGGGGAGAGTTTAATGTAGGGAGTGTAAATAAGAACAGTCCGATAACAAGAACAGTTGATAATAAGAACAGTCCAAGATTAAACTTTCCCCGTTATCTGTCTCCCCGTTATTGTGATAGTTCGACAATGAATGAAACACCGATCACGAGAAAAGAACGTATTAAGTTTAAAAGGCAACAATATCGTATTGTAAAGAAACTAGAATGTTTTGATATTAATAAAATTTTAAAATGTACATATGACAGTGGGGAATTGCCAAAGTTATTTGTTAAATTTGATAATTACTTATGTGAAAATGCTCTGTTAGATTCTGGTTGTAATATTAATTTATTAAGTAAAAATATGTTTCTAATGTTACAAAGGAGAAAGTTAGCTAAGCGAGTAGTGAATCAGGAAATTTCTTGTAGGGCGGCAAATAGCTCAGAGATAAGAGTCACTGAAACATGCGTAGTTAAAGTCAAGGTCAACCGTTTCGCTTGGAACGTAAAGTTTCATGTATCACCGAACATACACTTTAAAATGATTTTAGGTAGTGGGTTTATTAGAGAGACCCAATTAATTATGAATTTAAGTCAAAATCAGTGTTACTTTGCCTTTTTACCAAATATTAAGATTTCTCTCAACAAAGTTAATGCCAATCTAGTGTATTCTTGTGATGTTAATAATTCCTTGAACATAGGAGTAGATGAAGTTAGGCCGCAAATTTTGAATATAATGCAAAGGTATTCTGATGTATTTACAGACAAGATAGGAAGGGCATTAGATTTTGAATATAAGATTAATTTAAAAGATAGTGAGATTGTTAATCAAAAGCCTTATCCATTATCTCCTCCCAGGTGTGCAGAAATGAAAGAAATTATAGATGACCTTCTTAAGCAAAATATTATAAGACCCTCAATTAGCAGTTATAGTTCACCATCGTTTTAAGTGTCAAAACCTGGTAGTATTAAGAAGAGACTTGTTATAAACTACAGCAAATTATATAATAAGATAGAAAGAGTAAATTTTCCGCTAGGGGAAATGCAAGATTGTCATCATTTTTTGAAAGGAGCTGGTTATTTTAGTGTGATTGATTTGGCAAACTCCTTCATGCAAATACCTCTACATGAAGATAGCAAGCATCTTACTAGTTTTTCAACTCCTTTCGCCTTATATGAATTTAACAGGATCCCCTATGGGTTACATGTAGGAAGTGGCTTACTTAGCTCATATCTAGATAAGGTGTTCCGGGATATTAAATTTGTTTATGTTATAAATTTTGTAGACGACATTTTGATATATTCTAAGACTAAGGAAGACCATCTTAGACATTTAGAGGAAGTTGTGAAGAGATTAAATTCTCATGGTCTAACTGTTAATCCATCAAAAGTAAAATTGTGCCATACAGAAATAAGCTTTTTAGGAAATATTATCTCTAGAGATAAGGTAACAATAGACCCAAGTCGCACTGAAGCTATTAGAAAATTTAATGTACCTAAGAATGTTAAGGAGCTTAGCAGTTTTATAGGTATGGTTAGCTACTTTTCAAAATACATCAAGAATTATGCAGAACTAGCAGCACCTTTAAATGAATTACGAAAGAAGCGTTGTAAATTCGAATGGACAGACAAATGTAACAGTAACTTTTATAAGTTGAAAGACTCGATAATCAATCCACCTGTATTAGCGATAGCTGATTTCAAGAAACCTTTTATTTTGATGACAGATGCGAGTGAGGTAGCTTTAGGTTCAACTCTTTTACAAAAAAATGAATTTGGAGATAATCTACCTGTTGCATACTATTCTAAAAAGTTTACTGATAGCGAAAGATGTTTAGGAATATATGAGAAGGAGGCTTTGTCTGTTGTGGCAAGTATAAAAAAGTTTTACAGTTATTTAGAGGTGCAACCATTTTATCTCATAACCGACAATCATGCCTTGTCATGGGTTCTTACCCAATTCAGAAAACTAGGTAAAATAGCCAGATGGGTGGAGTGTATTTTAAGTTTGCCATTTTATGTAATGCACGTAAAGTCAAAGGAAAATCCGGTAGCTGATTGTTTGTCACGTATGTTTCCCAACGAGGATAAACCTATACAAGTTGTAGATGTCTTAGAGGAAGAGTTTAATGTAACACCTGTTAAATGGAAAAGTTGTAAAAAGTTCAAATCAGTTAGCAGTAAAGTTAGCCCGGAAGCTAATGCTATTACAGAATTTCCCTTGGCTTACGTAGGAATTTCGAGTCAACAAAAATCTGATCCTGAATGCTTGGAAATAATTAATAGTGTGAAGAATAAAACGTATAAGGAGAACTTTTTCATTAAAAAAGATGTTTTAATGTACAAAAAGAATGACAAGAGTAAACCTAAAATCTATGTACCAAAATCTTTAATTGATATGCTATATAATTATTATCATGTTAGTAATTTTGGTGGCCATTTAGGTCAGTCAAAAACAGTGGCCAAGGTTATGGAGTATTTTTATAGAGAAAAGTTGCCAGAGGAAATACGCAGTAGAGTTAAGAATTGTGAAATATGTAAATGATCTAAACCACCACAGAGAAGATATGAAGGGGAGCTTATCTCTGGAATTTCCAGTGCACCGATGGACAAGCTATACGTGGACCTTGTAGGGCCTCTTACCCGATCTAAATTGGGAAATAATCAGATTTTGGTTGTTGTTGATGATATGACAAAATATGTGTGGTTGTTACCATTAAAGGATGCTAAAACTAAGGGGATTGTAACTAACCTAGAGGAAGTTGTGTTCAAAACTTTGGTAGCTGTAAGCAATTAGTTACTGATAATGCTAAATATTTTGTAAGTGTAGAGTTTAAAAACTTTATGTTTAAACATTGTATAGAACATTATACCATAATACCGTATAGACCTAGTGCCAATAAGTGTGAAAGATACATTCAAAATGTAAAAAGTCAAATTAGGGCATTTTATCATAACTGTCAAAATATATGGGATCGAGATTTGTATTTTATGCAACAGAGTTTAAATACAGCTAGAAATGACAGTACAAAATTTTCTGCATTTGAACTGATGTTCAAAAGGAAATCTAACCATGGTTTGAGCAATTTGTGGAATGTAAATGAGTTATTAAATCCTAAGTTAACAGAGTTAGAAATTAAGTCTATGATGAACAGAGCTATTACAAATTGTAAATTATCTGCAAAGAGAAATAGGAAAAGGTTAAGATACAATGCTGATAAAAGTAAACACCCATTTCATCTAGGGGACATAGTATATTTAGAAACCCATCGCCTGAGCAAAAAAGCGGAAAAATACCAGGCTAAAATGGATTTAAAATATTCAGGTCCTTATAAGATTATTTACTTTCTAAGTCCAGTATCTGTAATAATACAGAGCACAAAAGATTCATGCGACATAAAAAGAGCCCATATAGTCAATTTGAAGAAACAATGATGAATAATTAATTTGTTTAGATTGCACAAGTTCATGATTTAGTTTGTATAATGTAACTTTGAGTAAAACCACGCAATGTGTATGATATTATGCTGCACATGTGGATAAGTTTTAAGAAGATTAAGTTTTAATAATTTTGGAGAGGAGAGATTGAATGTAATGTAAATATTTTATGATTTAAAATGATTTTTTTTTTTGAGTGCCAGGGTGATTCTGTTGGTTACAAAGTCCACGCGTGGCGACTACAAAGCTTGACATGAATGACTTTTTTGGGTATGTGTGAGTGCGTGAATGTGATACGAAAGGCAGCGTGAATGATGACTTTACTTTTGACTTACAGTAATACTTTACTACGACCGCACTACTGACTAAACCATATGGAGAATCCTGGTAACTCGAGAAAAATAAATAGTATCTCAATAATTGTTTACTGCCTTAACACACATATTGTGCAATCTCAACCGTAAGATTTCATAAAAAAAAAAGGGTTAGGATATTTTCCCAAGAAGAGCCCCAGTCCTCGGTTGAAGCTGATGCCTAGCGCCTGCAGTCGACAACGCGGCAACAAGGCGACATCAGGGCTGCGAGTCGACGCTGCGCTGCGGCTAAGAAGATAAGACTTCGGTGTGATTGGTTAATTTGTTGTTAATTGAACTAATTATTGTTATTTTAATTGTTAATCAAATTAATGTGGGTGTAAATTAAGTTTAATGTTAATAATTTTAAGTTTTAATAATTTTGGAGAGGAGAAAATGTACCATATTTTGATATATATAAAAAATTATTAAAAAAAAATAAAATTATGTACTGGCTAATAGTCAGCCGGGGTCGCCGGGAATCCCGATTTCGGGTTTAAACAAACGCGGTGGCCGTCGAGGCTGCTCGATCGCTTTTGCTGGTAGACTCCCGACGAAGACGGACGTGCGACAAATGCAGCCCTCATTTGGAGGTAATACTTAGCATTAGTTATTTGTTTTAAACACTTTAAACAACTTCTCTACATTCTTGACAAAATCTTAAAGCTGATTTATTCTTTATTGTTGAATTAATTTATAAAAAAAAAGTATACAAAATGGGTATTTCATTTCTAGGGTTCACGTTCTGGGCAAGTTTTCCCCTCTCCATAACAGATTTCTTTTGTCGTGATTCTTTTGTGCTCTATTAGGTTTAAGTGTTTTATTCAATAGTTTGTGTTAAAAATAAAGCAGTCTTAATAATGTGTATTAATAATTTTCCTGAACTAATCACAGTAGTTACAAAATTAAATAATGTATGTAATGATTTAAAATAAAAGGTAAATGTAAAATTTGGTACAAGCTCTTCCAAAGAATCAAAAGACCCAGGCCTAGACCTAATTATTTAGAAGGGTCTATATATAAATTGATTAGGTTACAATGAGGATAGCAAAATCACTATCTAGTTCATAAGATTTAGATTGCATAAAGTACCTTCAACACAATAAAAAATACAGGAAACTAAAAAAACATTTAAGCCTTAAACAGCCACATCTAACAATAAAAGACAAGATACAGAACATGCAATGACATAATTTGAGACCGAGTAGGCTTGCATAACAAAAAAAAAATATGCAAACAACAACAACTATGCTTGTGGTTTCGTCAATAGAAAGATAAAATATCTATAGGCCTAACACATATTTTAATTTATAAAATAAGATTGTAGATTAGTTACAAGTTTAATATGTAGCCATAAACAGTTTTATGGCAGTAGGCAATGGCCAGCGGCAAATTAAATATTCACGAAAATACTAACTCAGTTAGAGATAACATTTAACAGTCATCATAAAACTATTATTTTTATGATAAAACAGAATTGGGGAAAGTCGTAAAGAAATAAAAGTGATAAAACTCAACAGTTCTTGGAAGTACTTGAATACAACAATTATTTTCGTGATAAAATGTTAATGGATTTGGGACTGCTAATGGGTTTTTTATTGCATCTTCACCCTTAGTAATAAACTATGAAGACTGTAAACAAACATCTGATAAGACTTTTATGTGCTTGGAACCAACTGCCATTGACTAAGATAGTAAACTGAAAGTAATTAATTATTATAATAGGCTGTACCGAGAACCGAATTTGTACCACCGACTTTTTCCGTGCACCGCAGACCCCTAATGAGAAGAGAAATTTACAGATAATCTCTTAACTAGATAGATCGACTCTTCATAAAATAAATCCACCAGACAAAATTAATAACTCTACTTTTTGTATCTGTAGTATAAACTTAATGCAACTACGATGGTCAAAGATGAAGTAGTCAAGTCTCTTTTCAAGTGTCAAGTTGATAGGTTTTCTATTTAGTCTACCAAACACTCACTTATCATTAGAAATCCTGCAGTCAATGACTGTTTTCTTGTTCGTGTTGACGACGACAAAGGGGAGTTCAATTGAGGTGTTGGGTGGTGGTATTCCCGTCTTTGCCTCATTCATTTTGTTTCTCTCCACCAGAAGCTTGAAGGAGACTTGCTGCAAAAAGAAATGTCTTTCATGATGTGGTGAAACATTAGGTTTGATTGGTGAACAATCAATCAAATGTGTTGCTTCCAGAAAACTTTTACTTTTGGCTAGCTTCGATAGCAACGTAGATTTAGGCTTTAAATCCCACCTGAATCGCTATTTTTTATTCAATTAGGCATTGTGTTGTTGGTGGGAAAGGTCTGCCATAAACATCTTCCTATTAAAAGGGAAATGATTTGAGTGGAAGTCAATTAGATCCATGTAGCAGAATAGTAAGAGAGAATATTTTATAATTTGTAACTTTTATTCTTAAGAAAAAATTATAAAATATCTTCGATCATTACCTGTGCTTTGCAACAGGGTGAAGATAAGGAAGAAATTAATAGGCTAGTTTCTTCAAACACAAGATGGTTTTTTTGTCTAAATTAGAAAATTTAAATGTAATTTATGTTGTGGTAAAAATATTCTGAACAAAATTAGAAGTATCCAAACTCAATCTCAATGATCAAATAATAATTTCTTTTAATGACATGTCGATACTAAAATTTTTCGATTCTAGATACCAATTCCTGAAAAATCGTCAAAATCAACTCTTGATAGCAAAATAATTTTTGTTTGTTTTACCAAACTTTCTGAATGGATTGGTAATACAACACCAACCCTGTCTTTACGTCTTTAAGTATTTTTGAGGTAATGGGGTGTTTTTCAAGTAAAGAAAAACGGTATGCAGCAATGATACATTCCAACTAGCCAATGTTTAAACCCTTCTAAACACATTAAAAAGTACCATATTAAAGATAAATGAAGATCTAACAACAAAAATCAAAAAGAAAATTATATTATAGAGGAAGGACATATTCAGTCAAGCCAAACTCGACATAATATCGTGATCATCGCCAGCGGTCGTGGAGATATCTTCTTCATCTTCTGGGATCACTGCAAAATCAAAAATAGTATCACTGTCTTTCGCAGTTGTAGAATAATCTTGAACATCTCCCGTGGCCATGTGATCATCATCATCTACTCCCGCGGTCACCGAAACGTCATTTTGTGTTCGCGGCAAAATCATTTAACATCACCCGTAGCCGTTTAGACATCATTATTGACTCCCGCAGTCACGGAAACGTCATCGTTGTCATCCGCGATCGCGGCAAAATCATGAACATCATCCGTGGCCGTGTAGACATCACCACCGTCTTCCGCGATCGCAACAAATTCATGACATCATCCGCGGCCGTGTAGACATCATCATCGTCTTCCGCGATCGAGCAAAACTCATGAACTTGAACAAGCAGTAATTTTTCGATCGCGCGGGCATGACAGGTATCGGTATCGGAATCGATTATCGACACTTCTTTAATGTCTTTGTATGATGAGCAACAGCTTGTTTAGCTTCAATGTTTTGATAAACTAGACAATACTGAAACATGAGCTAGGACCAAATCGTTTTTATAACTCAAGTGATATTCGTATGATTGTTTTAATGTTCTTAAATATTATTCTTTGAGTTTTAAGATAATAATTCTATTGAAAACATTCAATAGCAAACTAGTGAATCATTGCTTTTAAGACAAGACTGGAAGTTTAACATTGTGATCAATCATCCAAGCCGTTAGATACGTTTCAAACATATTTGCACAACCATCATTTGACCATATTTAAATATTATCAATTATTGTCAAGAACAAATTATTCATATGTTATTGAATAATAACACATCACCGCATCACAGTTTATTTTGGTGTACCTGCAAAATGAGTTCGTGCAGTTGTTGTGTTTTAGCCTTAATCCTATCCACCAGTTGCTTCTTCTCATTCACCAGGTCCAGGCATTCCTGTATGGAGTTAGTGGGGAGGCCAAGCCACTTAATAAGCTTCTTTTCCTTTGATATGATGTTCATTGCCATCAGCACGTTGAGAGCGTCATACACCCGACGTCTGATGTTCTTTTGGTCATACTGCTGCGGATTGATCAGTGATTAATGAAAAAAAATGGGAGCAGTACAGTATTATGGCTAGGAATTGAGATTCATTTATTGAGACACAGCTGCTGGTCTGAAATAGGGATGGTCGGGTCTCGAAATTTCAGGAAATTTTAAATCTTGTTCTACGAGACAATATTCTATTTTGGTCGAGAATCTTTTGAGACAAGATAAAAAACAAATTTTAGTTTTAAAAATTAAAAAATAGTTGCGAAGGCGTTTTTATTTAATTATTAATTCTTTACATGGAAATATTGTTTAGTTGTTTTATATATATATATTTTTTTTACATAGCAAATGATGAGAAGTTTTGTGTAAGCTGTGTGAGACATGTTTTACCACTGTAAACATAGCCAAAATAAGTCACTCCATTACTGTTGTTTTAGTCTTATAAATTTGATATTTTTCAAAGTTGAACTATATACTAACTGATATTTCCTTGTTTCCTATGCCCAAGAGTTATTTTTCATAAGTTAGGCCTTATTAATATATTTTTTTATACTGATGTTTTTATTAATATTTTTTAATAAAAGATTTTAAATACTTTTGTCTTTGTCTATTATTATTATTTTTGTATTTAAACAGTCTGTCATAAATCAGTAGGTATTTAACAATGTTAAAAAAATCAGGTTAAAATGTGGAACGTGCATTTTCCGTTATGTATGAGAAGGGAAATCTCGTCTCTATCTCGTCTCGAAATAAAAAATCATGTCTCATCTCAAACTAAAAATCCAATCTCGTCCATCCCTAGTCTTAAAGAAGTATTTTGTACTCTTTTTGGACCATTATCTTGGAATTGGAAAGCATTAGATTTTTACTATAAAATATTTTCACAAACAAATAATGTTTATGCTATTCCTCATATAAATAACATTAGATTTAACAAGTACTTAGGTTTGCTGATAGGGGAGAGGGAAAAAGTGTTTTTTAACCAAATGTTAAAAGTATATAATGAAATTAATTAATTTTCCAAACTTGATTAAAATGTGAACAAGCAAACTACCACAGTATTCTTTTTCTCCATAAGAATAAAATATAAGTCTTAGATGTAGAGTGTTTAGGAAGTTACTCCGTAACCTTTAATTATTGCCTTTTAATTTTTTTATTAATCTATATGTTTAAAGCTAAAAATAAAAAAAGATGTTTGAAAAAAATCAATTCCCTAATACACATTATTTCAATGATCCTATCTTGCTGGTTTGCAAACTCATCTCACATCTCTCTTTATCTCACCACACATTCAAGCCTGATTTCATTAATATCAGACCAAAACTACTAGAGTTATCACGTTTACGGACACATAGGCCTACATAAGAACAGTGTTTTTGGTCTCTTGGTGCATTTAAATGAAAAAGTGTATCGGTCTCAGGTCTAGGTATTATTTTACTACCGATGGTACCGGTACGTAATAGTTACTTTCTTATTGGGAAATTGGCTAAAAATGTATTCAAAATCTTCAGAAGATTCAGTGTATACAAAAACAAAACATAAAATTATATACAAATTTTAAGCTTCAGTCCAGAAAACAAAATAATATAGGCTATATTTTGTAACAATAATAAATTTGTCACAGGGCATTGAGCAAACAAATAAAAAAATAAAAAATAAAAAATTACGATTCTTACTAATTCGAAAACACTAATAATGGTCCAGAAAATTTTAGATGAATTTAGCAGCAAAAACTTTGATTAGACTGATACTAGGTTTCAAATTATTTAGCAATATCCCAGGCTCCTGAAGAAAACATAGTACCCTAGATTCGTGAAGAAAACCTTTCTTACATAGGCAAACATCCTTATAAACTTCCTAGAAAATTTAAATAAAATCCAGATAAAATATATTAAAAGCAGCCTAGCAGAGTTCTCCTCTAGGCAGAACATATGAATTAATTCCTAGCCCATGAAAAGGTAAGACAGACTATGTCCTTTTTTTATGTACATTGACTTGTTTTCTTCCATATAAATTAAAGAATCAGAATGATAGCCAATTTAACTATTATTAAAAGTTTGTAGTATTTCACAAATGATTTTATACTAAACACATTATTTAGACAGAGAATGAGCTCAAACCTGATCACTTGCTGCCGTATTGAGAGCAGGGTTTGTAAATTCTGCCACCAACTCGTCAGCTACTTCGTTATACGAAGTTGTTCCTTTCTTTCGCACTTTCTCACAAACTTTCATTGAGAAATGCCGAAGGCCTTTACCACCTTTTTCTGACTTCCGTCGCTTTCCACTGGAATAATGGAGTAAGTGATAAAATGTAATAATATTTGTGTAAACAAGGAAAGTACCTTTACGATGTCCTTTAAAATTATCCTTTAATTATTTATCTTACGAACTCAAAAATCCTAATTGTTATAAAACACATTTCTGATGCACAGACACAGTAAGGAAAAACCAAAAGAGGCAAAATGTCTGAGTTGAGGCCCAACTCCCATCAACCATGGTACTCGTACATAATTTGTTTTTTAGGTGAGCCTCTACCACGACAGTTGAACTCTTCACAAGTAGTGCACCAGACCTGACCAAGAGGATACCTGACACTTAATCTACAGAACTGTCTCCTGGCTGGAGAGTTGTCATGCGCTACACCTCTCGGCCGCTTATCAGACCTCATAGTCTCCCGCACACGATAGTCAACTAAAAGCCCAAGAGTGGGTAATGAAATAGTTATAACTGAAAGTTGGCCAATGGGCATCAAAGGTTTAATTATTATTTTGTTAGGTAACCACTTTAGTATCTGAAACAACATTAGCACTTAGCAGAGAGACTGGCAAGGAACGTTAAATCTGTACTAGTGCAGATTGTATAAACCCAACATAATTTTTTGCAAATGAAAAAGTTACATCGTTAACCATTCTTTGTTAATTTTCATGACAATAAGTATGACATAGAAATTATTACAAAAATTTATGAATTTAAACAAGACCTATTTATTCAACTTACTACTCTGGAACGTAGTCAGTCTCGATTTCCTGACGTTTACGGTTGAAACTTCGATCCAAGATTACTGGTCCTATGTAGTTCGGTGTTTTTTGACTATTGGTATTCTGTATCATTTGCTGCATAGAACAACAAAATCATTAAGCTAAATGCACAACTTCACAATAAATAATAATTTTAAGCTTATGATATATTACTCTCTGAGTACACTCCTTGATTTAGTCAGGAAATCTGGTTTTAATATTACAGGACACTATTTGAAATCTTTTAAAAGAAAAAAGTAGATAATAAAAAACAAACATTATGTGAAATGAACCCATGTAACTATTAACTAATAATTTATTAAGGTTTTGAACCCTAAGCGATATATTTAGTTTAAATTCAACTATCGGTATTAACAAAGTCAAAGCAAGAGTTATAGCCTACTCTGCATAACGAAATAACTTTGTCTAAAAATGTTTTTTATATGAGAAAAATTTTTCTCTCAAAAGTCAACAATGGGGTGTAAATAATGAAAATACAGCTCATTTTTGAAAAATACTTTGTCTCCTTCATGCAGTTTCCTTAATTTGCCAAGAATAAATCAGCAATGGATGCAGTTATCAATCAAATCACATATCCTTTTATCATTTACCTTTTGAAATGATTGGTAACGTTAGATTGGGTTAGGTTTGTTTACTAAACTTATTAACAAATATCCTAGCAAAATAAAACATTGTGAGATATGCACTGTCTAATCACTCTTAAACTTAACTCTTAGAAATTTGTATACTGTGCAAACCAAACCTTGAATGTATTTTGATATTCAAAATAATAGTTGAGTTATAACTTTACCACTTGCTGCGGCGTGACCGGCACAGCTGTCTGAGGCTTTGTTATAATAGTGGGACTGTTTTGAGGTTGTGGCTGAGCTTTCACAACAGGAGAACTCGTCTGAATTACTAGTTGCCCTGAAAAACATAAATGTGTTTGAAAGGCTTTTAACATGGCAAATGTCAAATCGGTGATTTAGCCTTTATATTAAGTTTAACCTTTTGCGCTCGGTTGGTCTGCAGTACTTGCTGAGTTATTGACATAAAAAATGTTAAGAAGGAACTGACTGGCACCTTTTAAAAAATATCAGCTTGGCATTATTTTAGATTACAAGTTACTCACTATGTATCACTACAATGCAAACATTAAAACATACATTCTTATTACAGTACCTTTCTTCTTAATCTTTTACAAAAAATAGGGATGGATTGTGTCATAACAAATGAAAAAACCTCACTTTTATAAGCATAAAATAGGCTCCTTTGTTTGAAGTTCATTGTTGGTGATGGTGAGTTAATGTTGTTCAAAGGTTTATTACGGACATTTTCCATCACGAATGTAAAAAACAATACACAACGTTTCAGGATTTTTCCAGATCCCGAAACGTTGTGTTTTGTTTTTTACATTCGTGATGGAAAATGTCCGTAATAAACCTTTGAACAACATAAAATAGGCTATTATAAACATACTTGGAGCTTCTACGAAAATAGTTCAAAGGATGAAATATAATATATAGCCTACAAGTTATAATAACTGAGATGATAAAAAAGAGGGATATCGTAGATTAGCAATTTCATTATCAGCCACAAACTCTAAAATACTGTTCTGGGTAAAATCATAAAACACATGATTTTTGTCAAGTGCAGCTGGAATATTATAGTGATTCTATGTCGGACAGCACTTTTTAGTGGCAAGGCTAACAGATGTGAAATTTAATCTAGCTGCTGTGCAAAAGACCAGCTGGCAGATTAAGAAACTAAAAATAAGGACCAATTTGTAAGGGGTAAAAAAACTACACTAGGGGCCACAAGAGTCTGCAGATGGCGGCAGCCAATAGCAAGACTGGACTAGCGCGACGTTGCAACATCACCCGTTCACTAATTTGCAACACTAATTAAAATATACTAAACAATATTTTCAAATCAGCTGGTATTTTTAGATTTGGCACGCCGCACGGTCCTCATTGGCTACTTTGAAGTCACGTGGTAAATAGGCTCCTCCCTCAACTGCAGACTCTTGTGGAATGTTGTACTGTAGCCTAATATTGTATAGGCCTGTACATAATTAATACACTGTACATAAACAGTGTAAAGAATCTCTACACATAACTTTTCTTCCTCTTAGCCTTAAAAATCAAATGAACTCCCATAAACGCTGTAACTTAAAATAAATAAAGATACACTGGTTACTTACTTTGTCCAGGTTTTGCTATTCTCATCATAGGTTGTTGTATTACCATCGTATTTCCACTTGGTGTTACAACCTGAAAATGAAACGTGAATAATTATAAATAAACAAACTAAATTTCAAGAATATTAAGCTAACTGTACATCTTTTTACATTAATAAGGTTCGGTTTACTTAATATTTTGTATCTTGACTCTAATGTACCATATGAATAGTAGGCCTATATCAATTTAATGGTATGATGACTTTCATGGTCAGTCGCCATGGTAAATTCAAAAACTGATTTACTAAAGGTTCAGTATAACATAGTCAAGTGAGAAAAACTGTAAAATACCCCCATCGCAGCAAACCTGCAGACTAAGTGTTTAAATAGGCTGTGTTTAATATTTACTTTTTGTACTAGTGTAAACACAGCCTGACGATAGAAACCTAGTTTCTAAAAGCGCTTGTGAATTATAACAAATTATTATATATTGGCCTTTTTAAACATATAAATTTAGTTATACATTTTATTATTTCATTATTCTCCATAAGAATAACAAGGAAATTTTAAATTTATATTTCTTTAACATTTTCCTTAGGCCTAACCAATAACCGTACAAAAACACTTTAATACACTTAATTATTAGGGTTTTCAAGCTCTTTAAAACGGTCTAGAGAGAAATTGGGAAATTTTGTGTTTTAAAGGTGAAAAATTATAAAAACCTATTTTAACCCAAAAAACCCCGTTCCTATGGTCCGATCATGCCAGTCCACAAAGTCATTCATGTTTATCCTGCCTTAAGTACACCTTTGACTATTTGCTTACACCTTCAAACACATATCCTATATATTAATAGGCAAGCATGTTTCTAGAAAACCTTTTTCCTCAGCTCGTGTGCATCACAGGGAAAATCTACGCATAGGCCCTACAGGTTTTTTTTTTTTTTTTTTAGAGTTTGGCGGTCTCTTTTAACCTTGCATTTGCTCGTCCACATAGACTAAGCGCCCGTGCGTGGATCGTTTACAGCAAAGCAAGGAGTGAGCCGGTACAGTACAAAGGTGAACTGTACTGATAAAATGTTATCGGCAGTGACCAGGATCCGAACCCATGACATCGCTGCCTTGGGCCCCCAAGTCCGCGACGCTACCGACTGAGCCACTGACTCACTGTTAGAAAGATATTTTCCAGTAAATGTGCAGAATTCCTTTATAAATTAAAATAGGCTTAGGCCTACTAATAAGCATAAAAAATTAATTTAAAATATAAAAAAAATTAACATGGGCCTCATGGGTTGCCATGCTGGTGACGAAATAACAACAAAATATAAACAGAAAATCAAAACAAATATGTTTTATTTACAGCGAGGGTTGAAAATAGAAAAGTTTGTACATTACATATTTTTGGTCGAGTTTTCGACCACTGGACGACCTCTAGTACAGTAGAGAGTCAAAAATCCAAACCAATTAGGTAGTTCAGATTATGTTCAGATTGTCAAACACAACCTAGAAATGCCTAATATACACACAACTAGGCCTAAAGTATTAAAAAATACAGTTCTAGGATACAGTAAATGAAATAAATACAAACGTTTTTGTAGGTACCTAGGTATTTCCGGTACATTACTGTAAATCGTTTCTTGAAAAATATGTAGATTTTATTAATTGGAAATGAAAAAAATATTGACTGGCTCGGCGCGTTCACTCATTTCCCCGCCGGCTGCTGACTGTTTGGCCCGCGAAATTGTATAAAACATCTGTTATCTCTGTGCCAATTCAATATTTTAAAACCATCAGGAGCGGTTTGGATTTTTGACATTTTGGATTTTGACGTCAGATTTTTGACGCTCTAGGCCTACTGTATATATAAATCTATATATAGTTATATAGATAAGGAATGAAACTTGGTTGGCCTAAATCAATTACTGTATAGCCATAAATGTTGACTCTTTTAAGCTAACTACTTTTTTATAATATAAGGGGACGCCCTCGAGTCTGACGAAATTCTTAAATATCAGTGTAGGTTTGGTTATCAAATTAAAGGTCTCTGTTAGTAAAACACAATGCCACAAACCCAAACTCAAACGGACAATTGAGTCAAAAATGACAGCTGTTCAAACATTCCTTGAGTTTGCAATGCTTATTATACTGTGAGGCGCCCGCTAAAAGTTGGATATATAAAATGAGATTTTTTCTGACTCCTCGTGGGCTGTCCCCCTTAAAGTACCTAGGTAAGGAGGTAAAAAAGTAATAATAGCTTGAAAGAGTAGACATTTATAGTTATTATTGATGTACCAAGTCAAAACAAAAAAGTAAATAGGTCTCGGGTCTAGGTCTTACCATGAGACCTACGGTAATAGCTTATTCCCTATATGGGAAATTTGCTAACAAATAACATTTATGTAGATGTACAACATTCTTTTAAAAGGATCTTCAATCATACCTCACCTGTAGGCCTATTATTACAGACCATCCTATCCTCCTGTAAGTTAGCAAGAGAGCAGAACAATAAAATTATTTAAAAAAACATTTTCAGACAATATATTTAAGTTACCTGAGTTCCAGCTTTGATGACTCTTACAGTCTGCCCAGTTAAGGGTCTTATCCCAGTTGCAACTACCTGCTTGGCATTCGGGTTTTGAACTTTAATAATTTGTGGTTGACCTGGAAATTGATAGAGATTTCAAACTTAGCTCAAACAAACTAAATCTGATGAACAAGGTTAAAAATAACTGCCCTCTAAAATTAACACAGAAGAAATGAGATATACTGTAATATAAACATCAAATCCGTACACTAAGTTAAGTACTTTAGAACTCATCATTGGGCTTTTATAATATAACATGATTGCTGAGTGGTTATAATGCACACCTAATGACGACAGCTTGGACTGCACTTTGGCCTATGAAAGGGCCTCTTTGATAGGTAACATGAAAACTGGTTTCTTGCTTTCTAGGGTGCCTACCAGATTTCTCAAATGGAATTCCCGACTTTTTATTACGATATCATTTAAAGTCCTGACCAAAAACTCAGTCCATTCTCCATGTTACTCCACCTTTTTCCGTTGCGCGGTCAAGGTACCTTCGTCAACACATGTCGTCACGCAGCGAAATCACTGACGATCAGAACAAATCACGTGTCAAGAAAATCCCGTATCACACTGACCCATAATAGCACATGGGCCATTATGCCCTTTCCACCGACCTAAATTGGAAGCTGTATTATGTGACTATTATGTGGGTTGTTTTTTTGGCCTAAGTATGGATGCCATTTAGGTAGCATCGGTGGGCTAGGTGCGTTTATCATTTAGTTAATCAAATGTAGGGGTGTGCGAAGCAGAAAAAGATTTACAATTCAAAGCAACGATTCGGTTAAAAAAATATCCATTTGAAGCAACACAGCATTTTTCTATTGGAACACACATCTTGTCAATGGAGTGAAATATTTCTTTTCAATCATATAGCCTATTAGAAGAACCAGTATTGTTAGAAATATCAGTGAGCTGCTTGCCTATTTCATAATCTTTACTTGCAGCATCATATTGTTAAGCATGTTACCTCTTTTATTTTATTGATTTTACAAATAAATATGTTTTGGTGTAAACGAATAAAAACCTTAGTAGCCTAAGATTTATTGCATCTTCATTTTGACTAATCTGTGATGTAGGCCTACTGTGAATAGTGGTGGCGACTACTTGTTTTTGGTTGCTGTGTTCTAGTATAACCACAACATCGGCACGGTACGCTTGCATCACCATTTTACTTGCCCAAGCGTGCCTCCAATGTAAATGCAGCCTAAGCTGCATAGTCCTGTAGCATTCATTCGTGTCACAAATAAACTTTAAATAGACGCAATATTGAGTTCCGATGAATGCCGATCTTTTGAAAACATTCTCAGATTAGCCGAAGGATGTAGAGTCATGTAAACGCCACAACCTTTGGACCGATTCAGGATTAGTCTATGTTTATTTACATTACACTACATTATCTACACTCGTTCGGCGGATGGTGTACACAGGGCCTATACGTTCCGTGGTGTGTATACTTAGGTACCCTGTCCGCCAACCAAGTGTACAAATGGTGTAGCTTGGTGGTAGCCTAGTGTAATTTAATACCTTAGGGGAGACTTTCATATCTGTTGTCAAAAACAACCGAATGAAAATATCGATCGATACTTAAATAGATTATTTTATATAGGCTATCGATTATTTCATTCAATGGGCCTAAGTTGTTTAGTTAGTTAGGTCAAACAATAGGCCTAGCCTGTATCAAATTAAATAGGTAATCGAATAAAAAATATTGATCGATAGGCCTATTTTCATTCGGTTGTTTTTGACAACAGATAGGCCTAGGCCTAAGTATTAGACTGTGCTCATGAGGATGCCACACATAACTTAGTGGTGAGATGTATCGAGCTGAAAATTCAATAGGCTAACGTCAAGGTCCGGGAAATGCAACCTAAAGGTAAATTTCGCTAAGTGCGTCAATCCTATTACCATATTGTTCTTGAAACTGGGAATGTCACAAAATTTAATTTTAATAATTGGAAATCATTGCATAAATAATCCTAGCCTGGTTTAGGATATTTTTTAGGTAGGCTAGGATAGCTATGGGAATAGTTTTACCCTATTCATTATTTTAGGTTATGTTAAATAGATGGGGCTTATCATTTAGTTAACTTATAAATTTACTGAAGCATAATCCCAAATTTACAAAGTTCATCTTGTGACTGCTCTTTACTTAATTGGTTAAATTAATTTACGCCGATCGATAACGTTAAAAAAGGCGATAGGGAAATCTGTTGGGCATTATTTACTATTAATCCCGCCAAAACCGAATTGAAAGTACTTTCCCCCCACTACTGGATTACGATAAGCCCCATCTTGGAACACCTACCCCTTCAACATTAAGGCCATATTTTAAACACTTACCATTTGCATCTTGTATAATCAAATCAATTGTATTACTTCGCTGAGCCATGATGGAATGCTATTTTAACTGCTTTCAAATTTATTCATTGAAATATCACATATAAACTTCAATAAAATTTAAATTAAAAGGAGCTGTAACAGTGCAGTCCAACTCCAGGACACAGTCAAAATGGCGACGAAAACACTCTAATTCTTGTAATTTATGAATTTATTTAGTATATTAGTAACGTAAGGAAGGAGATTATTTCAAGCTAGAGTTCACTGTTAAACTTTTCAAAATTCACTAGAATTATATGAGCGAGTTAACGCAAAAATTTAATTCACTAAATTTTGATAATCAATTTTAACCAACATTGTGGGTAGGCAAGGTTTGGCGGCAGCTTCCATTAAACAGCTGATTTGTGGAATCAAGCTTCAGTCCAGTACAGGACCGTGGTTCCGTAAATACTGGAACGAGGGTCTGGACGGGAATCATGTGGTATGGAACCTTAGTAGATTTTTGATTGGCTTACAAGTTTCTTCTGTAGATGTCAATTTCTTAATGCCGGCAAAATGGTCGACGAGATAGCAGCTACGCTGCCAGATATTGTTTTGGAAGTGATATTTTCGTATTTGGACCTTCACGATTTACGGAACTGTTCGTTAGTGTGTAAAAATTGGTATAGATTTCTTAATGACGATAACAATGATGTTTGGCGTCTGCACTGCATAAGAAAATTAGCTGAAGAAGCTCTCAAGTCGGACCTGCTTTCATCTGTGCCAACTTACAAGGCTAAATTAAGAGCGTTTTATCATGCTTGGAACCCTAATGACTGTTCGCGAAATATTTACATAAAACCAAATGGGTTTACGTTACATAGAAATCCTGTTGCTCAAAGCACGGACGCATCAAGAGGGAAAATTGGGTTTCGACATGGAAGGCATGCTTGGGAAGTGATATGGGAAGGGCCTTTGGGCACAGTTGCTGTTATAGGAATTGCCACAAAAGAGGCTCCCTTACAGTGTCACGGGTATGTTGCGTTGTTAGGATCAGATGAACAAAGTTGGGGATGGAACTTAGTTGATAACCATTTACTCCACAATGGAGATTCTCAAGGAAACTATCCACTAGTCAACAATGCGCCTAAATATCAGGTAAGACTTTTGACTGGTTCATAGCTGGATACCTACCTATGTTTTTAACCTCCTGTAATTGAAACAGTTTTCATTCCTTTTACTGCAGCCTATTGAGAACTTTTTATAGGCCTAGGCCTAGCCGCTTAACTTATACATGAAGCCCGTAGGCAGGCAGGGTGTCTCATGTACCGGTACATGAAAAAAAATCTAACTGAGGCAGGTAACCTACTGCCTACTGGCCTCGTGTAAACACGACTTAAGTTATGAAGAGCAGCGACTTAATTTGTTCAAAGCCCAAATCCTGATTAGGTTAGCCTATCTTATCTGTGACCCAAGTCTCAGATTTAGGCTCCGTATCATAATTCTCTTTTCCTTGTGCCCCAGGCCCTAGACAAGATTATTTTTAAGTTCAAGATTATTTTAAAAGACATACCCTACTTATGTTGATGTTTTTAAGTTAGGCCTTTAGTATTTGGACCAGTTGCGTACATTATTTGTTTATGTTTATGAACCTTAAGTTACCGCTTTCTGTTCTAATATTCATGGTTACATCAAGTTATATCACCACTGTATCTTGTCGTCAGTTGTTTTAAATGAAAACTTCCATCCGCATTGTGCATAGGCCTATTGAAAGTCAGGTTCAGTCGTCGGGCTTTATCTTATTAGGTAGGCCTACCCATAATCTTACCTTGTGTCGCTGCTACCTGTAGTTGCCGAAACTCCACCGCATTTGCCTGTTTTACGTCAGACATTCAGGTGACGCTGGTCATTACCGGTACGTATGTACGGTATAATTATGATAAAATATGTGTGAGTACCGGGGAAAGCTTTCTATTTTTTACCACATAAAACCCCCATGAACCCTTGTTCCCATAGTCCGATCATGCTGGTTCGCGAACTCGTTAGAATAAGTGTAGGTTTTACAGTTTGTTACCAAATTTCATCAAAATGGGATCATTTTTGCTTGAGTTATTGTGCTAATGAACATATAGGGCCTAAATATATATGTTTTCAGAGTTTGAACAGATAGGCTATAGGCCTATATGCTGTTTTTGGCCTCTGGCGACCTCAAAACTAAAAAGCAAATCGGTCCTAAGTCTAGGTCTTGCCGTGAGACCTCCGGTAATAGCTTATTTATTCCCTACATGGATAATTCGCTTAAAGGACAAAACTCCAGTTGTTAAAACTTGTCTTGTATGACAGCTTTATAAAATAAAAATAATAAATATTAAAGGTGAGTCAGTATTTTTTCTTTCTTTTTTTATAGCTACCTAAAACATTGCTTGGAAATCGACATTTTCATTGCTGAAAAAATCTGTTTACAATTTTGCATATTACTTAGGTCTATCAAATATTTATGCAATTTAATTAGGCCCATATTGGCCTAATTTAAAATTGTGATGGTTCAACAAAATATATCTTTCTAGATTCCCTGTTTGTTTTTTCAGGTTGGAGAAAGGATACGAGTGATATTAGACTGTGATGATAATACACTGTCTTTCGAGAAAAACTATGAGTTTCTGGGTGTTGCGTTCAGAGGTAAGAGCATTTGAACCGTAACTGCTGCCCTATCGCATACACATATAGCCTACAGCTCATTATTTTTCTATCAAACCAGATGGTTTATTTATTGACTTGACCTGGATCCTAAACTTCAAATAACAAAAATGCTTTTATGCGAGTTCTACTGGAGTTGTAATTTAACCTGCAATTATGCCTGTCTTGTGGTTTTGTGATTGATTTTCACTTAACATATGTTTTTATTAGGCCTATTATGATTTTGTCCTTATCATGGTCCAATTTTGTTAAAAATATTTTTGTTTCAAGTCTTATTAATTGTTCCCTCTTACTACTTGTTTGTGTATTTGCATGTGGTAAGGAGTTCAATGCAACCCCCTAATTTATCAGCTGTAGCCGAATCCAGCAAAGATATGGTTGAACCGTCATCTAAAAGTGCGTAGGTGTCGATCTGACAACTTACCATAAAATGTCACTGGACATACTTCAAGTAATACCGTTATTTTCCGAGTGATTGCTTAAAATTTCTTCTTTCGCTTTACCTTCCTGTCTGAAAGTTTTCTGTACTCTGTCCTGGCTGTTCTCTTGGGCATTTTTTGAGGGACTGTCAGTACTGGTATGCTAATGTTGAAGGCGATGGTGGAATACATTGCACCTTTTGATTCCACAAGGTTTGTTTAATTTTATAAATTTGATGTGGTGACAACAGAAGCAATAGAAACACATTTTTTCTCAATTATCATTTACCACTGCTGCGCAAATTCTGCTTTCCTGAAAAGCTTACATTTCTCAGTTTCATGACTTTCCGAGAAAAAAATGCAAACGTTTTCAGTCCCGGACGAATCAGTCAAAACTGGTTTAGGGTCACTTCTCTTCCCCGCTGTCTCTTGGGGTGGACAAAAATAATACTCATAATGGAGTACTGATTTTTTCAGAATACTTTCTGGTCAGCAGGTTTTCTTCCTAATACATGCTATTTACATGTTCAGCCCACCTGTACTTAAGATTATAGGGAAGCTTATTTAAAAGATCATTCAACAAAGGAGGATGAATTAAGTACATTTCCAAATCCAACGACTGTGGTAGAGGTCAAATTAAAAGACTTGTTGAAAACTCAATAAGGCTGACAGCGTCAACCTCCTCGACTGGAGCATGCTTGTCTTTAACATCGACTCGACTATAAACTCGCCCAAACCGCATTTCTAAAGTTTTCATTTCTAAGGTTTTATTACTGGAATGAAGTTGCATGGTTGCATGGCTTTGGTTCACACCATTTAGCAATATTTCTTCAAAATATCACTGTACAAGGATGATGGCTCAATGGAAGGCATACTCTTCATCACTTTGACTGATGTAGGCCTAAGTGGTAAATTTGTGGAAAATCACAGTTAGTGCTGGTGACATTGACTCCTTCTCTTTTGAACGACCACCTGCATATGACACTCACAACCTCACACATGTATTTGTCCTTAGTCTCATATCAGTCTACAAACAAGTCAGAATCTGTACATCTCACATTGTTTGGTTGGTACAGATTTGATTTGCTGATTTTGTAGAAATTCGACCCAATCTTTTTCTATGTAGCCTATTGTAAATATTTTATCTAATTTTCAGTCCTTGTCATCACCATAAATAAAATAACTCACACGTACAAAACTTAGACACACACAAAATTATAGACATAGAACGTTTAATCGATAAAAATGTCAGACTGTGTACGCTGATGTTGCTTGCAATCGGATATTTCTGATCAATACCCACTGTGCGTATTATGAGTGGTTTGAAACAGAGCAATTGTTTCCTTTTTTTAATGTTAAGTGTCCATTGTTGCAAGTGTGCTGTCAATAGTTTTTACATATTAGGCTACCATTAAATACCTGGGGAACTTTGAAGTACTAAGGTTACACTTTGTTGTAGGACTGCCAGACAAGAGACTCTACCCATCCGTGTCTGCCGTGTATGGCAACACAGAAGTGTCCATGGTGTACCTGGGGCCCCCGCTGGATGGCTAACACAGGCGGGGGTCTGACCGATGAGTTTGATATTCCTACAGTTCAGGTATGTATTAGTTTGTAGACAATCAAATGTTTATTAATTTTAAAACAGATGCATGGTAAATAATCTGTTAATGAACAGGGTGTCCACATACCGGGAAAAACAGGAATCATACGGGAATTTTCTGTGTCGGCAAAAACCCTGGAATTATACGTGAGTTGTCTGCAGTATGGGAACTTTGGTTTTTGACGCTATCGGGTAGTGATGGGTCGATTACGATGCTACAACTTTGTTTTCGATTCTCGATTCCGCACACGATACCGATATCTGTTTAAAATTCATTTAATAATAGACCTACATATAAGTTGACTTACGTGTGCTTCTCGTTATCCCTATAAATTAAGGAGCATGCCATTTTCATTTAATCTTTATACATTAAGATAATTTCATTGCTATTGATTAAGGTTACATAGATTATTTAGGTTAGCCTATACGGAAAATAAGATATTTCAAGAAGACAGTCACGTAGCCTGTAGTATAGCCTTGGGTACCTATATTCAAAGCAGCAGCGTGTTTTCTTATTGATCAATGTGGATTATCCTCCACAGCATCTCGAACACGCTCGATATTTTGTTCAGAACGCACTTCTCTATGGTGACCGATGGGGCGAGAGTTCATAGTGTATCCTGTAGCTTCAAATTCGTGCACCCAGCATTTAATTATGTTCACTGATGGCGTTTGGTTAAGATCATGAAGTCTGTATTGAGCGCAGAAGTGTCGTCGAACTGTCACAATAAGAAAGCGTTTTGGTAATAGTAGCGTACACAGAAAGCACGCTGCTCACCGGGAAAGCGATCCATAGCAAATTATTTACTAAGCCCTGATAAGCTCCATATCTTATCTCTCTTGGACATCCGGCTTTCCCCAAAATTAAAGTGCATTCCTTTCTGGGACACCCAGTATTTGTAAAAAAGTAATAAACCCCTTCTTTATGTTTATTATTACTCATAATTAATTTGCAGAATGCTGCGGTGACAGGCTAACCAAGTTGCTGAGTTGGAACCTGGCAACTGAAACGCCTCCCGTATAGATCATGACCCAGCATGACAACACTGCCTTTACCACTCCATCTATAGGTTAAGTTCTTTAGGCTTAATTTGATACTTTTCCAAAGCTAATGGGAAGTTGATCCTTATTTTAAGTAGTCAATGACATCTAAGTTCCAGAAAAGTGAATGAGGTATTGACTTTTATGGAGAAAGTCTCGAGGATTATTTGAGATAGGCTTTGGTAATCAAAATAGTTAATTTGCTATGATGTGGCTAACAAATTAAGATATTTGACATATAATTTTAATTGTGTATGCGATGTCATAAAATCACGAGGCTCCATCTTTTAGGATTGAAATGTAATTTTCTTTGCTCAATCTTACACATTAGGTAAATCATAGCTTCTACAAAATTATGTAGTGGCAAATATTTTAGCGGGAAAGTATATATTTAATCAGGTGATTAGTAAAACAACCAGGAAAAAATTGTTTTAGAGTACCATTAATTGAAAAATCCAATGTTGATTCAGCTTGATTTTGAAATGTCAGACGAACTCATGTTTAAAGATATATTGTTAAACCTCATGAAAGGTTGTAAACATGTAAACTTACATGTTGTTCTCAACCGAACACTTTGAAATGAGTTTTTGCTGCAATGTTCATCGATATGTTCATCAATATAGAAGGTCTAAGGCAATTAGCATAAAGTTGAATAAAACTACAAGTCATTAAAAATGTTAGTCATGGGATCAGTACCAACTAGTATCGACATATGCTAAACAAGATTAAAATATTGTTTTGAAGCTTACAAACATTTAATTTATGCCCAACTTATTTTTCAAGTTGTTGGTAAAGAGGTAAAAAATAGTTCGTGATCCCTTCTTTCAGTTTCTAATTTTGTATTTCCCTTAACTTTTTATTTTAGGCAAAAATAATTTATATTGTAGGATGTACTTGTACTCGTCTTTATCTTGCAAATTTAAAACCATGACTATCTTATCGAACCATTCTCTCTTTTTTACTTTCTGGACGAGGGTAGTATAAGATCACGTAATGATATATTTTGAACCATTTGTATAAAATTGGGAAATTCCTATAAGATTAAAAGTAACTATAGCTGAATTAGGAGAAGAATATCCAAAGAACTTTTTACAAATCTTAAAATCCAAACATGCCATATAACAAATGTTGACTTTAAAAAATATGCTTTTGAATTATTACAACCTGAATATTTTACTACATCTAAAATTGGAATGGCTTTGCTTTTTCGGTAATAAGAACTGCTCACTTATATGTTGTTAAATTTAACTAATAAACTCAGATAAATTAATTTATTAGCTTGTGTGTGTTCAGCACATTTAAAAACATCTCTTGCACTTTTCAACCTAGTGTTTTTGTCAAATATACAATATTTCAGTAGCCTATTCTAGCTTTTGCCGTAAACGGAGTTGGAGACCCCTGCTTTTTATAGTATTAAACATGTAATAAGAAAACAGTAATCGAGTTCAAAATCTGAAAAGCCTTTGCATGTTTTAAGTGTTTTTAAAACATTTTGGCTGTCAAGCACTTTTGCTGTTTTCTTCGAGAACCGCCAGCTGAGTTCACCTTCAATTGCCAAGACTGTCAGCCATTATTATTATTATTGCTATTTTGTCAGCCATATGACAACCAGAATTGCCAAGCCAAATCATATGATTTTACAATGTTTTTCTTTTAAAACCATAAATTCCCTTATAACTTATAATATAGATAGAACCTGATATCTTTTTTTTTTTAGGTAAATATGTGTAACACCTCATATATATTTGAATGAAAGACAATCTTCAAACAAACGTACAAACAAACACACAAACCTTCACACTTATAAGTAAGGTGATTCATTGCAAAGAATTTACAAAATTACCGATCACATCGGCAGCGGGCATTTCTCGCACAGACGACAGGCGCCGATGTGGTCGGCAGCTGGCATTTCTTGTGACGAAAGGTGATGCTGATCACAGCGGCAGTTTACACTTCTTGCGATGATTATATTGATTTATTCTTGGGTCAACAACTCCCTTTATTTTGTGAGTTAAAAATAAAATCCTTACTGTTTCAGTTTAAGAGGCAAGCTTAAATAACAAAAAAAGGTCTTACATTTTTTTTTATGTACCTGATGTAAAAGATTTGTTTTAGTAAAGTTAAAGAAAAGGGAAGAAATGCTTATAATTCCCAATTGCAATGTTTGTCAGTCCTTTAAAAACAAAGAGAGGATTTTACTTTGTAACTCATTTAATACATTCCATAATACTATAGGCCTAACAACTAAAATAAAAGTACTTACTAACATTTTCTTCATTTAGAAATATTTAGGGTTTTAGCCTACTGTATTTGAAAACCTTCACAAATATGTAAACTGGTCCGTATTCTTCAATTGTTTTTGGATGTTATTTAACTTACTTATCCAAGTTTTGCTCAGTTTTCTCCAAATAAATGCATCCCCTCGTTTACTTCCTCAAATAATTAATTGTAAGATTGTGAGTACAAAGAAGTGATGTAATTGTAACTATTATTTTTTAGCAAGGTATCATGAAGAGTGTGCTAATAAAGTTAACTCTTGGAGCTATTTACTTATTATAATATATGCACTTGGGATTTTATCGCTCATGATTAGGTACTCCAATTGGGATTTAGGTTTAACATTTAACTCTAGTCCTTGAGTGCTTAGTGCCTCAACACAGTGCTATTACAGTAGAACCCCGTCTAACCGAAATAAAGGGGGGAGAGCTGTTTCGGGTAACAAATTTTTCGGTTAACCCATCATATGCTAAAAATAGCCAATGTATCACCACAGTGTGAAGGGAAAATTAATTTAATAGAATTTCTATATAATTCAGTGTTTTATTTCAACTACAAAAATGTTACAATGGGATGGAAAATACTTTAAACCAGACAACTGAAGTTATTAAAGCATTTTATAGCCCTATATTATTTTATAGAACCATTTCGGTTAACCCGGGTTTCGGTTAACTTAAATTTGGTTAATAGGGGTTCTACTGTACCTATATGTTTTATATATTAGTATTTGTTTGTTTGCCCTGCAAAAATAAATATTCTTGTAAAATACAAATCAAGTTTGATTTGGCATTTTTTATTAATGTATAAAGTTCTGTTTGTAAAGTAACAAGTATGTAAGAAGACAGTGATCACTCGCAGTCACATCTATGTTTGGTTATTAAACGTTGCCAAGTAAAGCTCTTGGCCAATTTAGCGGAACCACAACTTAACTGGGTCCCGTCTTAACTGTTAATTCCAAGTTGTACTTCTAATCAGCACTGGATCCCCTCGCATTTCAATATGTTTCTGTTACACATCTGAATCATAATGGATTCAAGATATTTTTCATCTACCTCACTCTTCACTATTTTATTTTTTACTTGCAGGGAAGAAAAATTTTGTTTTCCTATTTAAAAAAATTTAATTAATTTAAAAACTTAATCATCTTTGTACTTAAAAATGTTTGTTCAAGTTATTTTTGATCAAGTATACAGAAATATTTACTAGACATTCATATGCCTAATTATGGTACCAGAGTTCTATAAAGGATTGTGGCCAGTGGTGTCTTGGTTATGGTTAATACTACTTGAAACAAAAATTGTGGAGATCAAACTTTTCCTAATTCATCGTCCAAATATTAATAATTCTAATATTGTAGCCTATCAATCGATGGACTAATATGATAAACCACACAATCATGCAATATATTTTTGTACCAAATTCCAGTAGTTCTGTAATTACAGTTCACAATTATCAGTTTTTTACCGATATTGCAGGCTTCAGAAGGGGTTGCTTTCTCTTTATATGATCTCATTTATACTGCTTGGGAAAATCATAACTGCTTAAGTGATCTACATGGTCGCTGTTCTTCAGTTTTATCCGGATTTTGGTACCTGATGTAAATATGTATAGATAACAGTCAATAAATTAATCTGATATCAGGTTTTTATTGTATATAGATATTTATTTGTATCTATGTAAATAATATTATAAAGTGTGTATTGTATTGCAATGTGTGTATGCAGGGAGGATAATTTATCAATCTTTTTATTTGAGCTTGATATTTTCACCTATCGTACAAACCGTTTTGGTTTTATTATCTCATTTACTGTGATAGTCATGTTTTTCGTTTGTTTTGTGAATAGTTATATTATTTTCAAAATAATGTGACCATATTAAATTGTTGATTAATAAAAATTTAGTAAATTATGTTATTTTCCTCGATTACAAGTTTTTGATTGGCATATTTGAGCATATGAGCATGTTAAAGCCCACTATGTTTCATTGTAATGGAACAATACGACAAACACATGTATTGCTACTATCTAGTGTTGATCTTTTATTACATAGCATGATTAATTGATAGTCCAAAGAAAATGACATATTGGTCCAGTATCCACCCTGTTTGGGAATGACCCAGCAGCCTTCAGAACCATCCACACTGTTTATTCTGACTCTAAAGTTCATAGACCTAATAATTAAATAGCCTGGAGGTTTGCTGCAATGCAAGTATTGAAGTGTATAAATTATCTCGTACAAGCACTGTTGATTGAATATCAGTACAATCCCTTAGTATCTTTTAGTCAGTTGGTTATAGTGTCTTACCTGTCTTCAAGTTCCAGGCACTACTAAGGTTAGGTGCACTACCACTCAAGTATCAGTGTATGTCAACAGTCATGCAGGGCGTTTTCTCATGGGGAAAACGTTTTCTTGTTCCATGGGTTGAGAAAAAGGCTCTCTCTATTTTGTTTGCAATGCATCATAATACAATATTTAAATATATGTTTATGATTAAATAAATAAATCTTTATTGACGACGACGTGTGTAGCCCGCCACAAGATAGTAGCATTTAACCTACAAGCGCTTTAGTGTTGTCTTGTTCTTGTAGTGGTATTTGACTTTTACAGCCTATGGTGGCATGGTAGATCGGTTGGCTTAGAATTTAACCTCAAAGATGGCGCCACTCATCTCCATTCATACTTGGTTTAAAATACCTACCTTTGTATGGTCGATATTTTAAAGGAAAAGTATTAAGGAGTTGCACTGATGAGTGTAAAGTTGGGGTGTTTCTACATGTGTGGGTTGGAATCTCGTATTTATGCAATCTGTATTAAGTCCGGTCTTAATTGATTATCCTGAAGCAAGTGCTGCCGCTGAAATGTATTACAAATTAAATGATTTCTGGCAGCATTAGGAACAAGCACATTTAAAATGTAGAAACTTTATATCACTCTTCTCTTATCTAAGACCTTGTTCAGTTTGCGATATTTTTTTATTCGATAGAATGAATATATGCACAAATAATTTAGGGGAGAGCGGGGCTATACTGTACACATAAGGGAGAGTAGTTACATCGCAAATTACGAAGTAAAATTAATATATAATTTAATTATTTGGCTACTGATTGTATATAAACATTTTGGAACTATTGCATTTTTTACATGTAAAAATTGGTAATTAAAAAAAGTTACCTTGTACGAAATAGCCCCGGGAGGTGGGACTATTCCGTACGGTTCAAAAATCATTTGTTTAGGTTAGTAATATAATAGTACCGCAACAAATTATTGTACAAACACTTTTTATTACTATACTAGCAGAGTACCCGTCCTTCGAACGGGGTTGGCATATAAGTTGGTAAAAGACGGTATACTAATGGTATTACACATGTACCATAGCCATAATGTTCTACCACTTCACCTAAACAACAAAGAAAAATAAATTATGAAGAATTCACAAAAAATCACAAATTATTAATGACATTAAAAACAAAAACAACTGTAAGCAATCCTACTTTGACAGTTCTCATTGCGTACCACAGTTTTTTGTTGCTGCTTAGTTCAAATTAGCTGTTTACAAAAATGCAAAAACAATATAGTGCTGCACCCTGTTGGTAAATCTTATAACTTTTTATTGCTTTTGCATATCATAGAACCAACTTTTTTAGTTGAAACAGCTGACAAAATTCTTCAATTCCCTTTAAATATGAATCGTGCATCCGTGGACCTCTAGTAAAAAGATACACTTGTCATTGGCGACCAAAAGAAACTAGACCTGCCGGGGAAAATGTATGATTTTTGTCCAGGAGTTCTGAGGCCACCCATAAACAACACAGATTTATTTTGAACACAATTAGCCTTATATAGACTAGTTTATTTACCCGGGCTACAGCACAGGAAGAGAGCCATTCAAATTTACCACTAAGTTTGATCATAGCTTCAACATACTTCTATATACCTTTAAAGTCCTTATAACTGGGACGGGTGGCGTTGTCCTGTAATCCAGCTACAGTACTAGGAGGTTACGAATTGTGGATATTTATAGGCATGCACTGTGGATGTGATACTCCCTGGTGTGGATTAACGTCCGCACGAGTGAGTACTACGCCTATCCGCAGTACTATCCTAAAAATTAGACCAATTCATATATACCAAGGCAAAAATATGGTTCGGATTCCACTATAAATTGTAGGTCCCTTAGTTGTCATTAGCTATGGGCTATTAATTAACAGCTGTTGCTAAGGAATAAGTCGGCCTTAGTCACTAACAAGACTACACTCATCTCCATTCATACTTGGCTTAAAATACCTACTTTGTATGGTCTCTATTTCATTGAAAAGTATTAAAAGTATTATGGCTCTGCTAAAGACAGTTTTACGGTTTTCCAGTTTTTGTCAGTGATTGATGTCTTATTCAAGCAGGTTAAAAACTTTTTTGCAACATCGATTACTGTGTTTAAAATAAAATAAAGAAAACAGAACAAATAAACAATAATTTGGAAGTCATATTAAAAGGTTTCAACACTAAAAGCAAATATTGCACCACATCAAACAAAAAACATTGTCTATAGAAAATGTACGATAAACAACTGAAGGTTAATTCATGAAAATAAGTAATCAAGCCACAAATAAAAACAAATATCACAGCTGTCGCATATTTAATTACTGTATTTCAAAGAAATAGTTATTTGTGTAACTAGTGGGTAAAGTGTGGCACTTTGCTGCACACGAGAGCAATGTTTACGCACGAGCCGCAGGCGAGTGGGGAATGATCTCGAGTGCAGCAAAGGCCTTTTGCACTCGTGTTACACATTATATTTTTCCTACAGTCACTATAAAGCATATAAATAATTAGTAGGTTCAGCTGGCAACACAAATAGGTGCCCTAGAGAAAGTAATACCCTATCCGTATCACTCCGCTATTTTTCCTCGGCAAGAAATGTGCTCCCCGACTTGAGAATATAGTTCCGTATGTTTTTGTAATTTAAAGTGGTTTCCGCGCCTAAAAGAAATGCTTTAAAGGTATTTTCTTGTTTATTAAGATCGTAGGAATGTTTTAAAAACGTTTAAAAGAAAGTTCAGAAATACCGAAACGATAAACACGAAATGACAGGTTAAATCGTAGTTATAATAGTCAATCAGCTGCTCATAGTATTATTATCTTTAAGTGTTGCCAACCTATTTCCAATCGTACACGGATTACGTGCATAATAGAACCACACTGTTTTGTGTTGTTTCGTTGGAATCCTGATGTGCGCCAAAGTATAAATATGCAGCAATTAGCAGCTTTCTGTACTATAAACATTACAAGTAAGCCAACTTTGTCGGGTGACTGCAGGAAAATGTAATTAAATGCAAATCATTAATTAAGTTACGTGCCCTTACATTTTGCTTATTTTTATATTATAGTTTAAATTCGTTTTTCGTCGTAGTTATACTTAGATTATCCCCAAACATCTCCACTTGGGAGAATAATTCAAGAAGTTTCACATCAAAACCTATCATTCGAGTATGCGGTTGATGTGTGCAACTGAAACGGTTACTTAAAAAAAAAAAATGGCCATAGTTAAGTAATCTATATCTATAAAAGAGGAACTATGTATGTGTGTGTGTGTGTATGTATATACGTTATGGACTCCGAAACCGCTCGACAGATTGTAATGAAACTTTCAGGCATTATTAAGCATCTTTCAAGGATGGTTCGAGTGAAGTTTGGTGCAGATCTATCAAAAGGGCTCTGCCCCAGAGGGTTTTAAGTGGGCCAATGTCGGACTTTTTGATCTACAATGTTTACAAATAAATATAATTTAAAAGCAGATGTTTACTTTTACCAACTGTTTTGTAGGTTTGAATAATTACAACATTCTGTATTAGCATTAGTCATGATTTGAAATAGTGCCACAGTGTTTCTACAGAGTGCAGCACAGAAAACTATTTTACTTTTGAATAAGTCCAAATGTATTAAACCCCAATCGCAGCACACCTGTGCACTTAACGTTTAAATTCTCCAATGTTAAATATTAAAACATAAAAACCTTTATCAAAGTATTATAAACAATAAAAGGGATGACTTTTTAAAATTTATGACAACAGCTAATTTGCAATCAAAAGGTGAGTGAGCGTAGCGAACGAACATCAACCTGGAGGCGAGTTAGCGTAGCGAACGAGCTAACCTGAAAACAAGTGAGCGCAGCGAACGAGCTCCAACCTAAAGGTGAGTGAGCGTAGCGAACGAACTTCAACCGGGACGTGATTGAGCCATGCGAATACTTATGAAGTTAAACGGGGCAAAGCCCGTGGGTACAGCTAGTTTATATTAAATCTTATACTATTTAAATAGGAGGTAATCTGCCTCCAAGCGGTTAGGGAATTTCAAGTTAAAATTTAATAAAAGCAAATAAAAAACAAACACTGAACAGTAGTCTTGTAAAAATGAAGGAAAGTAGGCTACACATTAAGTAAAATCAAATTCCCAATTGTTATATAGTTTATTCATACATTTACTTACTTTCAACTACACAAAAATGTGTTACTTTCAAACTAAAATGTGTTAATTCTAAATATATGAACACAGTAGTGTATAATTTACATCAGAACATAATTAAGTGCAGTACAAAGATGTAATATAAAACGGACACTATTATTAACTATCACATCTTAGCCTAATTAATTTTTACAATTACCTATCACAAAAAAAAGAAATACTGTATACGGAATGAATCTACGCTGAAAAATATCTACTGTAAAAAGCTTACACTAACACTAATAATAAAATTGTAATGAGAACAGTGTAATAAGACTTAGAATAGTTGATTAATCACAGGTCACATACCTGTAGTATATTGCTGTAAGGGCATGTGACATTGAGATAAAAATATAAATTTGGACTGATCACATTTTATCACTACAATTAGGCCTACAGTTATTAATGTAAACTCTTAACACTCCTTTCACAATAAACGGTTTCCGCCGTCTGGTTGAAAACAGTTTGATTTTACGTTGTTTCTTTCACATTACACGGTTTCTGACTGTACGGCGAGATAAGTATTTACAAAGCACAATAAACATGAACAGTGTCCAATTTAGAGGTAAGATTGTAAACAAAAATCATTGCAACAGCTGATCTACTGCACTGGCTGGTGGGCTCCCGTTAAATTAAAAAGCGTGCAGTATGACTGTATGATGTGAAAGGAGCGTAACACTGAGATGAGTGTACTAGAAAGTGGGAATTAATTTATGTTTGTAACTTATTACCAAACTTAGAGCCGAATATTTTATTTTGTAAATCAGATTTATAATTTCTAATAATTATCAGTTAAATTAGTTTGGTATCTGGATTTAAAATATTGTCTATCTGTTCTTCACCAAGATAAATATTGCGGAAACAAATCTTACACACTCTTACACTTAAGTCTTAACCCTTCCCGGACTTTAGGCGGATATATCCGCTAGCATTTTGTGCATAGCGGACGGTAGACAGATATATCCGCCCTATTTTGTGCATGGCGGACAGTAGGCAGATGTATCCCCCAATTATTACAACAGTTATTGAATGTTATTGTTGATTTTCTACAACATTAATCTTCGTACAAATTTCCTTTTCCTTTTACAGTAGACTCCCTCTTATCCGGACACCTTTTAACCGGACATCGGTTTAACCGGACCACACTCGGCGGAAATGACATCTCTTTAACCGTACAATTTTTATCAATACATCGGTTTAACCGGACTAGATCGGCAGGAAGTGGGTGGTACTGAAACGACCGTTCTTGTGGGAAAGATTTGAGACCACTGATCACGTGTCTAAATACATTACTTTCCTAAATTTAAGTCAAATACGCATTTAAATGGTCCGTTATTTCACGAGTTTTTGGGGACTTCGGTTTAACCGGAAAACCCGGTTATCTGGACTGGCCTCGGTCCCAAGGAGTCCGGATAAGAGGGAGTCTACTGTATTCAATTATATCTGTAACCAATGAACTAGAAATTTTTTTCTAGAATAATAAGAAATTTAATTAAAAAATATATAAAAAAAGTTTGGACAAAAGTGCTGCATAGGTCAACTATTTACAACATTCTATAAATTATAGATATTTAAAAAGGATATATTTTAGTTTCTATTTAAATAAAATCATTTTGCTGTCTGTAAACAAACTTTACGCCACCGTTTGGGAAGGGTTAATAATATGTTACTTACTTATAATGAGTAAAAGTCCCAAACAATTAATCAAACTTTTTTTCACCTACAAGAGATAAGATTACAGGTGTACAAAACATCTCCTACATCCCTAGCACAACATCCCTAGCAGCATCCAGATTTCTCTTCAAGAAGAGTTAATAGGCCCTGATTCATAAGGTTTTAAACGATAGGGGTTTAAAATAACCATCATAAATTAGGTTGAGTAATATATCCATACAAGTTGATAAGAGAACTATATAATCATGTGCAGTAAAACAATTTTTAGAACAGAAACCAATTACTAAGATTGTATTAGGTTGTGTTCTATGTCATTCAACATTCTACGGCAATTAGAGTTTCAAACAATTGCATGTTTCACCCTGATAGAAGACAACATGCTAGTAAAATGATACTAAATATAAACTGGTATAAAAACTGTTTTATCTAGAATTAATTTGATTTAAAACACAGATAAACATCGACACTGAACAATAATCCACAAACACTAAACACATACTCCACTGAACACATAAAATGAAAACTGATGATGTAGGTACTAATTTAACACCTACAGATAGTAAATAAATGCAGTTTAACGTAGCAATCTCAAACCTTGGAGAATGAAAAATGAACTGTTGATTAAACATAAACAGATGTAACTAGAGCAAGTGTGTGTAAGTTAAGTTTTAGCTCTCAGCCTAGCCTATAGGATTAAAGTTCCAAAATATTTTCTTCTCTGACTACAATATAAGCCATCACAATTAAAATTTACCAGTCTATAATTCACAAACCTGACGCATTATTTCACAAAATAACTACAAATCAGGGAGGAACTTATAATATATTTCTGGTGGGCTTATGCTATTATGATTTAAACAATACAATTCGTGTTTACTAAATTGTCAGATAACAATATTTACAATAGGTTCAACAGGTACAAAATTAGAAGTCATCAAGACTATAATCCTCATCAATAATATTTACAAAGAGAAATTTTCTATCTACATAATTGCCCAAAAAAGCATATTAATTGTTAAATTATACAACTATCATGAACATCAATGTAATACACACACTATCCACTTTCGGTTCTGTTTACTACTCTTATCTAATATCAAAAGCCTTAAAACCCAGAAAATGCAACCCTTACTAAATGTGAAATTTTCAAAAACTTATCAACCCAAAACATGAAGGCTTGCCATAACTGACTTCAAGTTTAACATGTTGTTTAAGTTAACATGTTCGTTGCGGTTGCATTGTGGCAGGGTTTGAAACCAAGTCCTGATGATTTGGTTTCAAACAGTAGAACTTTAATAAGAAGACCATCGAGGAAATAGTAAAATGAAACTTGAAAAAGAACAGAGCTTAAGAGTCAGCAGGAGTCAATAATACTATCTCTTTTTACTACAGCGCTCCAAAGCCTGTGGTAATTCGGGGAAACACCAGATGCCAGGCGAAACCGTAGATGACCGAGCACCGATCAGTAAAAACATTTGTTCACGTTGAAGCATATTAATCATACACCATAAGCTTATTATCAAGCAGAAAATTGTATGTGATCCTTAAATATATTTTCCGTGTGAATTGCTTTTGGGATTGTTAAAACTTTTGTTTTAGAGGTTGAAAAAAATCGTAGTTTAAGTCAATATATTTATGTAGTTTGCAAAATAATAACAATTAAGATTAAAAAGTTGATAGCAAATCACATCCACGGTTTCAATAGCTTTAAAATGAAATATTTTGCAACTTTTTATCTTAATAAACAATGCCGTAATATGCTTCAACCATTCACATTGCTGTTATGGGCATAAAATCCAAGATGGCTGGCGGTCCTGCTGTCTCCAGCATAATGGTTAGGTACAATTTAAAAAGATCAAGGCCTATTTTTATTTTTTTATGGGATCCTACTATTGATGGTATTATTAATGAGGTTCTACTACCAATTCTAATTCCATCCATTGGCAGAATGACTGAAATACAATGGATTGAACATATACATTTCTAAGACTTTCAAAGGTAGGAATGTTTGGACAAAAAAGCATTTAGCCTAGCTAACATATTAATATCAGTGGCAATTTAGTTGTAAGCATGAAAAAATAAGTGAGATCTGCACCTCTTGCTCCTTGCTAATATAAAAATGTCAGTCCATCCAACACACGACAACAATGAAAGTAGACCTTTTTGGTTGGTAACCAATTCCAAATGCATCTTTCCAAACAGTCAATAGGATTGTGTGAATTAGGATAGGCAGCAACAGCGAACATGTTAGAAACACCAGTTAAGAAGCATAATCCCTCAACATAAAAAAGTTTAACTGTGACTAATTACTTGGAGATTACTCTAATTGTCAAAGTATAAAATTGTATGTATAGTTTAGACATGTACTACACTGACAAGCCTTTTTACCTTTAATAATTTGTTTTTAGCTCAGATTAAATCAACAATTCGACCATTTAATTGCACATCATTTAACTTCTATACATTAAATAACAGTCAGTTCAGTGTAATTACTTTTTAGTCACTATTCTCTGAACTTGTTGAAATTGAAATACATTTAGATGACATTGAGTGTATATGTTTATGCATGTAACACCATAAAACGAGTGTTTGACGTTGCTCTTCAAGAACCTTCAGTAGAAAATGTTCATAAAGGAAGGAAGTCCTGCATCTGAAACAGGTGTGAAATTGGTCAATCCAAGGCAATGTATTGAATGTAGGTTGTAGCTGGGGGGTCAAAACCCTCACAAAATCCTTGAATTCAAAAGTTAGTAGGCTTAATTGATAAGAAAAGACAATAGATCCAAATGTAGGCTACAAGTAAATTAAAATTAACAACACAACAGAAGATCTAACAACATATTTTACACCATTGCAATTGATCCTAATACAGTATCAAATATGGCTTGAATTCAACATGCAATTCTTATGAATGCCCTAAAACCTGTGGTCCTGCTGAACCAACCCCAAAACATTTATTCTACAATTTTAGCGAATTTCCCATACAGAGAATAAGCTATTACCGTAGGTCTCATGGTAAGACCTAGACCCGGGACCGATTTATTTTTTCGTTTTGAGGTCCCCAGAGGCAAAAAACACCATACGTTCAAATTCATATATACATATTTATTTACTATGCTATAGGTATGTGTCCGTTAGTGTGATAACTCGAGCAAAAATTATCCGATTTTGATGAAATTTGGTAAAAACGTGTAAACCTACATTTATTTGAACGAGCTTGCGAACCAGCATAATCGGACAATGGGAACGGGGGTTTATCGAGGGTTTTATGGGGTAAAAATTGATTTTTCCTATTTTCGACCCTAAAAACACAAAATTTCATAATTTGTCTCCAAAACCATGTTGTAGGCCTAGAGCTTAAAAGCAAAAATAATTTTGTATATTGAAGCGTTGTTGTATGCCCAACCATAACGGAAATAATAAAAAAAAATGGTATATTTAAAATTCCCATGTTATTCTTATGGAGTATAAATAAACTGTTGTAGGCCTAGTTTGCTTGTTTATGGACATATTTTAATCAAATTTGGCAATTTTGTTTATATTTCATACCAAGCTATCAACATAAAAAAAACACACCTCAATATCTTCCCTGTAGTAGCAAACCTAAGTACTCACTATCGGAAATAAATATGACGATTTTTAGGGAATATTTTAGTAGAAATCCAGCCAGGTAAATGGAAATTCGCTTATTCTGCAGGTTTGCTGCGGCGGAGTCATTATACAAATTACTCTAGTACTTCAAGACTTCAAGTAATCATTCAAGTAATCATATGTAAATAAAACAAGTACCTAATTGGAAATTCTTCAATTTGTTTTGATTTTCTGTTTATACTTTGATGTTATTTCGTCACCAACCCATAAGGCCCATGTAAATTTTTTAAATTGATTTTTTGTGTTTATTTTTGAGCCTATTTTAATTTATAAAGGGATTAAATGCACATCTAAAGATAAAAATCTTTCCAAGGCTAGGCGCACAAGAGCGATTATTTTAAGGCGACTATTTCATCGGCCGATCTGCGCATCATGTATTAGAATGGAAGCACGCACACAGGCGATCGAGAATTGAAATCTGGATTTTGCTGCAGATTCGTAGGTGAGGCGATTGTCGCCCGGAAATCTGTAACGTAAAGGTTGTTATCAGTCCACGCACACGGTCGACTAAAATATCGGCCGGTCGCTTGTTGTTCTCCGGGAGTCAGTGAACTTCAGTATGAGTTGTGTACCACACATGATATATACAGTAGCACTATGGGAAGGTGAAAGTACAAGAACCCATTTCCTTTTTCGCCTTCAAAGGAGGGCTATCAGAATAATTCACGGCCTTCCCTACAAACAAACTTGTAGAGCTGTATTTAAATCATCCGCAATTCTAACTTTTCCCTGTATTGACATTCTAGAAGTCCTCACTCTTCTGAAGTCTAATTGTTCTCATTTCCACACCGCAACCACCCATTCATATCTGCTTCGCAATACTTTCAATCTGAGAATTACAGCCCATTCAACCACATTCTTTGAAAGACATCTAAACTATAATGCCATCAAACTGTTCAATGCCCTCCCACTTCAAATCAAGTCCACATCAGATCCGGGATGCTTCAAAAGGCACTTGAGGTCAATTCTCGTGGGTAAAGGCTACTACAGTGTCCGCGCCTTTCTCGCTGACTGACAGTCCTCATGAATTTTAATTATTTTAAAAGTTAGTTAATAGTTATTTTTTGTGAATTTGACTTGGCTAATGCATTTGTAATGTTAATCTAGCTAAATAGATGAGTTATTGAGTTATAGTAGTTATTGAGTTGTTTTCTTTGCTAAAAAAGGCCACAGCTGTTTAAATAAAAACTGACACTTTCAACAGACGTTCTATAGTAATTAAAGAACTTTTTACTGTCATCACGTAAAGTGTATAGGCTAGGCCTAGTTTACAAAACTGTCGATGTAAAAGTCTCTGACTTACTATCGGATGAACCCAATATTTAAGTTGTCTTCTTTGTTTCTTTAATCTAATTAGGAGAGCACACACACAGGTTAATTCAACAAAGTCCATTTTATGATAGCTTAAACTCACTAAAAAAAGTCCATTTCTCAACTAAAAAATGGCCACGTGTGCACCTAGACATAAATCAAGGGCGATTTATTCTATGGAAAAATCGACCGTGTGCGCCAGGCCTAACAGTTTATGCGTAGATTTTCCCTGCAATGCACACTAGCTGGGAAAAAAGGTTTCCAAGAAACATGCTTGCCTATTATGCTTCTGACAAAATGTTGACAATTTTTAAAGTCAGTGAGCCTTGTTTGTGAGCATTGGACCACAAAAAAATTGACTATTCTTGTAGGCAAGTTTTTTTTCAGCTGTCTCACCCAATCTTACTGGGGGAGGAAGTTTTTTGGAAAGTAGGTAGGCCTACAGTACACAGTAGGTTGTTAATAGGATATAAAAATAAAGAAGTGTACAATACCCCCACCGCAGCAAACCTGCAGACTACGCAAATTTCCATTTGCCTGATTGGATTTACACTAAAATGTATCCTTAAAAGTATCACATTTATTCCCTATTTAAATAGAGTCAGTTTAACACGTAACTTACTTAAGTTTGCTGCAACAGGGAGGGTAAAAGTGGTTTTTTATGTAAAATGTTAATAGTTAGTAAGAAATAAAAACATTTTCCAAATTTAGGCAAAATACGTTAGGTAAACAAGCAAACTATAACAGTTTACCTACTTGTTCTCCATAAGAATAACATGGGAATTTTAAATTTACAATTTTTTGGAATTTTCTCCGTAACCATTAGGCGCATCATAACGCATCAATAAACTAAATTAGGCCTATTTATTTTTTTAAGCTCTACAAAATAGTTTGGAAAGAAATTGCAAAATTTTATGTTTTTAGGGTCAAAAATGGGAAAACCCATTTTTACCCTATAAAACCCCCCATAAACCCCCGTTCCCATGGTCCAATCATGCTGGTTTGCGAACTCGTTCGAATGTACCAAATTAAGCAGACAAGATTACCATTCAAAGAAAGTGAAACACACGGACACTTCTGATTTGTTAGAGCTTGTCCATTACGATTTTTGTGGTCCTATGGAAATTGACATTCATTGCGTATTTCATTATTATCGATTAATTTCTTTTCAATATATCGATATTTTTATTTTCCTTTACGATCCAAATTCCATCTGTTCTAATATCTTCAAACGTATTTAAATTACAGACAGACAGACAAACAGGCATGGCAAATATGACTATGTTATACTTGGTACTTGGTTCAATAAACGAGTAGGCCTATTTGAGTTATAGCTTGTATTAGAGAATAGGATTAAGAACTAATCTTGTTTAGACAAAAATAATAGCCTAGCCTATATATTTAATTAAGAAAACTATTCTAAAATAACCTAACATAACAAACCAAACTTGCTGTAAGCTAAGTTACGGTTTCAAAATATTCAAGTCATATGGGGAATAAGGCTATCAAACGGAATTTTGAAATGTTACAGTAAGTTTGGTTAGTTTTAGGTTAGTTTAAAACTTCATTTGAATAAATTTTTTTATTGTTTGTTGATACTGAACAATATTTTTTATCGTAACTTAGTTGTCAGCTGATACGTTTCAATTTGATAATATCAATATATCGAATAAAAAAAAATAAAATAATGATATTGGTATCCAAAAGTAATCAGATCAATAATAACCCTCCGAGTGTCCATAGTTTAGGCCTTAATGTCCACCTATTTTTGGCGCATTTGCAAGGTTTTATTAAAACGGATCTGAGAAGCTTAAAACAATGTTAATTCTAATGTTCTATATACCATTTTGTTTGGAAAATCATGGGCTTCAATATTATATATAAAACATAAGGAACATTTAAAAAAAAAAAATTTTAGGTAAAAAAAATATAATTTTGAAAATTTTCAAAAAAAAAATAAGTTCGCGCTCAATGAAATTGTATAAATTATAGGCCTATAAATATTTGAAAATAGCCACTTTGTTCTAAATTTTATGAGGATTACAAATATATAATAATATAAGGAAGTAGATTTGCAAATAAATAAGTTATGGGCAAAAAACTGATTTCAGTATATAGCGTTTAGCTAAGAATGCATAGCCTAACCATAGCTAGGAATCTGGCTGATAATTTACATCAATATCACTACCTACTTCTTCAGGATCATCAACCAGCACTTCAAAACCACTTAAATCTTCTTATAATGCACCACGTATATCACGACTTTTGATTTTTAACACTAAAAAAATGATAAACGTAATAAAACACATCAGTCATCGGTCTGGGGGAACCTAGCTGTTTACAAATACACGCACGTCAGCTGTCTGCTACAATATTTTCGGAACTAAAATGAATAGCGCTTAGAGACAGACCTCTGGAGAAAGCTTAGAATATTACGGAAAGAACGATACCTAACTCGATCCAGTTCAATCCGATTCAGTCAGTCATAGAGCCTTCGCCGTAAACGATGTTTGTGCGTCTTAAACTAGACGCGTGACCCTACACAAAGTGTGTTGTGCGTCGATTTTTTGACGCGTGACCCTCGGAGGGTTAATGAATGTTCCCTTTAACAGGAAAGTACCGGTAGTTAGTTAATAGGCTATCAATATATCGAATAAAAAAATAAAATAACGATAAGTTAGGCCTATATCAAAAAGTTTTTAATCATCGATAATAATGAGTTCCCTTTAACAGGAAAGTACCTACCGGTACCCACACAAATTATAAATGTACCTATATGAATTTGAACGGAGATGGAGTTTTTTGTCTCTGGGGACATCAAAACGAAAAAGTAAATGGGTCTCGGGTCCAGGTCTTACCACAAGACCGACTATAATAGCTTATTCCCTATAAGCCTATGGGAAATTTGCTAAAAAACACATTTTCCCATTTTTCTTGACACGTTCACTGCGGCCCCATCAATGCCAGGTGTAGCCCTGGTGTGGCGCAGAGTCAAGCGAACTTTGGCTTTCAAATAATTTGGTTTGACGAATAGCAAATGACGTACGGTGATGCCCTGCGTTACGACAAGAGTCGACGTTTAACTTAGTTTGCTGAAACATTCACAGATAGGCTAGCAGCACTGTCTGGAAGTAGCCAGTCTCAATTTATCGCCAATTGGAGGGAAAAAGACGTGACAACAATTTGATTTCTAAGCTGCGCAAAAATTAAATGGAATGTAGGCGATGTCGCCACTCCCCGTGAGTGTTCAGGATAGCAGAAAGGAATAACTTAGAGCACTCACCGGTGAGTGGCCCGCCCAGCGAACGTGTTTAAGAGCAACACAAAAACATAGGCCTAGGCCTAACAGTAACTTAGTCCGGCTGCACTTTACTTTAGGTCCTACACTCATTCGAATGAAAATATCAATTATTCTAAACTACACTCACAATTTTAGCTAATCCAACCTAACTAACCAAACGATATATCGAATGAAACAATCGATTAATCGATATATCGATCGATATTTTTCATTCGAATGGGTGTGGGACCTAAAGTAAAGTGCAGCCCTTAGTCCTCCTAGGCCTAACAGTAATTTAGTCCTCCTAGGCCTAATTCCACACCTCATAAATTTTATGGAAGACTTGTGACGCTCAGCTAAAATCCCATAAGGCCTATGTTTGTAACTTAAGTTTAATCTAAAAATACCAAAATAAGTTAATAAGCCTACTTACAGAATCGGATGAGCTTCCTAGGGTGCTGACATTTTAAGCTGAATCGTCAACGTTGGATGGTAGCCAAAAAGCCATATTTGTGCAAGCTGAAGCCAACATCATATACTTAGGATTGAATTGAATGCACTGCACTGGAGCTGGATGATCACCATTTAAAACACACACTTTGTAGCCTGTATCTGCGTTCCACACATGTACTCGTCCATCAGTAGACCCACTAAAGATAAACTGTGAATCTGGGCTAAATGACGCTTCAATTGGAATACCCTTGTTGTTTAGATGGCCTGTGAATGACTGCAGAGGAGTGCCATGAAAAGCATCAATAAGACGTATAATAGAACCATTCGTAGATATGAGAATTGTTTTACCATCCCTGCTGAACTTCAATCCAGTCCAGTCACACTCCCTTTCCTGTGCAACTTTAAAGGTAACAAAAGGGCCTTTATCAAATGATCTGAGGTCATAAAGCTTGATTGACTCTGAGTTTACACCAGCTGCAAATATAAGCCCTTCAGGGTCATATGCAGCGATTGGTCGACCCGATACATGCATTAATCCTTGGCAGTTTGGAGATCTCAAATCCCACAATCTCAATGTTTTGTCCAAGGAACCTGATAGAAAAGAATCTTCAACAGGGGAGATGCAAAGTGAAACTACTTTCTTGGTGTGACCAGGGAAGTATCGAATGTACTTGTTATCGTGTAAAGATAAGTACCTAATTGTGTCATCAATCTTAGTTGAACTGTGGATGGCTGTATTCTTAGCATGAGTAAAGTGAATTAAATCAACCCCATATTTCTTACTGTTAACAGTTTTCATAAGAGTACCTTTTTCACAGTCATAAATAACAATCTGGTCGTCCTCACTGCATGATATTAACGTATCACCGCTTTGGGAAAAGTCTATGCTGTTGATTTTATCCGTATTTTCACGGAAGACCTTAGCTACTTTGAAACTTCGAACGACTTGATCTATTAGCTTCATCATTAAAACAGTAAACTGACTAGTATTAATTCACTAAAGGTTGTCACCTAAACGCTTTACTTTTCTTCAAAATCCATCAATTGCAGAAAACATTTTGTTCTTCAGATTTTTCACAGCTAACAAACGCTGGGAACCGATGCCAAGACCAATGGCTACTTTCGTCGTTCCTTTCCTTTTGTCTCGGTAAAATTTAAGTCGGAATGGGGAAGCAGTGGACTGAGACTCGATTTAAGTCCGTAAACGGATAACTGATTTCTGCTCACAATAACAATGGAGGGTCTTCCAACTAACAACGCTAGTGGCCCGCTTGAATCTAAAAACCTTGGAATTGGAATGTTTTTGAGCTTAAGTACACTGAGCTAAACTTATAACCTTAAGTAAACTCAAAATGAGAATACGTAAACTCATAGATATAAAAAACATAACCATATAAAACATACTCCCTCAGTGGAAGGAAAATACATAGGTGTGCTACTTGGGTGTGCTATTCCAAGGCCCCACTAGAAAAAACGTTTTTCTAGCGGGGCCTTGGCTATTCCAGTCATATTCTGACGTCACTCGGATTGCAAACAAAAGATCACCTGATTGTAACTGTCAAATTAGTTTAAAAGTGGACTAAAATAATTGCCTAAAAATGGCTAAAAATTCTAATTTTAATGTTTTGATTTGATTGTTTTTATAATGTTTTCAAAATGGTTGAATGTGTTCATTATAAAAACAAACAACAACAACAACCAAATCAAAACAAATACTAATTTGACAGTTACAATCAGGTGATCACCCTCAGTCAGGGAGATCATACAGAGATGGCTGTGATCATACGTGATCATACTGAAGCCAGGTTTATTGTTAGTTATGTCCGGTGCACTGTAGAGAATGTTTTTTGTTTACAATTTGTTTCTTTTTATCTAAGTAATTTGAACCTCGGTTAACCAAACAAACGATCTAATCATAAACAATAACTCACCCCCTAGTTATATAACCAAAAAGTAAAAGCACAAATCATGAAATTTATAATAGAAACAAAATTTCGTCGACATTTAGCGATCAGTTTCACCGGAAATTAACTAGACATGAAAAACGATGAGCTTCAAAATTTACAATGGATTAAGTCTACTACTTGTTAGTCTATGGGTTTTGGTTTTATCTATGTCTATAGTAAACAACTGTTGTAGTTTGCTTGTTTATGGCTTCGTGTAAAATAAATAGATTTGACAAGTTTGTTTAAAATATATCCATAAAATAAAATGAGCCTCTTCAGGAGGTTCAAAACTAGGATCAGCCAAGTATTTAGTATTTAGTTGTCAATTGCACAAAAAGATATGAATAATTCACAAATAAAGAAGGTGGTTCATAACATCATAGATAAAACATACTCCTCAAGGACATACTCCTTGAGGAGTATGTTTTATCTATGATAACATTTAGATTTAAAACTTGCAGTAAAAAAAAACAATCAAGATTATCAATAGCACAAAACTACTAACCCAGAGTTAAAGGAAACGAGGAATCATAGATTAAACATACACTCATAACTCATAAATATTGTTGTTCTTATTATGTTTTAATTAATATCTAAATTAGAGTATTATCAACACTTTTATTTACAATATGTTTCATATTAAGCCACGGTAGCATTATTAACCAATCATAGACTGTGGATTTAATATAAAGGACGATGTTTCTTATTATGATTTAAATCATTTTACCAATGTTACCCTAAGCAGCAATATCTATTCCATCTTCCAAACGTTTCTTTGCATTTTTGTCTTAAAATGTTGATGTTTCAATGGAGTGTTTATAATATTTTATTGTCATTCATATATGCCCCTATTTAACTAATTATTTATCAACTCAAGTACCAAACCAAGTAAGTAAGTACATATCACAGTATTAATTGTACGAGTATCAAGTAAGTAAGTATCAAGTAACTACTGCACTGCATCTCTCTCTCATGCCAATTCATTTCACAATTTCTCTAAATTCATAGATCCGATCGATGAAAACACATTCACACTACCTTGTATATTTCGTACAAAACCTATAGTACGCTTTGAAAGTTATGATATATTGGCTATTTTTGGGACCCTTTAACCGTTCCTGTGACCTGTTTGTGAAAACCCCGTAGCAGACAATTAACCGGAACTGCGTTGAAGCAGTGCTGACAACATCAAGGGCGAGGAGAATTTCCCTTAGGGTAATATTTGTAACATTTGGGAAAACTGATTTAGGAAACTGAATTAGTTCCAAACCAAAAACATACTGAGGGATAAGTAAATATTTTCATGCATATATTGTTTACATGAATCATTATTTTTTTTTATTAACTGCTTACTCCACAAGAGTTCTTATAAGATTAAGTGGAAGTAGAATATATTATATGGTTTGAAGGTCACTAGAATAGCTTATATTTCCTGTATGGGAAATTCACTAAAAATGTAGGATACCATTACAATTAGGCTATATAATTAATGTTGAGATTAACAATTTAAATAGAACATATATTAATTAAATTTGTTACATAAATTTTCATGTTTTTGTACTAAGTCTTTTCATATCTGCTACACAAGGAGTAGTAAATTTCTAATAAAACTTAAAGTTTCAACTTATAGTCAATGGTTTCAACAATCCACAAAAAAACCCATTTTTAAATAAATTGAGAAGAATACTACTTGGTAAACACCCCTTTTATCAAATTTCCCACATTGGGAATAAGCTACAGTAAGTTATGACCATAAATATCATGGTAAGACCTAGACCCGGAACCGCGATTAACGTTCGTTTTGATTCCTCCAACATACATTCTGTGTGTGGTTGAGTGAGTTACCCTTAGCATGATAACTCTAGTAAAAATTAGTAAAAATAAGGCTATCTCTGTATTGTGCAACTACTAAAGAACTTAAACTCTATTTTGATAATGCAAAAAAAAGCCATTAAAATTATTCGTAATTTACAACCCAGAACTTCAGTTAAAGATAATTTTAAATTAGAAATCATCATGACTGTTTATAGAATGTATGTGTTTGAAAAAGCTTTATCTATAAAAAATAAATTTCAGGAATTGGAGCTAATCGGTAACAATCATGAATATAACAACAGAAATTGGGGCTGTATCGCAATGAGCTACGCTCTGGAACTTTTCAAAAAGAAACCTAAATATGTTGGTTCAAAATTTTAAAACAAAATTCCAAAAAGCATAACAGATGAGGTGTCAACAAAAAAAGTCAAAATTTAATTGAAGCAGTACCTCATAAACAAAGATTTTTATTCATTCGATGATTTGTAGGAAGTAATGTCAATTTTTGCATTGTTAATTCTAAGAAACCTTTGTTTTTAATTGTTTAATACCTGTTTGACACTATTTATGTATGTATTATATTCTAGTAACAAATAAAGATTATTTGAATTTGAATTTGTGTCAAACGTTAGTGAGGATAAAAAAAAATCTTAAATGTCAAATACCCATGTTATTCTTATGGAGAATAGATGAACTAATGAAGTTTGCTCGTTTGTGGATATATTTTTACAGAATTTGGCAATTTTTAGGTTTTCATTTTATCCTGAGCTATTAACATTTTTAGATAAAATAAAAACACCTCACCTTTCCCTGTAGCAGCAAAAAAAAAATAAGTAGGTTACTCATCAAAATTAATGTTAGTTAAGTTTAGAGAATATTTTGATGAAAATCCAGCCAGGCAAATGGAAACTTGCTCAGTCTGCCTCCCCATCTCAATGATTGATAATTGATATTTATGTATAACCAACACCATGGTATGGTGGGTTATCTATGGTATAACCGGGAGCTATTCACAAAAACTGTTCATCAGCTATTGGAATGTTGAATCTATTATGTCATTATACTTTTTACAGAATGGAAGTTTACTTCATGCTTGTTGTAGTGGTACCACTTGTTTTTGACGTTTTTGTTAGAAATAAAAATTATGTTGTGTTACGATTTTTTGTGTTTTTACCTTCTCCCCCTATACCAGTAATGGAGAAAGTATTGTTTTCGTCAAAATTTTGGAGTTTGAGTTTTTAATGGATAAATCCGTAAAAAAGTGGTTTTCTAAGTGATGTCTGTGTGTCTGGATGTGTACAGAGCTAGGGACTACAAACCTGTGGTCCGATTTCGATGAAATATTGTGTGTAGGTTCCAATCAATTGTATCTCCAGGCGTTTTTGATTTTTTAATGGGGATTTCCCCATAAATCCCCATAAAATAACGATTTTCTTAAAATATTAGAATGTTATAGTCCTTTAATTTCTGAACAAAAGAGTACAAAATTCCATTTCCGTAAAAATTACGGTTCAAAAGTTATTACGTAACTTTATGCTATTTTCCCATAAATAACCATAAAATTAAAAAAATCAGATTTTTGGATCAAAGTTTTTTTTTATCAAAATTAATATGTCATGGTCCTTATAATAAAAGAAATAGTACAACACTCCATTGCTGTAACAATAACGTTTAAAAAGTTATTGCAACTTTTGTGATTTTTAACTATAAAATATCACATTTACTCCCACCGCTTACCCATGATAAAGGTTGTTGACGAGCTTATGGGAGAAAGTATGTATCAGAATGCTGATACCGTTTATTTTATCTATGTATATAACTTAATGACCGCTGTTATTTATAATATTGTCTTAAATAATAATTTGTATCAAAAAATCATATCTTACATATTTTATGAACAAAAATTGCACCTCAAATGAAAAAAATCAAATATAGGGTAATTTTATAAAATTTCCAAGGGAATTGGGAAATTCTAAAAATCAATAAGGAGTAAAGTGATTTGTTTATGTTGGTAAAACTGTGTGAGTAATCGAACTAGCTGAGCAAGAAAGAACAAGAAGAAGAAGCCAAGCAAGCAAGCAAGCAGGCAAGCAGAAGCAGTAAGCAGTAAAGAAGAGAATTTGCAATCGCCATCTTGTTCTAGTATTTCCATATTTAAGTAGTGAATAATCCTCAAATAATTGTTATTCTCGACGCTCATACTCCATTTAAAGGTTTTTTTTTATCTTAATAGAACTTTCCTTACCCCATATTTTTTTAAGTTTGACTTTTGTGACTTGATTTTGAAGCTTTGAAATGTTTATGGCTTCGTAAGTTGTGACCCTGAACGACCTAATCAGTTGCAGTTTCCAGCTCTAATTTGCGAGATTACAACACTCAGGTAGGCCACTAAAAGTTGTTCGAATGTTCATGTAATTCAATGATGATTGTCTGTTGGTACCTTATTAGTTATTGTTAGACATCCTAAGTTCGGCATGTTTATCGATTAACTTTGACATAGGCCTACAGTTAGGCTAGGACCTAGGCCTAACTTTACTGCAATTGCTTACTTAACATAGGCCAAGGCCAAAGTACATCTCCTAACTGCACAAAGTTGTAAGATGGTGGCAAAGGCCTTGGCATCAGACCTAAAAGCCATCCATGAAATCCATTTTTTTACGAAAAATGTCCTTTTTATTGCTTAGAATGGTAAAAATTCAGTTTCCCCCACCCAAAACCCCAAATTCCCACTCTGGCCCCTAGTGAGTAGGGATTATTGCTGATATAAGATAAGTTAAAACCGATTGTAGCCTAGTTGAATGGCTCCCTGGAAAAACGTTCCATGCGCCGTTTTGTAAACTTTACAGAAACAAAAAAAAACTTTAAGAGAGTAATTTTTTAAAGATTATTTTTGGATTTTTTTAGATTCTACTTTAAGATAGGTCTAGTCAAAACAATGTTATAACTTAAGGATTTTTTAAAGTAAAAATCCTAATTATTAAGCTTTTGACATTGTGTAAATGTAGGTAGTGGAAAAACGTTGCTTGGGCGTAGTTGATATGCACAAGCAACGTCTTTCTACTGAAACATAAGTTAGTACTCTACAATACTGGCGTTTGGAACGTTTTGTAAAGAATAAAGTTTTAATAAGCTGCAATAATTCATTATATTTTTATTGCTTAGGTACAGATAAGTTATTCTCAAACTGCAAATGAAAGATTTTTTTACAATATTGAATCTTATTTTACTAAAAGAATACACATGATCTTGTTAATGAAACGTACATAACCCCTAGCCTTTGTATTAAGCTGATATTGTTTGTGTGCTTGGGACTTTAAATTTTACAATATTGCACTTCATTTAACTAAAAGAACACACACAATCTTGTAAAAAAACGTATTATCTTGGTACAGTATAGTCAACAGTATAGTCAGTCACAAAAGGTATAGTCTTGCAGCCGTTGTGTGTGCAGGAACATGAGAAATCCTTAAATAAATCAGCCCATTCACTTAACAAAAATAACATATATAAGACAGTAAACAGTAAATTGACAACAGCTAGGTTGTAATTTACTAATAATAAGTAGGCCTATTTAGAAATGGAAATTAAATTCCTATGTCCTGGTAAATATTCTGGATCACAAACGTTATAGTGTTCACCTGTTAGTTTGCATTGTAGCACAAGTAACGTTTTTCCAATTACTTCAGAAATAGGTACTTTTTCAGGCACTACTTCATTTTTTTAGTTTTTTTACTCTTTCCCGCTATTTCTATGACTCTTCTTAACTTTATTCTTCCAAAAATCTATGTTTAACATTAGTTTGTTGCCTCTATTTAATTGTTTAATAAGGCCTGACACCGGTGAAGACATGGTCTTGTCTGCCCAATACTCTGCACAAGGAACGTTTTTCCAGGGAGTGCCAAACTCCCCTACCCATAATTCAATGTTTTAGTTATAAAATCGGCAAAAAGATGTCACCACTTAATAGACAAAAGCACAAGGAACGTTTTTTTATCAAAAACCTGCAAACTCTAATTCTGGCGCTTGGAACGTTTTTCCGGGGAGCCATTCAGTTATTAACCCTAGGAGTGGTGAGACCAATTTTCAGTAAGTACGGTATGTGCTTTGTGGAGTGGCACGCTCATTTTGGTGAATTTGTAACTTAAAAGGGTTTTTAAAAAATCTGTAGCCTACTGGGGTACAGTTTCTTAACTGGGCTATGCTAATATCGATTGAAACTATCGAATCGATTAGTAAACCTTCATGCAATTTTTTCACCATCAGCATGTTTGGTTGGTTAGGCCTAGGTTAGGTTAAGATAGTTTAATCTGATGATAAATATATTTAAAAATATCGATTATTAATCATTATTTTCAATTTGATAGTTTCAATCGATATTAGCATAGCCCAGTTAAGAAACTGTACCCCGCCCACTGTATAAAATTATACCATACCTAACTTAGTAAGTTATAGAGATAATCATTTTGTTTGTAATGGCCTAAGTTAATTAGTAGAATTCAGAAATGGTTATAGGCCTATTCAAAACAAATTTAAAAAGGTGGTAGAAAAAAAAAAAAAAACACAGACTTAGGCCTAGGTCTAGCTTACCTAGCCTATATATTTTTTCAAATGTAAAAGTAAACACTTGTAACATGTAGCCTAGCCTAATGAAATTTTTATCGCACAATTCAAAGTAGCCTAGCCCAAGCAAATTGTACAGAATTTATTTCTCTACATAAGTTAGGCCTAGATAACTTAGGCCTAACTTATATCAAAATTTACACAAAAGAATTATTTTGATAGATTTAGGCCTATACCTAGCAATAATAGGCTACGGAAAAATTGGAAAACATCAATTTCTACAACTAGGCCCTACCTAACAAATACACTTTGATCGATCCACAAATGCCCTCTAATAATAAATCAATATCATAAAACCATGCATTTTTTGAAGCCAATAATATCATTCTAAAGAATAACTCTAGGCTAAATAAGATTTAAGTAATCGGATAGTTTGTTTTTACATAAGCAAAAGTGTAAACAAAACAACTGATCAGCTGTTATAGGCCCCAAAACTTCACTGACTTGTTATTCTATTTTGGATCACACGTGTATAAACATTTATGCAAAATAATGCATAACTATTACACCTAATACAAAATACTAAACTAAAACGAACATTACACTTTAAAACTAGAGTTAAACCCACACTTCGTCTTGTTATCGGACAAAAACTGACGACGACACTGCCATTTTAGGTTAGACAATGATGTGTTCTGTTCCTTTAGCTTTGAAAAATCCAAAGCTTCAATTTGTGCAACATTGAATTCTACTGTCCTTCGTTTATGAGAGCATATATAGAAACGTTTTTTGTTCTTTTCACATTCCTATATATGCAATTTAGAAATCGACAATTATTGTTGATTCACCACATGAGCAATACGTAAAAATTGGCTATTCACCAAAACTGTTCATCAGCTGTTGGAATGTATTATAACATGATACTTTTTACAGAATGGAAGTTAACTTTATTTCATTTCAACGGACATTCCATTTTGTTTGATGTAGGTAGTGCTATTTGTTTACAAACTTATCTATATCAATATAATTGTACCGGTAATGCAATGTACAGTTCAAGATGGCTAATATTAAATAATAGGGTACTTTCCTGTTATCTGGTACCTGCGTTTATTAATCAAACAAAAACAACTAACATTGATTACTCAAATTAATCCAACAATAACAACAAACAATGATTAGCCTACATCAGAGTTATCTGGTACCTGCGTTTATTAATCGATAATGTTAACATGGGAATCTCCAGAGCCACTGGGACAGAACCCGAAAAGCATCTTTGAAATAACATTATGTCTGTATGTTGATTGGGAACGTAAGCTTTCTTCATACCAAATTTCAGCTCAATCCGACCAGTAGTTAATGCGTGATTGAACTTCGAACAAACAAACACACACTTTCACATTTATTATATTAGTAAGATAAGATTATTTTTGCCTAAGATCAGTTGTCATTTGGTAATTTTAATGTGTTTGAAGATATTAAAACAGAAGTAGACCTAATATAATACAATTATTCATATAATTCATATAATTCATATAATGTAAAAAAAGTCACCGATAATAATGAATGTTCCCTTTAACAGGAAAGTACCATACAGGCTATCTCGTGCAAGGGTCAATTGTAGAAAATTGATTTTTGGCTGGATGCGTTACTGTATTAATTTCACTAGCCTACATAATTTGTTCACAGAGTATGGCTGAAGACTTCGATATCGAAGCCTTGCTAGAAGCTCCATACAATAAAGGGGTAAGTGATTTTGAACAATTTGCCATCAATCACAAAATAACTTATCCAACCATTGATTGGCGCACAATTTAAAACCATATCTAAAGTCAATATCAGTCAATATTCTGTTAATCATTTTTAATGTATTTTGGAAGTTTTGCTTCAAATAATTGATTTGTAAGAACAGAATGCCTAATCTCAAGGTGTTATAATTGCTTAGAATAACAACGTAAATTTTTACTGTAAAATATCAGCTCAGTAGGCCACTTCATTCTTGCCTATATTGGCTCACCCCTTGCGTTGCTTGATCAGTTCCACGCAACTTATAGAAGTTTGGATCTAAGCCAATCTGCATGCGCTTACATTATAAGTCTTGTCAAAACACATGGTTTAGTCTCCTATGTAATATGAAGAGAGTTTAGCTTTTAGGATTCCTGTTTTGTAAGTGTTTGGCTTAAAATACCCATTTGTCATCCTAGGTGATTGATAATCCTGAGAAGAACTCGGCTGGACATAAAGGATTTCCTCATCCAACTTTTTCTTTCAATCCACAACTTTCATCATGAATTATTCATATAAGTGGTTTGAAAATGGTGTTGTATTTTATGCTTTATTTTAGAATAAGTATGTAAGATAAACGTAAGCTCGGTGATTTGTAATTTTTACTCATTACTGAATTGAAAACAAAAGTATGCCTTGATCCTTTTCATGAGCACACATTTAATACTGGCTTGTGGGAGGTTAATTTGCGTTAAAGAGGTTTGCAATAAATTTTCTAATTTCTTTGTTTTCAAGCTATTAAGTCCAAACAAACATGATGTAAAAGAAGATAAATTTGGTTTATTTCTTGATTCTTTATCACAACTAAATCAACCTGTTTGGAACACTGCTATTACAATAGTAGTCGTGAGTAAAAGATAAATATAATTGTTTTCACCTCTACTTTTTGTTTTGGTAGGTTTGATATGAGTTGGCCGGCACATACTTAGTTCCACCTCTTAACAAAATCATTCAAGAGAAGGAAGATTGCATTTTGATGATTATAATTTTATTTAGTTTTGCATCATTTATAGACATTCCCAACACTTCTCTAATGAAACGTAGGTGTTGCGCATCAAACAGGGATAGTCATGAATATCGTAGCTGTCAGCAATATTGCACACTTATCACCTAATGGTACTTATTTACATTGATTCACATTCAAATACATAATTTCCACTGACAGTTTTAAAATATTTTAATGTTTCTTATCACATTTAAACATTAAACATAAGATTTAAACTTTGACGCCCGAAGTGTTGAGTAGGCCTATTGCTAATGTGATGTGTGATGCTCGAATTTATTTAGGCCATAAATCTCCCCCCTCATCTGGCCATCTCTTAGTGCAGTTATATGATCTTTTAATACATTTGACTGTATTGAAATATTAGATTGCTTTGTACTATACTAACTTCAATTTGTACTATGTTGAATTAAAAAATTGCCTCGATATTTGTGCTGTATAATGAGTTTGAAATTTAAAATTATTAAAATATTCCTTTATTAAATATTGCCAAGCACTTAAATTTGTTTGAGTGCAGTGTACCCTGAAGAAATAGAGCAGGGAAATTAAATTGAATCAATTAAATGAACCACTTGTCTTACAAGAGACGAGTTGGAGTGGCATTGTTATAATTCATAGACAACTGTTTGACCGAGAGTAACTTTAGTGTATCTTTGCAGACTTAAAGATGTGTAAAGCGTAATTCGTGTTCCTGAACAAGATTGAGATCTGAGGGAGGTAAGTGAAGGTTACGGTTAGTACCCAGCCCATCCCTGCCCCTCCTCCCCAACCTCTTGTAAAACCTTCTGTAATCACAAAATAATGTTAATATAAATTTATTGTGTTCTGTTTTGCTGTTGCCTCTCATCGTTGGCGTGGATTACCAACTTTGTGCTGTTTCATAGGACGAGAGCAATGGAGGAAGGAACAAGGAGAACGGAACTTCGCACAACACCAAATCTGCATCTGGGTAAGTCGACTATTGTTTTTATTTTACAATATAGGCTAATCATTGGTGGTGGCTGGTTTTCACGCAAAAGTTTTGATTGAAACACCGTAGGTAACTGTGGCACCTCACATTTTGGTTTTCTTATCACTCGAAGTGAGAGGGCTCTAAATCATATCCAGAAGAAATTTGGCAACTAATTCCAAAAAAATCATGTAGGCCTAATCATCTTTTATCCCAATTAAAACTCCATAATAGCTCTAATGATTTATACGGTTTTTACACTATTGACAACAAAAATAATGCATGAAGTACAAAAACGTCCCGTTTTAATACCAAGAAAATTGTTTACGGTATTTTTTAAACGCTAAGTCTACCTATCCGGCTATCTACACATGCGAAATCAACACACACATAAACCAGTTTTAGTAACCATTTAACTGGCATTGAAATAAATAGTGTTATTCTCTTGTTCTTGTAGGTTGGATAAGATATTAATTCTGTAGCCTATGTTGTGTGCTGAGGTTGACATGGCCCGAGTGCCAAAAGGTGAGTATCGCTTTTGTGCTACTGCAACTTGTTACGGGATTCACCAATCACTTTGTTTTATGTGTTTTTTTATCTATTTCATGTCAGTCTTTACGAAGTTGAAGTGTCAAATTTATTGACCAATTATATTCACAAATTATGGCAAAACCTTAGTTTTTTTCTTTTATAATGTAATGTAAAGTTCAATAAATAAATTAGGCTTTTCTCTATTCATGTGAATATTGCAAAGCCAATCTTACTGAGATTAAAAAATCTCCATAAATTTGGGTAAATGTTCAAATCTGTGAAAGAGACCAAATATGCTTTCCAAAAACATAACCTGCTAAATTAATGAGATGAAAATTTATAATGGTCACTAAAATCTTGTTTACTTTATTGTAATCTAGGCCTATAATTTATTTCAATAGATTGGCATTATAAAACTAAGTTTACATACCTTACGTCATCAATCCTTATTTTAGTCTTGGCTTAAGGATTGATGACGTAAGGTATGAAAACCTATCTTTATATTGTCAAAAAATCAATCCGGAAGGCAATGATGAATAAATTAAATTAAAAGATTAGTCTTAGACAATTGCATAGGTAAGATTTTCAGAAACTGCATTATAATCAGTCTAACTCAAATCCTATGTTGTACACTGCTTGGTGTTCTACAATTAGATCTAAGTTTAATAGATTTTTTAACTTTCAGATGTTTCTGTGGGTCTCATAGAGCAGCAATGAGTTCCTTCATCAGTTGCCAAAGTTAGAAAGAGTATATTTTCTAACCTTCAATGTTTCTTCCCTTTTTAATTTGAGTCATATTCTTACACTTTATATTTTCAGTTTTTGGTCTCGGGTTTTTAGGTTTCAAACTTTGGTAATTAATTGGTACGCTATGCCATACACCTTGTAAAGATCTAATTGACTGAAACACTTTCACTTGGGCACTCTTTAAATAAATTTTATTTTCAGGTCTTGCGACAATTTCAGTTGGTATTGGTCCAGCAAAATTATTCAACATTGAAAAATATCAGGCTCATCAGTGGTTGATGAATCAGACGTCATAATTTTGAAGGCAAGATCTGAGTTGTGATTACCAGCTTTGAACCCTCCATATGGCAGTTTGCCGGGTGTTATTCATGCTATAACAACTAATAGATGCTGCACTGTAGCGAAAGTAACCTTATGGCCAATAAAACATGTTCATTTTACATCACCAAAATGTATCACTTAGGTCTTAAGATGACACTATAATTTTCGGCAAATCAAAAAATGAGAACACCAAATCCGGTTAATTTTTAGTAAATAAATCCTTTATTTGTAATATTTTAGACATTATTCAAAAAATTTAATATTCTTTTATTCAACCAACCTGTAATGTAAAATTTTGTAGAACTAGCCCTTTTATAAATTAAAGGTTAAATAATAATTTAGGATATGATTTCTAGCAGTGACGAAAAGGACCGCAGTCGAGATGAAAGAAGAGATCGCAGGAGTAGAGATAGGAAGCGTAGCCGCAGCAAAGAAAGAAAACGCAGTCGTAGTAGAGACAGAAAACGCAGTCGAAGTCGTGACAAGAAACGCAGCAGGAGTAGGGACAAGAAGAGAAGCAAGAGCAGGTGAGTCCTTAGTGCTTTGTCAACAAGGTTTACTACACTTTAGAGTAAATGTAAAAAACGTTCATTAGGGAAGGTCAAGGAAAGGTGTTTTGTCCTGTTACAGAAAACTTTAATATCTGTAGTTTTTTTGTTAATCCTCACTCTGTGCATCACAGTCCACACAATATGAATTTCCAAAAATAAACAAAGATTTTTTTACAATTCTAGGGATAAGAAAAGGAGTCGCAGTAGGGAAAGGCGGCGCAGTCGCAGTCGGGACCGTGGCAGTGGCAGTGGTAGGAGAAAGCGCTCTCTCACTCCAATATTGCTGCCTGGACGCCGTGAACCCTACCCTCGCTTCAAGAAGTCCTCTCCACCACTCGGATTGTAAGCACTACCTTGGTTATGCCACTCACTGTAGTTGCTTAAAATTTAGTTCAAAATTGGAATGTATCGTAGTGAAAGTGACGGAAACATGTGGTATAACGAAGCCTTTGTATTCCACTGCACAGACAGCTTTCTCTGGTTACTGTTTCACTGCTCACATACATATACTGGTAAGACTAGCAAACAGTCTTACAAATCAAACTCATAAAACATTTTTGACAGTAAAAAATAGATTTTTTTACCACTATATGGGAATGATAACATTGCCTGTAAACACACACACACACACATACACACACCTGTAAACTGAATAGTCAAAATAGTTAATTTTTGCTTTATTCATTCTCGCTTGCTAATTTAGCTGATTTCACAATCAGCTTTTCTATAAAACACTAACATCTTTTTTTAATCTTATCGAACAGGGGCAGGGTGAGACCATGAAGCACTTCATCCGAAAAGTCGAATTATTGCACACCCCAGACAGTTGTTTTATTGATACACCCTACAGATTCAGGCATCCGAAAAAAGCATGTTGTCTTCCAATTAATTCCTCGGGAAGGTATCTACCTCTTACCAAAATACAAAGAGTAGTCCTTCTAGCATCAGAAAGCTTTTCACAATCCAAGAGCAGGTCACAAAGGGCTGTCTCCTCTGACCTACGCAAAGCCTACAGATTGGTTTGCCGTAAGCTTGCTAACCCGAAGAGGGGCGTTTCAACCCAACGTTTTTGGTTCGTTTCATTGGCCCATGACTCAATAAAGGTGCACACGATTTTTCGTGATATACCACATAAGGGTTGTTGATCAATCGTAGTTGCCGCTGAGGCAGCATTTGCCAATCTGTCTGCGGCTTCATTTCCTTCAATGTCTAAGTGTCCAGGCACCCAGCAAAGCGTAAGATCATTACCCAAATTCCTACCCAATTCAGACATAGAAGCAAGACGATGCCAGACGAGTCTTAAGATTAATTTGTATGAGTTAAGTGCTTTTAAGGTAACTTGACTGTCAGTGTAGATACTAATTGTTTTGCCCCTAATCTCTTTATTAAGATTTTCTCGAGCACAAACCAAGATAGCAGTGACCTCCGCTTGAATACTTTCGGTACACTCCCATGAAAGGCTGACGCCAATGCCTTCTCTTTTTCAAAGCACACCTGCACCAGTGCCCCCTTGTTTAAAATAAAATACTAACATCCGGTTAGCAAATAACATACAGTATCCTAAAATAGCAATCATAACCCAAATCACATTTAATATTAAACTGAAAAGTTAATTTGTGTTACGATTAGTTAATTATGGTGGAAGGAAAAATCTTGTGTGTATTATGTATGAGCACAAACAGTCAGTGCTGCTCTCTAAATGTATGGCCGAACTCTGCGTCTCGAGTGGCAATGATGTACTTTGCACTATTAATACACAAATAGCTATTTCTAAATAGGGACTTCCATAAGATATACTGGTCAAACAAAAAGCTTTGAAGCTGCTTTAGTTCCTAAGTTGAATTTTAATATTTTCTTCTGTTCTTCCTTTATATTAGAATATAAACTTATCAAGCTTCAACGTAAATTTAATATTGTGCGAATTATATCTATTGTAGGCCTACTTTAAATATTAATCGTAGAAGAGGATAAACCTGAAGAGTGGTAGTTGCCACGAAAGATGTAGTTTAGCCAAACATTCAAGGATATTACAAGACAACAAAATACTTTATATTGATGTTTTATCAAAGCTATCACAATTACCCAGTTAAATTACTGAATCATCGCTTTGGTTCAGGTTTGAATAGTTACCATTAAATCAAACTGCAATACCCAACAGTATAATTATTCAATTAAATTTATATGAAGCACTCAATTACAATCTGTTGGTATTTAAGGCGGAGTGGGCCGGTGCTGGACGACCTTTCCCCAGAGGAGAGAGATGCTCGGACCGTGTTTTGTATGCAGCTGTCACAGCGGATCAGGGCTCGGGACTTGGAGGAGTTCTTCTCATCTGTGGGCAAAGTGAGAGATGTCAGGATGATCACATGCAACAAGACCAGGAGATTCAAAGGCATAGCTTACATTGAGTTTAAGGACCCTGAATCTGTCAATTTGGTAAGGCTTTATTTTATTCCATAAAACATCAAATCTGATAGATATTGCTGTTATTATAAACCTACTATCGGTCTTGTATGAAGCATCTTAAAGTTCACCCATTCAGTATCTGTCTTATTATAGTATTTACATGGATTACTCCTTGGTCCCTTTAGATTTTTTAATCCTTACTGATTCATCTCAAGTGAGTATTATAAGGCTGGTTTCTCTCCACTTTATTTAGAGTGTTTATCAACCTATTCTAGCTAGGGTTTTAACATTTAGAAGTGTAATTAAAGAACACTCAATCAACATAAGTGCAAACTGGACATAATACACCTGCTAAAAATTGTTTCAAATTTTCAAAGAGATTTGAAGTATTTTTGTCTCAAGTTACTGATATTGGTTAAACTATTTCCCCATCGTGATTGTTAAGCTGATAAAAATGATACATGTAAATTTACCATTACAACTACTTTCCATTTTTATCTTACATGAGATATTTTTTCTTGAGTTTGTTGAGATTTTGCTGAAGCAGTTAATGCCTAGCAGCATTGGTCTAAGCTCTCAAATTGTTTAACAAAAATCAAAAGCTTGAGAGGTTTTGGTAAAAATATTGAGTAGAACACTATTCAACAAAATGTAATAGGCTACTTATTTTTTGTATCGTCTGTCTAAAACAGCTGTATGAGTTTTAGCTTAAACCCTAATTGTAGAGATTTGCAAGCGGCTCGTTTTTCAAGCGGCTCAATTTTCGAGTCGTGTTGAGCCTACAAGCTTATGAGATCAATTTCAAAGACAAAAATTGAGCTGAGCTTTTACTATCGCAGGAGATTATCAGAATTTTGCCGCAACCGCATATGAATATTTCCGTGACCACGGAAGACGATGATGATAACCACATGACAAGGGGAAATACTCAGAATTTTGCCGCGATGGCGGAAGACGCTGGTGATGTTATCGTGCCCTCAGGAAATGATCACGATATTACTGTGAACACAGATTATAGCAAGGCCACACTAAAAAAACAGGCCGTAATGCTCGTCCAGCATGACGTCACGATAGAAGACGGCAATGATGTAATTTTGCCGTTTGTGATCAGCTGCTTGTTTTAATCTTTCATTGGAAAATAAATAAATAAGTACTTATTCGTCATAGCCGTCTTCTATCGTGACATCATGCTTGACGAGCATTACGGCCTGTTTTTTTAGTGTGGCCTTGATTATAGTCATCATGACTTTGTGATTAATTAATGCAAATTAAAACAAACTAGGGGCCCATAGCAGCAATTTCTGCTTCTTCGTAATAATATCAATTATAATATCTAATCTCAAAACATTTTACGCTAAAATCACAATAGTAGGCTTATTTCCTTGTAAACAATATTTTTTGTGTAACTCTTTCCATCATATCATTGTTTATTTTCTAAACCATGTAACGAAACATGAAAGTAGAGTCGATATTTCTCAGCTCAAAAACAGAAATTTGTTACACATTATTTTCCAAGAAATTAATTCACGATAGTTTGTTTCTTGTATATATATTTTTTTATCTTAAGAATGTAAATACATATTCTTTGTATTTGTCATTGTTTAAAAAAACTTTTGTTCACTTTGATTTCCGTCAAATACAACATTCAGTTATGTTTTAATGCAATATAACGATGTTAATCACAATAATTTAATACTCTATTTTTATTATACCCTTTCCTATCAAATTGTATTTTGCACATTAACTGAGATTATACGTATCCGGGAAGCCTCCACCCTACTTTATCCGGTTAAATTAGAGTTGAGCGTATAACTGCTGGCATTTAAATTTTATGCAAATAAATAAATCTTTTTATAAACATTCTCTTACTTTGACTATAAAATATTTATCTATATACCTATATATCTTTCAAATAATAACTTTTATGCTGAAGCTGTCGTAAAAAACATTGCCTTCACATTTATTATTTAATGTAGTTCCTTGTTTCCTCCTCTTACCTATTAAAAGAATTATATTTAACCGTACATTATACAACAGTAATTGCATTTTACAAAGAAGGTCTTTGAATAATTAACTTTTTTATATGTAGGCTAACTACGTGAAATTCCTGATACAAAAAAAGCTCGGTTCGGGCTCAGCTAGATTGAAAATCGCAGAGTCACACACCTCTACCTAATTGTTACTAACTAGGATATTGTTTGAATAACACTAATTTTCTTAATTTTACTCGGTAATTATTTAAATGTATCAGTGTATCATTATAACACCAAATTTGTTTGTAGGCACTTGGGTTGAACGGCCAGAAGCTGCTTGGAGTTCCAATCATTGTACAACAGACGCAGGCTGAGAAGAACAGAGCTGGCAACTCAATGCCCAATGTGATGCCTCGGGGGATGCCAGGCCCCATGCGGCTCTACATTGGCTCCCTGCACTTCAACATCACCGAGGACATGCTGCGTGGAATCTTCGAACCATTCGGCAAAATTGACAGTATCCAACTTATGACTGACAGCGACGGACGGTCAAAGGGTTACGGTTTCATTACAGTGAGTTTCAAAATTCATTTCTTTCTATCAAACTTAGAGAGTGATTTAACTTTGTACAAGAAAAATATTATTTGTATGTGAAAAAAATCCAATTAACCAAATTAAGAGAAGGACAAGACCATTTTGTGTAGGTATATTTTTGGTTGGTCAGTGGTTGATATTTAAAGGCTCTTTAATTCAAAGAGATCCGACACTGAGTTTTTTTTTACAATTTCAATAATATATTTATTACTGTTATCTTGAATTCTACAACTGTATGCACAAAATCTATTTATTAAAAGAGTTGCAAAATTGTTTTCTCAACTTTATCTTCACAGCGGTTGCTAACTATGGCACTGTTTGAATATAATTTTCTAACTGATTTGATTTTTTTTTATTATTATTATTTGGTTTAAACAGAATCCGCATCAAAAGGTGCTTACTGTACTTATATTTTAAACTGACACTAACTAAAAAAAAGTAATAAGTTATCCAAGAATTTCTGTACTATCAAATTCATTCTTCCAAACTATTAAATCATGAAGTTAAAAAAATTCATACAGTATTATATATGGGAATTGAACAAAATTGGATGAAATAATACATATTATCAAGGAAAATCATTTTAAATAAATAATCATAAGGGGCATTAACAAACATTGTAGGAGAAAACACAAAATAATCGAGAAATCAATATTAATGATGAATCAATGACACGTAATATTACACTACCAAAAATATTCTTGAACAAGTATTATATATCTCAGTTCTAGGTAGCTAAGCGCTATTAAGTTTTGCAAGTAATAGTTTGTGTTTAATGCATTTCGTTGATGTGCAGTTCCACAACTGTGAGGACGCCAAGCGTGCGCTGGAGCAGTTGAACGGGTTTGAGTTGGCAGGTCGGCCGATGAAGGTGGGCACAGTGACGGAGCGCACAGATCTGTCCCAGGGTCCCTCGATGTTGGACAATGATGAGCTGGACCGCAGTGGCATAGACTTGGGCGCGACGGGCCGCTTGCATCTCATGTTCAAACTAGCTGAAGGTCAGTGAAGACTACCTTGTAGAAACTTTCAACATTGAGCAGTATACAGGCACATAACATCATACCAGTGAATATATCCTTAAAAGTTAAAGAAACTCAAGCCTGACTATTACTGTTGGGTTTTTAAAGGTTGTTTATTTTTGCTGTAACAAATTAGTCTTCAACATAGAAGGTTTGTGTAACAGTTGTAAAGGAAAAAATAAACGTTCTTTACTTACTTATTACTTCAAAATATACTCTTTACATTAATTGATCATTCCATCACTAAAATCGCCTCACAACAGTTTCACATTTACACAGTTACAATTTACATACATTTAAACACGAAACAATTTCTTCACATTTACATTTTTTTTGAATAATACTCATATAATAAATATTCAATATTAATATTTTCAAAGTGTGAAAAACATGCTGGGAAAAATTTTATTTTAAAACAATTTTTTTTTTCATTTTTTTCTTATTTCTATTTTTTTTTGCTTAACATTTATTTTCTCTTTTTTTTTCCATTTTCCATTTTTTTTTCATTTCATTTGTTTGCCTTATTTCTATTTGTACTGAGGGCGAGAGCGATTTGAGATGGGAGAGCTGACAATACCTGACACCAAAGTGTCTCACAAATTTCCACTTACATCTACTCCACACGAGTGGTGAAAAACGCGCACGCTTAACCACACTGTAGAATTACCTAGCACTCAATGAAGCAGACAGCAGCAGTTCATTCATGGTTCACTATCGGCGATCAGCTGTTGGCGATAGAGTGGGGCGGGTGGGGTGGGGAGTAGGTCATCGACTCGTGTGTGGCGCCGAGTGTGGTCATCGAGATGTGGCGCACCAGCTGTTTGAAACCTGTACTTGATAGGTGTACGTTGTCTGGCTTCCCATTTCGATACTTCTTGTTGTATAATGATAGATTCATTGGTGCGAATGGTGGGAATAGTTTATGGAATTTTATTGATTGAATGGATGGAGGATTATTTAAAGACTGGATAAAAATATTTAAGGATTTAATTTTGGGTTGAATATGGGGGGTATGTAAAGTGGGAGGGAGGGTGGTAATGTAGATGGTTTTGTTGTGGGATTTCAGTAAACGGATAATTGTCTTTATATTGATTTTGGTTTTCTCTGGGGCAATGGATTTGAAAATGTCATTAATTCCAATGAAAATTATGCATGTGGGTTTTAGCACTGACACTTGGTTTCTGATAGCGCACTTGAGATCTTGAGTAGTCCATCCGCCGTGAGCAACACTGTGTTCAATCGACCATTGTTGTGTAGTTGATTGTTGTCCGCCGCCCACTCTGACCAGCCTGACCCCTTGCGAGTCTCCCAAAACACTCACAGCGACGGGTGACATTTCTCTTCACACTATTCACTGTTGGAGAAAAAAATGGTTTGGTGTTACCGCCTTAAAATTAACAATATTGTGTTTAAAAAAAAACGAGTCGGTACCCCCTCAAACAAACGTAGGCATTAACAACAATGATTTTTTTTCCTAATCTCTCGAATAATACTTTTTTATCTGACATACATGAACTACTTTCGCAATGGATGGGTCCCGATTCAGACGGATTTTTACATTTACCTGATTTAATACTTTAATTACAGTATACGGTCCATCCCAGGTATGAGTTAGCTTATGACTGATTTTATTTGCTTTGTTACTAGGCGTATATTTTTTGTATAATACCAGATCACCTTCAGTATATGGAGACGGTTTTCTATTTTTATTGTATCTCTCCTTTATCTTTTGATGAGCTTTCTTAGAGTGTTCTAATATTTTACTCACTCTATCCTCGGCTGTTTCAGTCGAGCATTCATCGCCAAGGTCCCAGTGTAGTTTGAGTGAATGGTTTAACTCTCTACCAAGGAATGCATAAGCTGGAGTCACACCTGTAGTTTCGTGTAATGCAGAGTTCAATCCCATACAAAGGAAAGGTATATTTTCGTCCCATTTCTTTTGGGTTTGAGAATGATAGATTTTGAGTATCATTTTGAGATTTCTATTTAATCTCTCGGATTGATTTGAATTAGGCCTAGCCACTGATGTAGTTATGTGTTTCACCCCTAAACCAAATAAAAAACTCCTAAACATTTCGGACTTGAAAATGGATGCATTGTCCGATACAATGGTTTCTGGCAACCCATGTTGTGAAAAAATCTTATCCTTTAACGCATTAATTATTGTCTTTGAATCTGCTTTTCTCATTGGAATAATCCAGCTGAACTTAGAGAATGAATCAATACATACAAAAGCATAAGCATTTCCTGAAACAGATCTTACTAGTGGACCAAACATTTCTGGGGTGGTTTTGAGTTCATCAAACCTATCTGTAAATTCTGGGCTGGTTTCGAGAGTTGACACAGTTCACATGAACGTACGTAATTTTTTACGTCGTTAAAAACTCCATCCCATGTAAAATTCTTTATTAGGCGTGCTGTAGTCTTTTTTATGCCCCAATGAGAGTGAATGGATATGTCGTGGAAATATTTCATCATCATAACACGCATTGAACTAGGTACCACAATCTTTGGGGAACATTTGATGTTTCTCTGGAATCTTAGAATGCCCTTTTTTATACAATAATGAGGTACAGTTATACCATTCTCCAGATCAGTGATGATTTTACCTAGGGTTTCATCTTCCCTCTGCTTATCACTGAGTGATTCGAACGTTTCTGGAAAATGTTGTAAAAAACAAACTTGATCAGGTTTTGGAGTATTGTTTTGTTTTATAGCTTCCTCAGGTTCGAACATTCGACTCAGAGTATCACTCACAATGTTTTGGGTGCCCCTACAATGTTCGATCTTGGCAAAAGGAAATTGTGAGAGTCGTAGTTTCCATCTAGCTAACATTCCGACACTTTTATCGCAACCCATCACATACGTAATAGCCATGCAGTCAGTTTTAATGACAAATGGTCTGTCTGCCAAATAATCTTTAAATTTTTCTAAACCAAAAAGTACGGCAGCAAACTCCTTTAAATACATGCTATATCTAAGTTGGTTGTTTGAGAAAGTACGACTCGCAAACGCTATGGGGACAGCTCTACCATCTCTGATCTGTTCAAGGACACATCCGACGGAAAATTCGCTTGCATCACACGACAGAACGAAGGGCTGCCTCCAATCGGGCAAATGCAACACCTTAGGCGAAGACAAACACTCCTTCAATTTATTGAAACTTTCTTCCTGTTCTTTACCCCATTTAAAACGGACACCTTTCCTCCTTAGCATATTGAGTGGACGACTAACACTGGAAAAATCAGGAATGAATTTCCCGTAATACGCTGCCATTCCCAAAAATCGTTGAACTGCTTTTAAATTTCGTGGTCGCGGGAAGTTACTAATCACCTCGGCTTTGGTTTCGTCGACATACAATTTTCCGTCTTTGATGACGTGTGACAAAAATCGAATGCCGCGTTTCGCTAAAGTGACCTTGCTTGGTTTCACAGTCAATCCGGCCTCCCGCAATCGTTGTAAAACTTGTTTCAGATCGCGATAGTGTGTCTCTGGATCAGGACTATAAATACAAAGATCATCTACAAAATTGACGACGCACTTGAATTTCAAATCTCCTAACACCTCGTCGACAATTCTGCCTAGCACCTGACTACCTATTTTAATACCCTGGGGACAAGTTCGTGGTTGGTACAATGCGTACCCTACATTGAAAGCTGCGTATTTTCGACTGTCAGGATGTAACAAACACTGATAGTAACTGTTGTTCAAATCGAGCGTAGTAAAATATTTAGCACCTTTAAAATATTGAAAAATTTTATCAACTTCGGGCTGCGGAAAACTATCCATTTCGATGTATTTGTTTAGCTCCTTGTAATTGACAACTAGCCTATACTTACCAGCTTCTTTCTTTGGACGTAGAAATGCACTAGAACTGAATTCAGAAACACTTTTCTCAATGACACCTTGATCTAATAACTCTTGTATTGTCTCTCTCATTATAACCATCTTATCTGGTGGTAAATGATAAGGTCTCTGACGAAACGGAACGATGTTATCGCTGAACTTGATTTTGTACGGTTCTGTTTTCGCTGTGCCTATTCTATTTGATATGACGTCGTTAAAGCTGTATAATAAATCGTCAAATTTTGTTTTCTGTTCAGGAGTGAGGGGAGAATCGCCTAAATCTTGTTTTTCGCAACGCGGAATCTCATCGTCGCCTACTAAACAAAGAGAGTGTTCGTTGTCAGCAAAGTTGAATTTTATTATTGACTTATTCAAATCTATGGACATCCTTGTGAAAGTCATGAAGTCATAACCCAAAATCATTTTGAACGGCAGTTGATTCACAACCCAAAATTCGTAGTTCCAGGAAAAATCGCCTAACTTCAAATGAATTGTAGCTTCGTATCTGACGGTGATTTTGTGCTGTGACGCAGTACCCATAGAATGACTTACCTTATTTACATTTGACACCAGTTGTTTATCTTTCAACATATTGAATAATTCTTTACTAATTAATGACCTACTACTACCAGAGTCGATCAAAGCAATGCATTTTAATGAGCTGTCGAACGTAACATGCGCAAATGGCAACTTACCACTTAAATCTACGGCTTCCATTTTGTTTTTGTTGGGGATGGTCGCGAGTTTTGTATGACACCGGGCCCCCTCGTCGATGTCATTTACCAGTTTAAAGAGCTCCTACAGTTTCTGGCTAAATGTCCTTCCTGATTGCAACGAAAACATTTTATGATTCTTTCGGCGGGTCTATTCCTAAGATCGTTGGAGTCGTTACGACGGGGAAAAGGTTGTCGGGGTCTCTGAGAAGGAATAATTTGGGGTGGGGGTGTGTGAAATTGTGGTGTGAAAATCGTCGGTCCAAAATATCGAGTTTCCGCCCTGACGGCACTTGTGACTCTTGTAGCTAGTCTACGAAGTTCTTGAATTGTGCGTGGCCTAGAATCGAACGAAAAATGAGACTTTGTTTCCGGCCTACATTTATTCAGCGCTATTTCTATGACGTCGTTTTCAGACAAGTTTGTTTTAAGAGCAAACGCAGTAGATAATAAATGTTCACAATAATCTGAGAAAGTTTCTTCGATGCGTTGTGGACGATCTAACTCTATTGACTCTATTTCTCTTCGTCGCATTGATGGGATAAATCTATCTAGAATTTCGACGTGCAAATTATTCCACCCTGATTGAGCACTTACGGACTCAATCCATAACTGAAACAACTGACCTTTGACCTTTGGTAAGAGCAACTTAATTATTTCATTGTCGTGGGAGGGAGATACGTTAAAAATCGGCATTAAATCTTTAAGGAATGTAACCAACTCAAATTCATTCGATGCATCGACGTCCTTCAACTTCCTCAAAAGTTCCATTATTACAATAGAATCTGTTTTTGACAATCCCTGATGAACGAAGTTACCCTGCAATTGATTCGCCGGTACTGGAGCTACGAAACGGATTTGTTCGTGGTTCGCTGCACGAGGAGACGATGTGAAATTCGAAGACATTGCATTGTTTTCAACCCTTGGTTCAATCGCGCGAATTGACGATCGTCGATCTCGAAAGGTTCCCTCATCAATCGTGACATAATCTGTTGCGGTCGAATCAAAAGTGAGATGCGAACGTGAGTGCACAGCTTGTTCCAACACGTCATTATCTAAATCCAACAAACAATCACTGTTCGACATGTTCAAATCGCCGACTACATTGTTCGCAATACGCTCTATTTCTTCTCCTACAAATGTGACGTGACCAGCGCGGAACGAATCGGTGGGGGGGGGAGAGACATGATTGCTACGAACGTTTCCTGTTTCTGCGTGTGACGCACCAACCCTACCGGACACAAGCCCTTCGTCTGACACATGACGCCTGCTTGCCATCCTCTGAGCCCTATCGCTTGCCGTAGTTACGTAATTGGGACCGTACAATTGACGTCTCATTTTTGAATTGCAAAGTTTTTTTTTTTTTGAAATCAAATTCGCAAAAATGCAATCGACCTCAGTTTTATAAATTCACAAAATGTTTCAATTTTCCCTATAAATAAATATAAACAATCACGGACAAATATACACAGATAATAAATAACCAAGTAAACACTGCAATATGAACGGGTATAATCTGTCTTAAAGATAACAAGTGACAAGATAACAAGATTCTGAGGGTCAATATCAATCTTATCTATGCCAATCTGTCCGTAGAAGAGCCAATCTGCCTTGTTACCAGACCTCTCAATATTAGTGCTATCACTTTTTGTAAAGGAAAAATAAACGTTCTTTACTTACTTATTACTTCAAAATATACTCTTTACATTAATTGATCATTCCATCACTAAAATCGCCTCACACCTTTATGTAATGCAATTTGGCTATTCCATATAGGTGTGAGTACAACAAAAAGTTGCCCCCTGGTGGGGTTTCAATGAATTTAATTTAGTTGATCAGACAACTGAGGACCAATCACAGAGCCGGCAGTGGAAGTAAGATGTTGTATTGAGCCCTGATAATTGTGTATCCCAGAAGTCCGATTTATGGACCGTTGAGAGGTCTGATATGTCCTCCTGAAGGTGCTTTCAATAATCTTAAACGTAACACTTCTTAAGATGCAATAAAAAGTATATCAAATACTCTGAATGCAAAATTACACTCTTTGTTGAAACTTTGTTAAAACATTGGTTTTGACTCTGAAATATTGAAACGATTATGCAAAATATTGATGAACCAATATATAATAAATTATGTGTCAATTGACTACTTAATGATATTGTACTTTATTGCAATTGTTCGGTTAAGCCGATTACCTTGAAAAGATTAACACAGGAGAATTAATAAAATTGATGAAAGAATAAGCTTTGTGTATTATCACTATAAATAATACAAATATTACAAATAATCAATATTAATATTCAAGTTTCTGCTAAAATTAATAATATTCAAGTTTCAGCTATAATTAATAATATTCTAGTTTCTGCTATAATTAATAATATTCTAGTTTCTACTAATTACACTTCAATTTAATGTGAGAGAGTATTGATTGTGGTCTTTTTGACTTTCTTTCCTGAAATATTGACAGCAGAGCCTCGGGAACCTAGGTTTAATTTATTCAATCTGTTTTAGGCTATTAGGCTTCCCAAAGTATGGTATTTACTTACAACTGGCCAGTTGATCTTATGTGCAAAGGGGCTATTCGTAGATCTGTGTACAGCACACTTTGTTGCTCAGTAGCAAACTGGACCAAAACGACTACTGAGTCGTTTGTTTAATTTAAGTTAAAAATATGATTTTTATGGCGTTAATGGAAGCCTACCTTGTAGCCTGTATTGACACCTAACCTTCAACCGGGACAATGCTCTGATTGAAACCTGAATTTGCACCCAATCAAATACTCTCAGTGATCTCTTTATGTATTTTTGAAGTGATTTCAAACCCAAATATTAAAGCAAGAACAAATTGTAACAGTTTTACGTGACAGACAGCTGATTACCCTAACAATATAATTTGAATTTAAGCACAAAACTAATATGAAATTTAACTGGTATAAAAATTTACCCAAATTATTAATATAACAATATCTACAAATGTATCACAGTATGTATTTTAAAATAAGTAAATGGCAATAATTCTAAAGCAATGTGACTGAATTTACACACTAAGACATGAAACCTGCAAGAAACATGATTAAACAAATATGAATGTGGACAGATTGGCTTCTCCTAATGATATAAATACAATTTACACAAAACATTTACTTACATACACAGAAGACAATTTTGACGACACATAAACATATAATTACGACACTGTACTTGGGATAGGCTCTACGAAAATGGTCAAATCTGACGAATTTTGCCGGTCGACGTCGAACTTAAAGACTCGTTTTGTTTCAATTCGTAATTTAGTAAATGCTGTTTCACGGTTTTAGATATCAATGCACTCCGGAGATCGAACAATTGATTCGTTGACGAAATACACGTTACGACTACCAAAAGTGATTTTTGCAAATTGAAAAGGAGAATTTAAAGATTTCCGTACATCGCGGCTCAGAGCTTGGTCCCAAGTGACCGTTAGAAAAAGACGTCCGCACAAGTCAGCAAATTGGTGTTCCTCCGCGCTCACGTGATTGGCCGTTGTTGGTCCTTGCCTTCGCGCGTTTTCAGTTTGATTTGAATTTTCATTTGGTCATTCATTTTGAATCGGTACACAGTATAGGATATAACTAGGTGTACAATGCAGTTGGCTGCTTGCAATATTTATTGAGCGGAACAAGCATATTAATCCAATTTTTCCCAAAGTCAATGCTACATCTGTATAACGTAAATGGGATGTCTACTGGGAAGTATACTGTAATTTACGATTTTACTGATTTTAAAGATACTCAATACACAGTTAAAAAAACTCCTTCAGAAAGTCTCTGCAATAACCACAATACAGGAGAGCGTTGATGTTCTGATTCCGTTGCAAAGGCGTTCTCATTTTCTTAACCAATAGCGTAATTTTGTCTCAAAAAAGCCTCCTAGCAAAGTTAATCTCACTCAAACTAACAAGATGATTTTAATCTCGCAAATTTTTCTAAAATTCAAGACCTGTCCATCTCTATTTTGTAGTAAATTATGCTCAACAGTATTAAATTGATTGCTTTCCCTTTTTTTCTGCATTTGTAATGTGCTAGTTAAGATGATTTGTACTCTTTTCTTTACCTTTTCATTGTTATTGTGCAAATACTGTTATTGTGACCAATCATTCCATAAGATCCATGTAAAATTTCTAAAAGTTTAAAATTCATGTAGAGAAAAGCCCTGTAGTCCGATTTGTACCATCCCATAGTTGGTTACTCTAACTATGCTAAATTTTGTGCAGATCGCTTCAGCTGTTCAGGAGGAGTATTTGAAAAACAAAAGAGGAAAGAGTAGTGTAGTATAAGAGATTCGCTCGCTCCGCTCAATAATAATAATAAAACTCTTCTCTTTATTACTTTATGACAAAACCATTCAGAGTGTAAAGCTGCTAAAATAGAATTCCATTAATTGAACTTCAGTTGATTTCTTGCATTGTTAGCCTACCTTAAACTGAAAAAGTGAATCTTAAAAAAAAAATTGTTCCTATTATTTTTATATGGTTTTCATTAATTGCTTGGATATACTTCCACATTTTATCATCATGGGTGTTTCTCCCTTTCATTAATACCTATATTCAATGGCTTTATTATGGCTAAAGCAGTAGGCTAAAGATTAAGAGATACATGAGAAAAGACTAAACTTCACAAAAACTGTGTAACTTATTTGTATGGTTTGTGTCGCAGGTACTGGCATGCAGATCCCACCGGCTGCGGCGTCTGCTCTCAACGTGTCAGGCATGCCACTGCCTGTGGTGGCCCAGCCTACGCCACCCATCGCCACACAGTGCTTCATGCTCAGCAATATGTTCGACCCCCTGGCAGAGAACCAGCTCAACTGGGACCAGGAAATCAGAGATGACGTCATTCAAGAGTGTAACAAGCATGGAGGCGTGCTGCACGTCTATGTAGACAAGGCATCACCACAGGGCAACGTTTACGTCAAGTGTCCCAACATCAACACTGCAGTGGCTGCGGTCAACTCCCTGCATGGTCGCTGGTTTGCTGGTGAGTGAGCTGTAGTGCTGTAGTTGGGTAGAAGGTTCTATTTCTACCGTTTGTTGTTGATATAATAACATGAGGATAAAAATAAGGGTGTCACTGTGGATATAGTGTCCACCATAAAACCAACTATCGTACTCTGTTGTAGGGCATGTTAGCATTTGACACAAACATTCTTCCAGTAAGAGGAAACCTTAGTTTAACTTAAGACTGTTGAATGTCTACAATTCAGATCACATAAATGTTAAAGTAAAACCATACTACACGTAATTGAGTTTTTTATTTGTTTTTGTTTTTTATGAAAACAGGCTTGTGTGAATGGGAAAGAGTCCACTCTGGCACAAGAACCACAAAAATGTACACTGAACACAAAGATTTAACAACCATTTTGTTGTTGTCAATATTCCTCTGTCACTAAACAGCATTTCCAACTAATGAAAGTGTTGAGTTCGAGAGTTTTTAAGTTGCATCTTTACTTCTGTTAAATAATATTCAATATCTAGAATTTGAATTTGTACTTATAGTTTATTATTTTGCCTACGTTTCTCAACTTTCTGAAACTTGACCCTTGAATCAAAGATGAGGGGTTGCAAGTAAATCATGTTTTTATTACCAACCTAAATCACAAAAAAATTGATCAATATCTATCAGAATGTGAGAAATGCAAAAATTAATTGTTCCAGGAAGGTTGGAATACTTGATAATTTTATCGATCGCAATTGTTTTCAGGACGAGTCATCACAGCGGCGTACGTTCCTCTTGTCAACTACCATAGCTTATTCCCAGATACCATCGCCCAGATGGCGCTACTCGCTCCTACAAGAGTAACTATGTAAACTGTACATACCAAAAGTAATGGCTGTTCTATGTATTTTTAATTTTTATGAAGCAGAAAATGTATATTTCTTTTGCGTGTTTAGTGTGACTCAATCGCACATGATATTTTTATTGTAAATAGACCGTACATAATACATCATTGTTAAATACATGTATTACTTTGATTTCCCTCTTCTGTCCAATTTTATCACAAGTCTAAATTAGCTATAAGAAAAGTGGTTTAAAACCTTAAAAAGAAATACTTCACTGTTTTTTTTTTTTTATGATAAACCAAGTGTTAAACAGAAAGGTCATCTCACTTCTGTGATTGATTCTTGGTTTCGCGAATAGATTTTTTATTCTTTTTACTACAATACTCTTACATTGGTAACAACAACAAGCTCGTTACCGGGTGGTAAAACCTAAACATAGGGTATGTTGTCTAACCTAATCTTGAAATATAAATACCTACCTCCACATGAAGCAGAAGAGACAATTTTTAACCTTTGCATAAGTACTGTAGAAGGAAATATTTTATTTTAAAGTGTTAAACAAAAACCGATAAAATCAGAAACTGACCCATCACTAATTAAAAACAGCCAATTTCTATGGGAAATTTGCTAATTAAACAAGTGTTTTGATTAGATGAGACACAGTGTAATTTGGTCGCCCAACATTGTAAGATAACTGGACAAAAACTGGCGCGATCTTGTAGTCTTGTTAGTGACTAAGGCCAACTTTCCTTAGACACAGCTGTTAGTTAATAGCCCATACAGCTAATGGCAATAAGGGACCTACAGTTTGTTGTGGAATCCGAACCACACTTTTGCCTTGGTAATTACAAATTGGTCTAATTATCAGGATAGTACTGCGGATAGTCATAGTACTCACCCGTGCGGACGTTAATCCACACTGGGGAGTATCGCATCCACAGTGCATGACTATAAATATCCACAATTCGTGACCTCCTAGTAGCTGGATTACAGGACGACGCCACCCATCCCAGTGGTCTATAGTCAGGTGGCTATAGGAAAAAGAACTTTTTTTGTACTGTGTTACTTTTGGAAATCCAAAATTTTGATTGACTATTCAGGTTGCAGGGACGTATTTAAGTATCTGCCGCCTCTAGGCAACAAAGTTTGCCGCCGCCCCTCCCGCTCCCACTTTTCAACGCACTCCACGACCTCACTAATATCACCCCAATGGCCAATACATGCCCTGTCAGCTGGTTTTGTGGAAAAATAATCGGTAATATTGCATGCTGCATCAACAAATTTAATAACTTTTCACCACACTATGATGTTTTTAGCTGTTTTACATGCGTTAATTGGTGGCTGAAAGTTACGTTTTGCTGACGCCAGCTGTCATCGTCATTTGGGGACCGAGCAGGTTCTTACATCCCTAGGGCCGCAAAATCAGCTGATCGCTTACTTTTTTAAATATGAATGCATATTAAATACACAATCAGTATCCATAGCATTGCAATAGAATTGTTTTATTTTCACCGCTGCCTAGCAACTATTTATTTTAATTTTTGCTGATTCCTCAAATTATTTCTTCACATAACCTTAAAGTTCTAGTTGTGTTGACTATCAGTGTGCATCATTATTGTGGTGAATAGTGCTTTTAAGGTATAGTGTGGTGGAAAATGGCGTTCGTACCACGGACCGAAATGGTTTTGCAGCTCTCGATCGTTTTAGGTTGACTTCGTCTCGAACCTAAAAACTATCTCGAGCCGGCGAAACCTCATTTTCGGCCCTAGGTACGAAATATACTATTTCGACCCCTTTTAACGGACGTTTTTTGTGCGGTTTTTTTTTTTGCAAAACATTCTGACTTGGATAGGCCTACACGGAATGCACCATTTTTTTTATCTAATCAGTATTTTTACAATCCCATTTTGCCGCTTTAAACGGCACACAAAATCGTCTGTATACAATGGTTCTTATAACGCTTTCATTAAACACTATTAGTCAGATCCACTTGAGAGACGTGCTATTGGCTTTGATTTGAAATGAAAGAAATATGTTTTCTTAAACTATTTTTTTCTTACAAAAAACACATGAATCGCAAAGAAAAATTACGTACTTTTACTGAAAGAATAATATACAATTTTAAATTAGTTAAGTTTGGTACAGTGGTAAGTATTTAGTTCACACTTTCCTTCTTGATTTTAACCTAGCAAAAGAATCTTTCAGCTATAGAGCTGCCACTGCGTAGTGGTGTATGAAGTAAACAGAAGGGAGTGTTTTCTACGTTTGTCACTACATAGCGGCCGGCACGGCGACCCGCTCCCGCGGCGAGCGTGTCCGCCAGACCAATAGGGCAGCACGGACAACTCTACACAGCTGTGTAATAAACTATTGACGTTTGTTTGACTTGGATGCGTTCTGAAATAGTTGTATACTTAATCAAAATATTTGAAATGGCTATTTTGCCGTTCCCAAAATTATTTGCTAAAATTTTTTTTAGATTAAAACTTGGTTTTTTTATTTGTTTACCCTCAAAATTTTGCCGCCCCTAAAATTTGCCGCCCTAGGCGGCCGCCTAGTCCGCCTATTCGGAAATATGTCCCTGTCAGGTTGACTAATAGCTATTTACATTACAAGTGTAGTAAGAGCGTTTTTACATCACGCAGGTGAATTTTGTGCAACGAGCGGAAGCGAGTTGCATAATTTACCTAAGTGATGTAAACACGCTCTTGCGTAACGTGTAACGTACAAGATTTTACCTGACCCGACAATATAGGCCTACATGGGTTTACGTACAATAGTTTTCACTATCCATTTCATTCATCGTCTAACAGTAACGTTCTTTTACAAACAAAAGCTAGGTTAGGAAAATACTTTAAAGCATAACAATAACATTCAAGCGCACAGCTGATTTCTAGCGTTGAACGTCGATGCCTCCATAGAGGTATATTTTTTAAGTTAAGCACTCAATGTTATTTAAATGGGTTTCATTACATCACCGAGTGAGTTTTTTTCAACTTTACATCACTCGAGAAGTAAGGAAGCTGTATACATCACGCTTAGGATAGGGAAGTTTAACATGGCGGGTTAGGTAAAAATAACTAACATACTACTTTATTTTGCAAAACAAATACAATCTGTACAAAACATTATAAAAATCACAGTTGGTGAACACAGTATATTACAATTGGTTGACATTAGAAAGTGACCTTCTCTCGTCTGTAGCGGTAGATCTGTCAGGTTTCTTCTCATGCTGAAGCCAGTAGTCGATGTGGCGTCGGAACTGTCTTATGTCATCAGAATCTGTTCTGCAGCAGCCGCCGATAAACTTAACACCAAGTTCTAACCAAGACCTCAGATAGTTCACCACAGGGACACACTTGTCTTTGTCTTCCCACCTGAAAATCGGATACAGAAGGCTTTGTGTTAGTAAAAAAAATTGGATCCAGTCCAAGATCCGGATTTTTTTTATCCGATCGGGCGCCAGTTCTAGCTCCGGATATCTGACTACCAGATCCGACCATCACTAATATTAACATTGGTGTTTACTTTAGTTTTTGACATGTTACAACTGGAAATCCACACACATTGGTTAAGAGATAAAACTGATGTTCACTACAGCGCTCTTCAGAGAGATAAGTCCAGCCATAGATTAAATAAAACGATAAAACTAAGTACAATTTAAGCAGAGATGCCGGGTGTCCACATTCTGGAAAGTCAGGGATAGTCATGGAAGATAATTCTGGTCATTGAATGGTCGTAAGTCACAGAAATAGGCTAAAAGACATGGAAATCTCCAATGATGGATGGATTTGACGTGACTTTTCAATGCTCAAGTCATCAGTGGCCCTATTGTAGCATTTTTCAGGATTTTTACAAATGTACGACAATTCAATTTATTACAGTTGTATTAGTTTATGAGTTTTGAGTTTGTAGTTCAATACGATCTGTCCCTACTTTATCTTAAGCTATAATTTAATTTAATATTTGTAGGATATTGTTGCAACAGTAGTGTATATTAAAACGTTACAACTTTAAATTGCAATACAGTACGAAAATTCTTATGATATTTTGAGTTATCTTAGTTTGTGAAAAGTTCATGAGTCATGGAAATCAATGGTAAATGACCATGGATAATAATAAAAAGTCATGGAAATGAATGACAAATTTTCTGTGGACACCCTGCGATGTCAATTGGGATGGCTTGTGGGAAGGAACGGCTCCCAACAACACAGAGTCACGTCACTAAACGATAACTAGTGATACTAAATTACTCTGACGGCAATTAATTGTTCAGATGACTGAATAAAAAAGCAAAAGTGACTAGTCCAAGCAAACTAAACAAACTTACATAGGGATCGTAAAAAAAAATTGCAAGAAAACGTTTTATGGTTTTATTTTGTAGAGTTGGGTTTGCAGAATGACATACTAAAAGTTGCCAAAACTCGGTGCATGAGAAAACCACTAAAATCAGAATTTAAAATGGCGGCTTTTTCCAACATTGGACAAACTAAAAAAACATATTTCACATGCATTTGTTGTGCACATTTTTCAAGATATTGACTTGGGACCACCGCCTGTATTTATTAGGTGGTTAGTACTTCATTTTGATAGGGAACATGTTTTTGGCCGCCATCTTGGATCCGCCATATTGGACATAGATAATTTTTTTTTTTTCAATGTAATGATAGTGTTGTGACACATCATTATTAACTACATTTTTACACTGATTTAAATGCCAAAATCCGTTTTTAAATATCTTTATTCATTTAGAAGATATATTAAAACAAAAACTCTCCACCATACATTTCTTATGGCCGTTTCGTAGTTTGATAATTGTTTTAAAACTATTTTTCTTATATCTCCAGTTTTTATTGACGCTTGTAGTTCGTTCTAGGCTTAAAATATTCAGTAATGTAAGGGCTTTCATTTGAGCTCTTGATCATTAAAATCAGACGAGTTAAGGACCAGCTACGAACCTCAGAACAATATTAAGTTTAACTTTTTAGAAATATTTTTTTATTAAAGATTTATAACTCGGGTTGTTAATACGTCACCAAGTTCTTTCTGGTCTCAAATTACTCAGTGAGTGTTTATTAGCTTTGATTTTATTAATCACTAAACAAAATCTGACAATTTTAAAATGAGTCATGGTTCTTAATATTTAACATCAAAATGTATTTATTTTGAAATTTGTCTTTAGTTAAGGACATATATCCCAAACCCTAATAACTCCCGGAAAGGAATCCATAGCTAAAATAAAAGTCATTAATTTGGCGAATTATTTAAGACTATAAAGAGTTTTGGGAGTTATTTAGAATTGGGGATATACGTCTTTAACTAAAGACAAATTTCAATATAATTACATTTTAATGTTAAATTATGGTCCATGACTCATTTTAAAATTGTCAGATTTTGTTTAATGATCAATAAAATTAAAGCCAAACAATTACTGAGTAATTTGAGACCATAAATAACTTTGTGACGTATTAACAACCCGAGTTATAAATCTTTTAATAAAAATATATTTTTAAAAAGTTAAGTTTAATATTGTTCTGAGGTTCGTAGCTGGTCTTTAACTCGTCTGATTTTAATGATCAAGAGCTCAAATGAAAGCCCTTACATTACTGAATATTTTAAGCCTAGAACGAACTACAAGCGTCAATAAAAACTGGAGATATAAGAAAAATAGTTTTAAAAAAATTATCAAACTACGAAACGTCCATAAGAAATGTATGGTGGAGAGTTTTCGTTTTAATATATCTTCTAAATGAATAAAGATATTTAAAAACGGATTTCGGCATTGAAATCAGTGTAAAAATGTAGTTGGTAATGATGTGTCACAACACTATCATTACATTGAAAAAAAATTATCTATGTCCAATATGGCGGATCCAAGATGGCGGCCAAAAACATGTTCCCTATCAAAATGAAGTACTAACCACCCAATAAATACAGGCGCTGGTCCCAAGTCAATATCTCGAAAAATGTGCATAACAAATGCATGTGAAATATGTTTTTTTAGTTTGTCCAATGTTGGAAAAAGCCGCCATTTTAAATTCTGATTTTAGTGGTTTTCTCGTGCACCGATTTTTGGCAACTTTTAGTATGTCATTCTGCAAACCCAACTCTACAAAATAAAACCATAAAACGTTTTCTTGCAATTTTTTTAAGGTCATATCCTATATTTCTCCGACTATGTGGTGGATGCAGGGTTTTTGTGTGCATGCACGTCCTGCTTGCCATTGTAATTGATACCTATAATAATTCACAAAAAAGTTACTAACCCAAAAGTAGGCTTTGTCATTTTTGGATCTTCCAGCTCTTGAAGAATTATAACCAGATCTTATTTGTTAGTCAGCTACTCATCCATAAACATCTTCAGGGAGAAAGTCATTTAAATTTAAATCCATGTTAATCACGGATCTGACATCAATAAACGTACCTACGAGATTTTTTATAAGTAGATATCTTGTCCCTATGGACCTAAACTAGGGGCTATAAACAGATTTTTTCCCTTCAAGGAGATTAGTTCATTTGATCCACTTGCATAGTTGTTCAAAACAATAATTTGAGTGGTTTGATTGGACTGCTTTCAATTCTAATTGTTAAGTGTTCCCTACACAAGTTCTATGGGAAATATAAAAAAAATCTAGAGCAAGTTAAATAAGTAGTGTTATACTCTCATGATCCTTTTGATTGATCATGATCAAAAGATATTTTCGCTACACTACTGTGAAATGACCTGTTTTCGTAACATGCTTATCACCTGCGAAAATTCATCACATTGTTTACTAATAACCATCACCACCGACAGCGCCTCAAAGCCCAACAACTTTATGCTATTTTATAACTAAATCTCTGTAATGTTTGACGCCTATTCTGTACTCTATGTTCAAGAATAAAGTATTCTGATTCTAAGGACAAAGAATGTTAACTATGCAAAAGTAATGTTTACTATTTTTTTTTTATTTTGTCGACGTAAACAAACATTTGTTGAAACAGTTGACAAAACAATAAAAAATCTTTGGTTACGTCTGCAAAATCCAAAAATATAGTAAACATTACTTTTACATAATAAACATTCTTTTTGTGTAGTAAGCAATGTAACGATGAATTTTCCAGGCGAAAACACATAACAAAAACAGGTAATTTCACACTAGTGTGGAAAATAAATTATTTTACAGCATTACATTTTGTCCGTCACTCAATTCAAGTTCATTGTCTTAACTTAAACATGGATGTTAACTTCGCATTAGTGTGTCCACAGCAGTGTTTTTGTATGCAGGATTTTTAGACCACGCACAGGATTTAAACGGAATTTTCGGCTCCGACCACTACCTTTTTTTATTCAAAATTCCAGATAAAAAATATCTCTAAATTATGTAATTATTGCAGTATACTATAGCAAGGTTTAAAGAGCTATTTTAACATAATACGTAAAAAAATCACTCGGGATGGATCGGAATTTTTTTACAAAATTTACACGGGATGAAACGTCATGTGGATATAATGGTCCATATTCAAACCTACAAATCAGTTACGGCAATAGCATGTCCCCTACATCTACCCAGTCTATATGAGTAATCTGCTAATTCTACTTACTGTCCTAGTTGTGCGTTGTATCTTTCGCCACTATTGGGGTAAGCGATGAGGGGGATTCTGGGGGTTTGTTTGTGTATAGACTTGAGCAGGGGAGTTACATAGCTGGGGTGTAGGCAGTTTACCCCTATTGCAATCAGCTGGTTGGGGTTTATGGACCAGCACTTTGCTGCAACCTCACTCAGTTTCTCACCGTAACTGTTGTGTTCTTCATCCTAAAACATAACAAACAGTTTTGCTTCATGAAGAATTATGTTTAACTAGAGGTCGTCCAGTGGTCAAAAACTCGACCAAAAATATGTAATATACAGACTTCCCTATGATGAAAATGACCACACTCGTCTGGCAAACACTTATTTTCAGGACTAGTAACGTAATATACTATTACGTCATACTGCAGCAAAAACAGTCATTTTTAATGCATGTGTTGCGGGTCTAAAGTAGCATTTTTAGTCTCCTAGGGAGTAAAAATCAGCTGTTGTAAACAGTTGTAAATTTCAATTGTGGCAATCGTATTGGTTGTAATTATTTATCTGTTGATTTATTAGGTAAGGTTTTAGCCTATTGTTGTCGATTGCTCGACATATCGATGGTACAATGTAGTGTAACACAATCGTAATAGACGAAAGGAATGAATGACTTACTAAACGATAATTTTGATCACAGATACAGTATAACACAAGGTTTAAAAATAATTTTCAATGACCGATCCATCGCCTGTGTCTCATTGAAAAGACACCAACATACATGCGAAAAAAGCTGTACAATATGTTACCACAAGGTTTAAAAAATATAACCGATACATTGTCTTTTAAAAAGAATTTACCAAAATCTTTTATTAGAAAAAACTACTACGATATTGATGAGTATTTTTTGTGAACTATTTTTAAATCAAAGTCAGTATTTTGTTGTAGCTTTGCTTTGTATACACGTTTTGTGAACTTAAGTTTGATTTGATTTGAAAAATCAACATACTTATGGTAAATCATGCATGTTAAAATGTTGTCATTTCCACATGTTTAATATTCAATGTCTTGTAAATCAGGTATGAGATAATGGTGCACAAAAGTATCAGGATACAGTTTAGGAAGGAAAAAGTATAGAGAAATAAAGGTACATTACTCAAAAGCATTTCTCTTTAAGTTATACAAAATAACAAAAGCCATTCAGAAATGAAATTAAGTCAAGTATTTTTCCTGATAAATATTAAAAATTGACCTTACTCACTTGTGACAAATATTTTTAACCACCCAATTAAAATTTACCTTACAAGAAAAAGCCAACCAAGCTTTTGCCTTAGGGTACTTTTTGATGAGGTTGAGGAGTATTTCAGCCTCGGCAAAGGCAGGAATGGTCTCGATGGCGAGGATGTCCACACCAGCTTCTAGAAGTGCCTCAATCCTCGGAGTATGCCACGAGACTATGGTGTCCCGACTGGTGGTCTCGACATACTCGCCACGATACTCAGACCCATCGTGAAGCCCTGCACCATAGGGCCCCACTGATCCCGCTATCAACACCTTCCGACGGGGCCTACCTGTTTGCAAGTACACAAGGTTTGTTTTTGTGGTATAAACAAAAAAAGGCGGGTTTTTTAAAATTTGTTTGGGGATAAACTTTTTTGATGGTGTTTAATTTTTTATTACAAAAACAGAAAAACAGTTTTTTTTTCTTTTTTTTTTTAAAGGAAATAACAAGAAAATTCAGAAAAAAATGATGAGCTATTTTAAGGTCAAATAATCTTTGAAGAATATTTCCTGTTAGTAGTTTTTACTTTATTTAACATTAGTTTATGTCATCCAAATAAATATAATTTTAACTTAACCATACTTTTTCCCTTAAAGATTTTCTATTGGTTTAACCCATTGGCGCCGACTTACGAGCGTTACTCGTACGGCCGCTGCAGGCCCGGCGGCCGACTTACGAGTGCCGCTCGTGTCACCGCTAGGCAGCGCCATTAGTTATTTAGTTATTATTATTTTTCGCCCTTTTAGTTTCTTCTTACTATTATAATGTTTATAAATATCTTGCTTCTTGATTTGCGTATTTACTCTTTTATTTTAGCGAATAACAAACAATTTTGTGTTGCCATGGAAACCACATATCACCAAAAATCAGCTGCGCTAAGGTAAACAAACAATTAAAAAAAATTTTTATTACTTATAAAAGTACACAACTTTTGATTTTTCTACATAGGGAATCGATTGAACTTTATAATAGTAGTGTTATTTGGTGTCTGGATTAATCTTAGAATTTGTATATCAAGTTTATTTCAAAATATTGTTTTTAAAATTTTTATTTTTATAATCTTTATATATATATATATTTTTTAGTTTAGAACTTTGACTATCCAATTACCACTTTTCTGTAGACAATTTTACTGTGAACAAAATGGTGAAAGAATTATTAATTTACTACCTAAGGTTTTCTTTCTATAGCAGTTAGAGTAAAAGTCTACAAATTCGGTAAAATTAATTGCCGCCAGAGGGTGCTGCAGGTAGCGCATTAATTCCTTCCCCAATGGGTTAACAAACCATATGTGTATTTTTCAATCCCAAAATGGACTTTTTGACTGTGATACTCGTTAAAAAAGAATCTACATACCCCATCAACTATTTCTCGTGCCATCCACATTGATTTGGGATAGTTGATCTAACGCTCTATACATTTGACAACGCGGGCTGCTGGGTATGCGATTCATGCAAACTTGTTAACCTTAAATCATTTACTTAAATTGATAATCAAAAGCACTGAAGTTTATAGGGAAGATTAATCTATTAATTTCTAAACAAAATTTTCAATTCTAGTTTTGAGACTTGAAACATCTCACTTAAAAATTCTGTGGGCCTAAAAATATTTCACATTATCAACCTTAACAATCTAAAAAAATTCTAAATAAACAAAAAATGGAATGAACCATGAATTATTGATAAGTTATTATTATGATTATTGTAATATCATTAGAATGCATTTTCAAAGTAGACTTAATTTTTTATCCTTCAAAAATGGATAATAGGATAATTTCGTCTATCAGTGAATGTTAAAGCTTAATTTTTTTTAAATGTAAGTACCGGTACACTATATTCAGATGTAAATATTTCATTCAATGTCTTGATGAATAAAATACTTCTTGAATATTATATAACAAAAAAAATTACTAAAATAATAACTATAAGTCAATCAGGTTATAATCAGTGCCAAAGGGAAAATAAAATATAAGGACATTCAAAAATATTTAAAATGGCTGACTTTAAACCTGGAAACCACACCAAACTAAAAAAAAACAAATATTCTTTGTAGGCTAAACTTTAAGCAAACCATAGCCATTTGTAGCCAAGTTAATTTAAATATGACATTTTAGGTGTGGTTGGAACATTGTTATCACATCCCGTTCCTGGACTACTGCGACTGATCATTGATCCCAGTTATCACTGACTTGTGATTGGACAAGTTTCTTATCACGAAGAGCAAGGCTACTGTGGCATGTTCACATTCACAATAGTTATAAAACATAAGCAGTTATATTTTGAAATTCAGAAACGCTGTGTTGTAATATTGAGATAGTACTGTTTTGTAAATTTGTAATACAAAGACGATACTGGTAGTATATTGTATTACAGAAACTGAAACTGTACTATTTTCTTCAGTAATTAATTGTCCCTGTTTTACCGAAACAAAATATAGCAACCCTGCACAGTAATAGAATACTGCTATACATTTGAGCATCATCAGTTCTTCAACAAAAAGCACTTCTAGGTCTATGTGCAATCTGCATACTTACCAGACATTTCGTCTCCAAGTTCAGCGTTGATGGCTTTTTTAACGAATGAAACTGATTCCTTGATCAATTCTATACTTTCTTCTTTGTCTAAGTTCAAGTAATCCTTGAACCCATCAATACTGGCTTGATAGGTGTTTGTAATCAATATATCGGCTCCAGCTGAAATCAATAAAAAACAACAGAGTTTAGAGAAATTAACTTAATAGTTGGCTAACCTGCCACACAGGCGGTGTTCAGTCGCAACAACGTGAGTACGGTTGTTTTAAACACTTTACTTGTGACATCCTGCAATGATTATTTCACTCGTGATAATTTCCAAGCTGATAAAATCGCCTCGTGTGGCATTACTCTTAGACTAGCTTGCTCAGTTGATCCCAGATACTTTAATGACTTTCACTTTGGAAAAGCTATATATGACTAACCTTTAATGAAATCTCGGTGGGACTGGATACAAGCCTGTTTGTTAGTTTCCAAGAACTTGGCGCTCCACAGCGGGTCTCCATCTACGCAGTTACCAACGTACTTGGCCAGCTGAGTGGAGAACCCTCCGTCTAGAAGCATTACGGACTCCATTCTTCCTGTTTTACATAGTTCACGGTAAACAAATCTAAAATTTACTACTAATAACTTAACAAATAATTGTATGGAGTACATATTCATGGACATCCGTCAATATAGGCTAGAGAGGAGGGCTTGAGCCCCCCTCTGAAAGGTCTTTGGTCTTCAGAAAACCCCTCTGAAGACCAAATCTGAGATATTAAAACCATGTTGGAAAGGATCATTGATATTATTACAAATGTATAAAATGTGTGTGTTTAATTTAAGTTTGTACACATAATTAAAAAAACAGCAATAGCTGCAATGGGCCCCTAGTCTCATATTTGTTTAAAATACAGCTAACACTGTTAAGTGTTGGTGTAGTCTATATATTAATTCCATAAGCGAATCGGTCCCCACAAAATATCTTGACCAAGGAAAAGGTAGCATGGCTGTTGAGGATTCATTTTAAAGGACGGAGGTCCAAGGACGGTGAGAAAAATATCAGATGTGTCAAAATTACCCCTGCTTTGCCCAAGGCCCCACTAGAAAAAACAGGCCATGCTGCAGCACGGGCAGCGCAACACTACGTCACAGTGGTGGATGGATTGTCTATACTCCTTTTATCTATGGTTGTACTAAACTCTTACCATCTTACAAACAGCAAGCTTGTTTACCTAAAACATATGGGAATGGTGATGGAAATGGATTTATCAATGTAATCTATCCACTAGTGTGACGTCATGAATCCTGCAGCATGGCCTGTTTTTCTAGTGGGGCCTTGCTTTGCCCCACAGGCCGTCAAAGAACCAGTCATTTTCTAATGGAAGTACTACTACAGTGTTTTTATAAGCTGTTTTAAATATGCCAGCTGATATTTACTTTGCATATTTGTTTGTTTATTGATTTTAGTGTTTTATGTTTAAGTTAGAATGGTTTCTTTCCATGGTGGAAGGAAAAAACATAGGTGTGCTATTCCCACATATTCTGACGTCACTCGGATTGCAAACAAAAGATTACCTGATTGTAACTGTCAAATTAGTATATGTATTTGTTTTGATTTGGTTGTTATTGTTTTTATTATTATAAAAACAATAACATTCAAATAAAAACAAATACATACTAATTTGACAGTTACAATCAGATGATCTTTTGTTTGCAATCCGAGTGACGTCAGAATATGTGGGAATAGCACACCTATGTTTTTTCCTTCCACCATGGTTTCTTTCTACAACATTTATTTCTGGTTCAATATTACCGGTACATTATTCATAAAAGTTTTAACAAACTAGAAAAAAGAAAATAACATGCGGGTTCGCTCAAACTTGGGACACCCGTAACATAGTAAAAGAATGGTAATGCAGTGTTGAAATTTATGGTCAATGGGACACCTTTACACTACTGTAATTTTGTTAAACCTTTACAAAAGGAGTGCAAATTTTAAAATGATAAGTGGATTGGGTTTAGTGGTTTTTACCAAGAACCAAGCTTATCTCAACACACCTTTATATATGATGCCTTTTAATATCACACAAAGATAATTTCCTAAAGTCCAATGAAGGAAGCCTTTTTTACCATCAATAACCACTGGACCAAAGCTACCTTAGTAAACCAGTATTTATCCAAAAACGGTTTTATGTTTTATGCCTTTAGCAGGGTTAAACTTCTGTAATGATTCACATAATTAATTGAAAATAACATCAACAACAACAAACAGAGACTGTTTTTTACACAAAAGGTATGGTGTATAGTAAGGGATATCTATCCTGACACACAGATACCGGTAATTTGATTCTAAGTTTGTTTAAATATTACAATAATTTCTTTTACATTTGAGCTTTTTTGGGACTTATACAAGCCACTAGTGGATAAATTAAAAGGCTCAAAATTCAGTACCACCTTTTAACTAGAAGATCATATGTGTATTATTGTCTTCTTCATTTAAAAAAAGTTCTTCTTTCTCCATACAAAAGGTTAAATACCTTATGTAGGGTATAATGTTTGTGTCGCTTGTAAACTTGACACTATATGGTTCAGTAAGTGATTAATCTCATTTTAGTAAAAGAATCACTTGGCGTTACACAAAACAATCCAATATTTTTATAGTATCTATGTTCTTAACTATTTTAGAGGCTACACCACAATGATCTTGCATTTAGCTTTTAGTCCTTTATTTATTACGTCTGTGTTGTCAATGGAATCCTCAGTGAACGTATAACAAATTCTTGGCAGTTAATTGCAATTTTAAAAGTTGTGTTAAATTTAGGTAAAAGCACAAGCAAAACACAAAAATAACAGTTTTTATCCACTTGGAAAAAGGAAAGGAAGATACAGACAAAAAAATTGAAAACACAATTTGGGAAGTTGGGATGGCAAAAATGTCCCAATGAATAAAATGGAGAAAATATCATACTCACAAAAGTAGAATTTTCTACAAATAATGATATAACAACCAACAACTAACTTCTGTTTGTTTAAAATCACCACCACACAAAGAACACTATTTAATGAATCAATTAACTCTCATACTGTGTAAAAATTTAACAAAGCAAACAGCCATAGAGTGTCAAGTTTACAAGCGACACATTACTATCCTCATTGGGAGATTGTACGCATGCGCCGTTGCCTGTTTGTTGTTTGGGTTCATGTACATTGCCCCTGCTTATATTTAACTAAATGGATTTGGCAATGACCAACACTAAGAATGTTGTAATGGCTGAAGCCAACAACCCACAAGAATATAAGTCCATGTTGATAATATTCTTATATTTTGTTTTATATAAGACCAAGATTTGTGAGACTCATCAAGTGAACTTAGGGACTTAGCTAATAAAAAGGGGAAAAAATAGTAAACATTGAATCACACTCTACATTTACAATAGTACATATACCCTACCTGCTAACTATACTGAAACTCAAAATAGTTGTAGAAAAATGGAAGAAATGCAAAATTTCAAACAAAATTTTAATCGTGTTATCACCCTTGAATGCTAGCATTTCTGTAAAAGTTTAATGTTACACATGAGGATATTTTTATTTTACTGAGAGTGCAACTTGTATGATAATTATCAGGTCATATTTTATCCGTAATTAAGGGAGAGCTTTTTATTAATTATCTTTCAAATATGTTTTTCAGCTTTTTATTTAGACATCCAATCTTATCATTCTATGTTATGTATAACCTTTGTAAAGAACAAAGTAGATAGATAAAAAGTTGTTATTATCTTGTTTGTGCTCGAAGTTTATTCATCTATTGCTATAAATACACTATTGAGTTTTGAACAATTCATTAGCCAAACTTCTCTAATAAACATCAGAGGAAGTCTATTTTTCATTTTTGTCCTGAAGGTCTAACACAAACATATTCTGTCAAGAGTTGTTTATAGGTATCTGTATGCTTGTTTTTAAAATGAATACTGGAAAGAGGAATTTTTCAAACGGTAAATAATTGTTTTCAAGTTTGAAAACAGCTTATAGACACACTGAGAAAATTTAGTTCATATAAGCATAGACAAAAAGAATTAAATATAGACTGTCAGCCATGCTGCGGTTACCATGGTTACCATAGGTTCCGGTATGCGGTAAATACATGGCGCTCCAAGCGGTGTGCGCCAGAAGCTATGGTAACCGCAGCACAGCTGACGGTCTATATGTAATTCTTTTTGTCTATGATATAACAGACTAATTTGCATTGCTTGATAACAAATACAAAGTTATGGTTAAAGAAGAGTGTTTTACTTGCTATCATAGATTGGTAAGGTATAATCTTTGAGAGGACAATCCATATTTTTGAATTTTTGTCCAACAAAAGGCAGATTTCATCAAAATAATATGGCATTAGAAATTCCATTGTAATCTCAAATGCATTGTGGTTTTTAAACTATTTTAAATTGTGAAGTTTTTTTTACCGTGATAAAGTAAATTCATCAGTTAATTCAAATACCTACACTGCAGAAAACCTATAGACTAAGCGAATTTCCATATTTAAGCCTATATTGGATTGTTCATATAATGTATATGTACAGGGTGTTTTGAGACTCTCTCCCGAAACTCCGTGGGCATGTTCCTTTGGTCAAAACAAGCAAATAATATAATTATGCTTATTTATTACATATAATTTGAAAATGGCAGCCATTTTAATTTTTCAAAGCTTAATAACTGAAAACCCATAGGATTTATAAAAATACGTTACAAACGACAAAAAGGATGAAAATCCAATTCACTTTACAGAAATCTAAAATTTTTAGAGGGTTATAACACAAATAACGGAGAAAATCTCATTTTTATAAAGGTAATACATGCTAATATATTGAATTTGTCGGTATTTTTTGTTTTAACTTAAGAAAATTTAATTTTTCTCCGTTATTTGTGTTATGAGCCTTTATAAATTGTGCATTTCTGTAAAGTGAATTAAATCTCCATCCATTTCGTCATTTGTAGCTTGTTTATAAATTCTATGGTTTATGAGTTATTAAGCTTTGAAAATTAAAATGTCCACCATTTTGAAACTATACAAAGTAGGAACTTATGCTTTAACGAAACATAGTTCCTATATTAGTCAACATACACGTACCAAGTTTTAAGTAGGCACCTCAAGTGGTTTCAAAGTTATGGGAAGTTATGTACAAAATACATAGCTAACATACTGACAGACAGAAAACAAAGCGAGATAGGGCATATGTTTATATGATATATTTTGTTTGTTTTGACCTAAGGAACATGCCCATGGAGTTTCGGAAGAGAGTTTCGAAACACCCTGTATATATGAATGACCTGATGGTTTTTTGGCCTCTGGAGACATCAAAAGAAAAAGTAAATAGGCCCTGTGTCCATGTATTACCATGAAACCTACAGTAATAGCTTATTCCCTATATATGTGAGAAATTTGCTAAAACTGATAATTATTGCAATAAATCAAACTAACACAAACATATATTCACTCTTCTTACGATATAATATATTACAAATATAGGCATCCAGAGGAAGCAAAAAGTAAATTCTGGTAGAGGTGGAAAATTAAAATTTTAAAGGTTTAAAGTTTGACAAATATAAAGTTGGCAGAAGATATGCGGTTGGCCTTGAGTTAGTCTACTGAACTTGGCTGACAAGTTTATATTCAGGCTGACTTTCACAGCAGGGAACATGTCTGGCATGCCAAAACTAAAACTGGTGTCAAAGAACAAAACTACAAACAAGAATAACAGTGGTGTGTTATTTTTAAATCTGTTACCGGTACCAGAGATTAGTTCAAGTTTAAATTATTTAAAAATGTAAAGCCAACTAACATAGATATTTTAAACATAAACATTTTGTGTGTTTTTCTTTTTTAAGAATAACCTTCATGTCAAAATATTTATATTTAATTGTGCCTGTATTTTATATGTATATATATAATTTTTTATTGTACTGTCTTATTATATTGATTGATTACATGTAAGTATTCATTTGCTGTATTTAATAACAGCATTATGTATTTTGTGACGATTGTTAATGCATTGTGAAATGTCTACAACAATAAATTGATTTGATTTGATCAGTTAAAATGGGAATTCAGCTCTCTAAACAAAATTTAAAATCATCCAAATATTTAAATTATCTAAATAAAGGGGAATTAAATACATACTATAAACGAACATACTATAAACTTTAAAAATTCAAAAATATTTATACACTACCTGCCAAGAACAATTTACAGATTAATTAAAAAATGCTAAAGTAGACCTCTGAAGGGACACTGTTCCCTAATTCTGGTTTAATATGAACTCCCATAGAACACTTTCTTTGATTTTATTCCTCACTTTGAACCTCTCAGTATTTTTTTATTTTAACGATTCTTTAAAATTTTTGAAATACTTTTGTTTAGCGGATATAAAAAGAACAACAATATTTTTAACATTATTTTGTTCAAAAATGAGAAAATGTTTTTTTTCTCCAACTGTAGGAAGAGTTTATAATATGCAAGACAGTAAAACATAGTCAACTGAAACACGGTCTCATTATTGAAAACACAGACTCATTATTTGAAAACACCATGATGACAGTTTAATTGTTGACTTAAGATCACTCTACAATATTAGTAGTCAGTAACAAAAAGGCAGTCAAATCATCAAAATTAACATGGACTAAACTGTCTAACTGAAACATAAATAAAAAATGGGTGATTATAAAATAATAGTTACGAGAAATCTATTTAAAGTAAATCAATTACATTAATACACAATGCCATCAGCTGGTTACTAACCTGGGATGTGTTCGCTATCAGAGTTGTCCTTGGAGTGTGACTTCCACTACTTCTCAGCTGGTATGAGTGGAGATATCTTGTTTACTTCTTCACTCTCAAGTGGAAATAAAAACTAAACAAGCTAATATGCTCAGCTGTTTGTTAATTGGCACTAAAATGTGCCAGTCAATGCAATAACTTTTTAGCATTAAGAAGCAATTTGATTTTTTTTACTTTTCCCTTGAAAGTTACATAGAAAAATATTGTTTTAAATAGAAAATTCTTGATGGGTTTATGGAGGAAATACTTATTTTGGAGCTCAAATATCAAAGAGATTTTCAGTGTGTGTTTGAAAACGAGTTTTTATTTATGTGTGTTTTCAACAACATTGGCATGTTATTATGTTTCTCATCTATCTATCTATATACTAGTGTACATGTTGCTCGAAATCGAGCAATTTCAAATAAGTAAATGAGTTGAGGAGTTACAAATAAACAAATGACTTGTTTAAAAACTAATAACAGTCATAATTTCCGATGATTTTAAAAGAGTCAACTAAAAGATTATTAACTGATAAAAATACTCACAATTTACATAACAGTCCTATTCCAGTTTAAAGGGTTAATGTTTAACTATCAAACTGTCCATGGACGGGAAAAGGTAAGCTTACAATTTAAGTCAAAGTAAAAAGGCTGTCAGCTTTTATAATGTACCGTACCTAAGTTATTTAGCCAATTTGTAGGTGTAGGGTGTAGGCTAAACTATACAGAACAGAGTTATGCAAAAACTGGCAGAACTCTGAAATGGAGTTATTTATCATAGACATACTCATATGCCAAATCCTTAAAATAAAAATTCAATAATTAATAACTTATATCATTAAACACAAACCAACATCCAAAACTATACACATTTTAATACAACATAGATAATTTACACATTGACTGTTTACAATTAAAACAACATGTGTTCTTCAGGCATTTGACAGTTCTGGTTGTTTACATTTAAATGTCAAAGCAAATGTAATATTTAATTTATGACAACAGCTGGAGTTTCAAAACAATGTTTGTTTCCCATGTTAATCTTATGGAGAAATACGAAACTTTAAAGGGCCCCAGGGCCTCACTCTCTAATTATTTACCTAAAAAGAAAGTTTCCTGCACAACTTCACGTTACGCTCTTTCCAATGACACCAAAAACATGTCAATCGGTTCAGTAGTTTCGGAGGAGTAATTGTCACAAAAATCCTGCTTGCGTATTAAATAAGTAATAATATAGATTTAATACACAGTTGTAACACTGTTTTCTCTGTAATTACTGGACCGATCTACAAGATTTATGTCTCAAATTGAAGGGGATAGTGTGTAGATTTGCCGAACTTCCTTAGAATTTACGTTTTATCTTTAAGGGCTACGACCTACAGCCCTTTAAAGGTCGAGTCAATACAATTCTTATTGAAGAATATAATACACAGTTTATAAATTATTCGTCAGCTGTTTAATGTTTGTCAGACATTTGTTATTATTTTTATAACCTCACTTTCAGTATGCAATTATTAAACTTGGAGTTTCTGTTTATAAACACACGATTTTGATCAAGGAAAGTGGTAATTGAGTTTAAGTTTGAGTATGGAATGTGAAATAATACCCATAGTAGGGAACGGAAACTTATTGTTTTGATCAATATATAATTTATTCTCTACGGCCACCAGAATAATCATGGGGAAATCCGCTTGCAAGTTGTACATAATATAATTGCTAATGAGTGGGAAACATACAAACATTTTATAGTAGGTGACGAATCTTACTCAAGATCAGTGTTAGACGTTCAGTGGTACCAAACTTAAACTTCTCGAGATGGCGAGTACGCTGGGATACGTGGAACTACAATATATCAGTGAATTTTTTTCAAGTACACAGGGAAGTTGCTTGAGAAACTGTGACTTACCGCATTCGGTTCTGGCGAAGAAGTATGTGACATGATGTTTTATGGCAATGCTGACTCGGGTCATTATAGCGTTATAAAACTTTATCATTAACCCCAGGGTGTGAAAAGTACAAAAAGAAAAAAAAGGTAATCATGAATCGGGCGTAAAGAGACATACCGAACGAAAAAAATGTAGAGAACCATCGAACTAAAAAGGTAAAGAGCAGTGTTGGTGTTAAATGTGCTCTGGAAGTCCCTACAAAAAAATACCAACTCTTTTGAATTGGGGTCGTTAGATTGGATTTGTCACTACTTCAAATCTATGAATTTCGAGTCAGAACAGACTAACTGGGACACAAAAATGTTTTATTTTTCCTGCAAAGTGGTCTGAAGGAAAGTGGTAATTGGGTTTAAGTTTGAGTATGGAATGTGAAATAATACCCATAGTAGGGGACGGAAACTTATTGTTTTGATCAATATAATTTATTCTCTATAGCCACCAGAACAATCATAGGGAAATCCGCTTGCAAGTTGTACAGATAATTGCTAATGATTGGTAAACATACAAACATTTTATCGTAAGTGATTAATCTTACTCAAGATCAGTGTTCGACGTCCAAATTTTACCTTCTCGAGATGGCGAGTACGCTGGGATATTTGGAACTACAATTTATCAGTGAACTATACTGTAACTATATTTGTTCGAGTAGGCCTACACAGGGAAGTTGCTTGAGAAACTGTGACTTACTATTTCGGTTCTGGCGAAGAAGTATCTGACTTGATGTTTAATGGCAATGTTGACTCGGGTCATTTTAGCGTTAAAAAACTTTATCATTAACCCCATGATGTGAAAAGTAAAAAAAGAAAAAGAAAAGGTAATCATTAACCGGGCTTAAAGAGACATACAGAACGAAAAAAAAACATGTAGAGAACCATCGAACTAAAAAGGTAAAGAGCAGTGATGGTGTTAAATTTGTTCTGGAATTCCCTTCTAAAAAATACCAATTTTTTTGAATTGGGGTCGTTAGATTGGATTTGTCAGTACTGCAAATCTATGAATTTTGAGTCAGAACATCTACTAACTGGGACACAAATATTTTTTCCTTATGTTGTCACAAGGGGAAGGTAAAATGAACTCCTTATCAACATTTTGAGTTTATGGAAAATCTTATCAACAGCGACTATAAAAAAGTATTAAGGGTCAAAAGAGACAAAAAACTATTTGAGTAAAATATAATACAAATCTGCATTTGAAATGGCCAGTTCTAAGTCTCACTTGAATCAACATCTATCTGGTAGTGGTAGTCTACATAGTTTTAAAATCCACGACTCCTTTTCCATCAAACTGGACCGTTAATACCCTCTAACATTGAACAAAGTATGCCCAACTTTATATATACGACGTAAACACAGCTTTTACTCAAAGTAGCCTATGGGTCAAAGATTTGTGAAATGCGACCAACTGCTGATGCGTGATTTACATGTAGGCCATGTAGACTATCTTTATTCCATATAACAAATGTAATGAAAAAAAACGACGAATATAGGAATATACTTGAGCAAATTATCTAAATATCATAAATAGCTGCTTACTAGGTTATCAGCATTGCCCAGTTCGTATACTATTTTTTTTTTTCAAATGAAACTCGAATTAATATAAAACATTCATTTGGTTAAAATAATATATCGGTTTAATTAACATAAAATAGTTTGTACAGGCAAACTATCATTTATATTTCATGTAAAAAATTAAACAACCCCTAAATAAAATACAGAGATAAACAGTATTTGTTAATTATTATTTCTTTTATTGCTGACAATATTCCCGTGGCGGAGCACGGGCGGTTAACTAGTACTAGTAGATTTTTAAAATGCAGTTTTACGGATGCTAGAATGTATAAGAAATTTAAACAAGTAATTTCTAACATAATAATGTTGAAATAGCCCCTGGAAACAATCAAATTGTGTAACCCTGCTTGAATGGTACGGTAATTCTATAAAATTGCTTCTAGCTAAGGGTGTTGAGAACCTTTTCTTCCTTAAAGTACTGTACATTAAATACGTCAAATAACACTTAAACATATACAGGGTGTTGAAAATGTCTGGAACCAACATTATATCTGGTGAGTGGTTAAAGAAAAACAACTGATATTTTGTATACGGATATACTATGGTTTTACCTATCTTTTGGTGCCTTATGACATTTTTTACCACTTATAGGGAACGTCCCGTAGAGGATGCAGTAAAAGGTTTTAATGGAAGCCTATGGTAAATGATACATCATTTTAAAGGCGATTTTTTTCTGAGTAAGGAGCCACAAGTTTCATCTCAAAAGGACCACCCTAGCAAAAATGGCGACTGTTTGAAATTTAAAAACCCACTTATAGGGAACGTCCTGTGGAGGATGCAGTAAAAAGTTTTAATGGAAGCCTATGGTAAATGATACATCATTTTAAAGGCCATTTTTTTCTGAGTAAGGAGCCACAAGTTTCATCTCAAAAGGACCACCCTAGCAAAAATGGCGACTGTTTGAAATTTAAAATTCAATTATTTTCAAAAACTTCAAACAGTCACCATTTTCGCTAGGGTGGTCCTTTTGAGATGAAACTTGTGGCTCCGTACTCAGAATAAAATGGCCTTTAAAACGATGTATCATTTACCATAGCCTTCCATTAAAACTTTTTACTGCATCCTCCACAGGACGTTCCCTATAAGTGGTAAAAAATGTCATAAGGCACCAAAAGATAGGTAAAACCATAGTATATCCGTACACAAAATATCAGTTGTATTTCTTTAACCACTCACCAGATATAATGCTGGTTCCAGACATTTTCAACACCCTGTATTTACACTTATATGTTGAGTTCCACTACTTCTCAGCTGGTATGAGTGGAGATATCTTGTTTACTTCTTCACTCTGAAGTGGAAATAAAAACTAAACAAGCTAATATGCTCAGCTGTTTGTTAATTGGCACTAAAACGTGCCTGTCAATGTGATAGCTTTTTAGCATTAAGAAGCAATTTGATTTTTTTACTTTTCCTTTGAAAGTTACATAGAAAAATGTTGTTTTAAATAGATGGAGGAAATACTTATTTTAGAGCTCAAATATCAAAGATTTTCAGTTTGTGTTTGTTTGAAAACAAGTTTTTATTTATGTGTGTTTTCAACAACATTGGCATG